TTAGTTCTCCTCGTTCTCCACCTCCCAACTTATCTATATAGGCGGGTTTTTCAAACGAATTTGGGCGGACGATTGTTCAAATATCTAATACCCTTCCCTTCCTTTCCTTTTATTCGGATTCTCGTCTTCGACAAAATTCTATGTAGTTATTTGTCTTTCTAATACATATTTTTTCCTGTTATGTAATTTTTTGCATTCGCTACCTTATTATTTCTAATGTATTATTATTTATTACTTATGTTAACAGTTTATTTTCTAACAACTTCAGCTAATTCAGGTAATTTAAATTTTTTTTTTATCCCATCTTTCATTTGAAAATTTCAAAAAACGACGCTATTGATAGAAACAGTTAAAATTAAAAAATTAGCAGTTTTTTGTAATCAATCAAAAATTTCAATACAAAGGTAAACTTTTAGAAAATGAGAAATTTTCTATATAAATTAAATTGTCAAATGTAATAAATAAAAAATGAATATTGTCAAATGAATTCTAATTATGAAAGTTTTATTTCTCCTCTTTAATCCAACTAATAAGACAAAAATAAATCTTAGCGAATAAGCGCAATAAATTATTTATTAATCTGCATAACTTATCTGACTGATAATGATCAGTAGTAGACTGAATGGAAACGAATAACCTTAACGAATTTATTTTTATTGGTGTTTATTACCCATTTGATGAAATATGGGGATAGGATGGTTTAGTGGGTTTTTGCTCAATTTAGAGCGCCAATACTAAGGTTCTATTCCACACAGAAGTAAACCTGTCCAAAAATCCGACTCGTGTTTCTATCGCCAGGGGACTCCCTGCCGTATTTGTCCAGTGCGACAAGCCAGCGGAGCGAATTTAACTAGTAAAAGTGAAAAAAAATTTTAGAAAAAAAATTTTAGTGGAACAACGAGAATAATTCTATATTTCTAAGTTTCCCTAATTTACGTCGGCAATATGGCCAGATGATATATCGCTTAGGCTTTAAATTCAAACAACATACTTTAGCTACTTGACTGGCCTGCCACTGAAAGTCAAGTCCGCATGGTTGATGGAGGCTTTATGCTTGATGTTCAAGTGACTCCGTGACGAATCCTTACCGCTAGAGCGGGTAGGAGCGGGTAGTAATGATGAATGTTAAAAAATTTACTTTGTTTGTACGATAAAAATTAATAGAAAAATCCCGTGGTATGAATATTCACTTTGTCTAAAGCGGTATCCACAACATAACGGTTTTATTATTCGTTCTGCATAAGGATTCGTTTTATTGAAAAATTTTATAACTTTTTATCTATCTATATGAATGATCTAATTTACAAAATATTGATAGTATTTATCTATAAATGATCTCAAATGAGCGCAACATTAGTCATTATATCTTTCAGTGCCGGGAGCCTATGACCAACTGTTATGATTGTAAATGGGAAAACCTGCTGAATTTAATGATACTTTTTCTCCACAATACTCAAATTATTTAAGTTTTTTAAACATATTTTCAACATATAATAATTTTTTAAATTTCTTCTGCAACTGTTCTTTTCTTTATTTTTCATGAGTATTTTAATCATGAGAAACGAATTATTGCATTAATGTGGAAGGAAGGATACTCACATCTCATCTTAAGTGTTAATAGTAATCGGCGACTGTAAACAATTTTTATTTGCCTTGAGAATGGTCGAATAAGATTTATTAAGGTGCATTGGCTTTAAAATGGACTAAAAATTCCCTCTTATAATTTTTAGTTCGGTCATTTTTAAATTGTGTAGAAATGCTATTTTTCTATGACAAAACAATTCCATCTTGATATTTCTTAATTTTCCCATTCATTATAACCTTATTATAAGCAATATTTGATTGAAAAAAATCAAATATCGGATATTTCAATGACCGGAAAAGAGACATTCAAAATGACAATATGAATGAGAATCTCCCATTTGCAATGGTTTCCGTCGATTCTAATCAAATCTACTTTTGCAATTTTCTTAATTTTTATAAATTGAAACGCAAAATTTCATAGTAAAATTCAGGATTTTCTTTGTTTTTAAATTCAGTAATCATTTTTATGAAAATTTTTATACAAATTTTATGCTTTAAGAAAATGCATCGATCTTTTATGAACAAATGAAACAAAAACATAAAATTTGCATTTTTTATTTTCACCTTTAAATTCGAAATTTTGGTTTTCTTTTCATATTATTTTGCTTCTTTTTATAAGCATTATTATTTATTATTTAATTATTATTGTTATCGTTTTTATCAATATATCATTATTATCACAGTATTATTACTATTATTATCGAAAAAATTCGAATAAAAATTAATTTTTGGCTATTTCAATATGAGACGACAATCAGATTGCGAAAAGTTTTCCAAGCAAAAAAAATTGAAATTGAAATTAATTGAAATTTATTCAAATTATGGTTGATTGGTGGTTTTTCCATGCAAAATTTGTTTCATTATTCGACAGTTAAAGTGAAAAAAATTTTCTTTCGTGATTTTAATTTAATTAAAACGATTTGAGGGAACTTTATTTTCATTGCAATAATTATCAACAATCATCAATAATGAATTGTTACAACTTAATTTTAGATAAATTCACACGTTTCTCACGTTTCTCAATTTTCTTAAAATGAGAGAAGGAGAGATATGATATAGTCGAAGATCTTCTTCTCTCCAATTTCGCGTTGGCTCCCAACATTTGAAATTTTATCGAAGCGATTATTATTATACTTCTTCAGTAAATAGTGAATATATATATATATATATATATATATTAAATTTATATAATATTCATTTTCGAAAAAATTCAATGTTATATGGCTGATCGCCCTCAATTTGAAAGAATCAGTTTTATTCTTTGATTTTGAAAATTTCTGCGATATTTAATAATTTATTAAATATTTCGTTGAATTTTTTGCCTAAATAATTCTAAAATAAGAAAATAATGAAATTCCGTGGTCGCAAGTGTATGCAAAGCTCGTTTTGATTTTCTTTTCATTTCACTTTTATACGGTCGTTTGAAATTTGTAAAATTCATGAATTATTTAAAGTTTTTAATAATATTGTTAATTTGTTAATTTGTTATTTATTATAAAGAATTATTATTAATAATATTATTATTATCAAATTGGATTTGGGGTATCTTTTGGTTTTAAATAAATTTTAAAAATTTTTTGTTTTTCTTTGTGTAATAAAAAAATCAACATCAAATGTGATTGCATCTTTACTTCCAAAACATTTGGTTAACAGCTTCACCAAACATTTATTTATTAAATGACTTCAGTTGGCCAGTTGTTCCCTTGTCTTCTTATGCAAACTGATAATCAAAGATTTCTTATTTCTACTCGAATTTTAATGCATCATTTAGTTAAATGATTATCAATTTAGTATTTATTGCATATAAATGTTATTACTTTATATTGAAGCCTTTTATTTTTTCGGGCTTTAAATTATTAATTTTAAGAATTTTCGTAACTCTAATCGATCTCTTTTGCAATTTGGGTGGAATTATTTTTTAAATTTGGTTTATTTAATAATCTGAGCAAGCAATCGGCCTCATTAAATAAGCTAAATTTTAACCAATTTTCTGATATAATCTCTTATTTATTTCTGTGTTTTTTCTTATTTATTACGGCCTATTTATGCGTCCAAAATGAAAACAATGTGTAAATGGCGATTTTTATTTTTTAAAAAATTTATATATTAATGTTAATTTTAAATTCAAAAATTTTTTATAGAGAATGAAACAGAATTATTTTCAAACAACAATAAATAAAAAATATAGAAAAACCTTTCCATTAGAATTGCTAATTCGTTCTAAAACTATTTGTCTAATGTTGTTGTCTTCCAATTTCACTGAATAAACCGCATTCTTTTAATTATTAATGCTACCAATATTATCGCATAGAATCAAAATAGTTCTTGTTGTATTTTTAGGTGACCTCATTGCAACTGCTAATATAATGATATAAGTAAGAGGTCAAAACTGTTGGAGATCGCAAACATGCTATTTTTGCTTCTATCGATTGATTAAATAACTGATCAGTTAATTAAGCAATCAATGGACCTATGCAAAATGATTTTATTTGCTTTGCCAATGGCCATCTTCCAAAAAAAATCAATTCTTTGTAAAAAAATTGTTTATCAGATTTTTTCTTTCATTCCGTTTCTTTACTCTGAATTCATAAAAAGTACCTACCAAGTGGGATAAAATATTGCTTTCTTTTGCATAAAAACTATTTTATGAAAGAGAAAAAATGTTAAAATTTATTGAAGCAGTAGCAGAAGCAATGGTAGTATACGGTATACTTAGTCGCATTCTGCTTTACTCGCTTCCTTACTTTGGAACACAATTAATCGGTATCTTTGCTAGCAAATTTTAAATAACTTTTTAGGCGAATGTTAAGTGTTTCAATATTTTTTCTTTTCGTTAAAAATGTTAACAAATAAAAAACTGCTGTTAAAATAAATAATTTATGACAATCATTTAAGCATCTAATGAAGTTAGTCGTTTTATTCGACAATGATTTAGTCGTTTGAGGCTTTTTGAATTTGATCCCTATGAATTGATAAGGCAATTATTAGCCAATAAAAAATTGGAAGAGAGGAGACTATAAAAATAAATCGGTTTCTTTTTCTTCCCATTCAACCCATTTGTCAACCTTTACCTAAGTGAAATAGTGCAGTAAAATTGTTAATCTTCGATAAGCTTTTGATAAATTGAGATAATCTTATTAATGCGTTATAAAAATTTTGGGTATAAAAATTATAAATATTTAATTAATGCAATAAAATGGACAATTAATTTGTTAATAATAATATTGTATTCCCAACATTTCATTTTTAAAGAAATATTTTCAAGTGGTTTTTCAAGTATTTAATTTTTCAGAACGAATAGATTTCTTAATTTCATTAAATTTTTTCTTTTTTGTAAAAGAAATTAATAGAAAAGATTTCTTTCCAGTTCCTTTAGAGCTCATTTTTTTCCTCATTTCGATCATAATGTTTCAGTAATGAATGAAGTTGTATTGCTTGAATCACCACTTTCGACATATATTATTCGGTCGAAACCTGCTGAGTTATCATGTCGAGCACTTTACGCTAAACGAATACGCTTCAAATGCAATGGCTACTGGGTAAGTCGTTCCGACTGTTGATTTCTGGAGAATCTCCTTATCTTCGTAGATATTTGAAAAATGTTTTTGCTTTTATTTTACTTTATACATTCAAAATTCACTCTTTTTACATTTACACGATTTGCATGATAAAATTAGATTCATTTATGAAATAATTATTGTATGGATGTCTGTTAATTATTTTGATAGTAATAGCTGGAATCCAGCCGTTTGCGGAGGTCATGCAAAGGTCAGCTATAATAATTATTTTGGGGTAGACAAAAACCCATTTGAATCGTAAAATATTTTTTATACCATCTTGAGCTAATTCATTGTTCCAATTCACGAGGGATTAATCGAAGATAACAGCGATCAATCAGGAAGTCGTAGAATCATTTAAGACTTAATGCTTTTAATTTCATTTCCTGATTTTTTTTGTGATTTTAGTTAGATGATTCCCGACATAAATTACAAGTTGGTAGTGATCCAGCAACTCATGTACCTTATATGAGAGTCTCAGTTGAAATAACCCGGCAGGAAATTGATTCGAATGCTCAGTTCGGTGATTACACGTGCCACTGTTATGCTTCAGCGGATTCAGATTCGCAAGCTGTACGATCTGATTCGGCTCGCATTCGTATCGCTTGTTAGTTTTTCTTTCATTTTCCTTGTCTTTTACGGATTCAGATTCGCAAGCTGTACGATTTGATTCGGCTCGCATTCGTATCGCTTGTTAGTTTTTCTTTCATTTTCCTTGTCTTTTACCAAACAATATTTTCGTAACGATATTTCATCGTTTTTGTGCAATTCCATAAAAACAAATTCTTTCTAATTAAACAGATGCAAATTAACATATATATAGAATGAAATGAATTAGCAAATCCAAAAATAAATAGTAGATTATTTAATATTGAAATTATTTTGGACCTTTTAATTCGTTTTTAACTTAATAATTTAATTAGAGGTAAAATAGCCCAATAGATTGTCGCTTATATTCCGAAAGGCTGCAGTTCTACTTCCGGACCCGGGAATGAAGCATATTTTTCAAAAACCTAAGTGGCGCTGGCAACCATCCATCTATACTTTTATCGCCAAGTGACTTCTTGGCAAAAATTTGCCTGCTCTGACAAGCCAGGGAAATGTTTAACCAGAAATGGTGAGTAATCTTAGAAATGACGTGGACCACAGCTTTAAAATAGAGCTTCAGATCATAGATAAAAGTGGAAAAATGAAATTGGTCCTGGGGGGAATCGAACTGCAGCTTCGGCTGCTCCAAATTGAGCAACAACCGCCGAAGCTGTTGTTCGATTCCCCGCAGGAGTGAACCTGTGCAAAAATTCGAGTGATCGACGCTTGAGTTCGACTCCTAATAGAAAAGCTGTCTTCTAAAAATCCACGCTAAATTGGTGCGATAAGAACTTTATTTGCACCTTATTTTTAGTCATATTTTCCATATATATATGTATATATGTATATATATATATATATATATATATATTATGTATATTTCGTAGAATGTGATATTATTTGAATTAATAGACTTTGACACTACAAATAAAAGCAGTGGATCTTATTTATAATAATAAATTGTCCATAAATGTCTAAAAATAACACGGATGATTGATTAGATTTTGTCTAAACATTATTTTTATAGTCTTTAGTGAGAGATTATATATAGATAAGATAATTTTCCGGTTCATTAAAACAATTTTATCTTATTTAAGCCTTCGAGTTCCCTTGGTGTTATTTATTTCAATTCTCAAGAAGAATATTTTTATTTTTGGAATATCGTTGTCTCAAAGAAATTCTTGTGAAATTTTTTTTCCTAAATTGTTATTATTTTTTTCTCCTTATTGAGTAACTTTTGGATCCATTTGTGAATTTAGATTCTTAACTGAGCTCCAGACCTCTTCAGATTTGTCGGTCGACACCAAATTTCTCCATCTTTTTCAATCTATTGTTTGAATATTAAAAATTAAAAGTAAAATATTATAATAATCCTAAAAAGTAAGAAGTAAAAGTAAGAACATTCAAGAAAGTTCTTTTTTTTTATAATTGTTATTCTTAATTGTTATTTTTATTCATTCATTCATATTTAATTAAAAGCAATTAAAAATTATTAGATATTTATAAACTTTTGAATGTTCAATAATAAAATCCTTTAAAATTCAGATTATATGGTTAGTGAAGTACATTTCCTTTAGGCTTACCGTCAATCTGCTTAAATGGTGATTAACCCATTCTTCACCAATTCAAAATGCCGATATATGTTGAATGACCACAGCGGTCGACTGTAGTCAATTATATCTTTAGGGAATATCTCATTTGAATATATCTCATTTAAATTTCAGTGATAAAAATATTCATGAACATTTGACCTTATAGTTGACCATACAGAAATATTTCACATAGATTATATAATTTTTCAAGTTTTCGATTTGAAACTTTACTACAGTCTTATGGAACTTTATGGAAATTCATAATTTCTTATAATCATTCATTTAACTCTCAAGACACCTACTTTTTCTGCGAATGCTTTTAAATTTTTTTCTCATTTATTTAAATTCTAGGAAATTCTAGGAATTCGAAGAAAGAAAGTCAATATTACTTTATTTCTAATTTAGGCTAAGCTCATCATTTCCTATGATTATTAATAACATGAAGAAATTTCGCAGGAAAGAGCTGCAATTGGACCTTCAGCACCATTTGAGCTTAATGGCGAGTTTCTTTCTGACCAAGTGCAAGTAAAGTATATAATAATATAATCTTAACATAGTAATAATAATAACGATAATAGTTAATAATAATAGTAATAATGATGTAATAATAATAAAATGATAATAGTAATGGGCGATATTCATGTTGGTATACCTCAATTAATCGCTATTCATTTAAATTAAATAACGATTGTTCGAATATAAAAGAAAAATTGAAAATGAAATAATAAACAAAACTTTATGCAGTTGTTTATTTAAAATTTGCAAAATTTGCTATATATATAAATAAATATAACTGAGGAATTTCATTTTGTTAATAGCGATCATCTTTGGCTAACCGAAAGTGATTTATTCATTTCACGCGATAAGTTCACGGTGAGCGGCTGTTTTCTATCTGCCTGTATACTTATTATTAATTAAAAAACGAAGAGAAGGGCATTAAAGAAAAGCAGTTTTATTTATTCATTTCAATATTGAACCAAAGAGGACACTTTAAAGGACTATTTGCTCATTAGAAAAATGAAGGTTAAAACAAAGCTTATGAGCGACCACATAAAACGAGAGAATAAAGTAGCGCAATTTGATGGAAGTCTTTTTATCACCAGTGACAAACGTTGTTTCCTCTGCACTCCACGCTCTTCCCATTTCATTTTATCGATCATTGAGAAATTATGATAAAATATTATAATATATAAACGATCTTATTATGTAAAAAATTATATAGCAAACATCTTTCAATCTTTTTTAAAACGGTCTATGGAAAGTGCAGACAGCATCTGCGATAATTTGTCCCATTTCATTTTGATGACTTTGGTGAAGTTTGACGATATTTGGCTTTCAAATTTTTATCAAAGTCCAGTGTGAATCCTTTGATCCAAGTTTTCTGATAAATTTTATGGGTAAAGTAAAAGCTTATTAAAGGAAACAAATTCTTTCATATTACGTTTAATTAATCAATCATGAAAATAGTCATTAAGAAATATTTTTCTTGCAAGAATCATTAAATTTATAAATTTTTCATGTTTGACAGAAAACTGAAGAAATTAATAATCGCAAGAAAAAATGCGATTTTTTGAAAAAACATTTTTTTGCAATTCGATGAAAATAATAATAATAAAATACATTTATGAAAAATTTACAAATTTTCAAATTTTTTTATTGATGAATTTTCGGTTTAAACGAATATTATTTAAGGATTAAGCATATTTAAGGATTTTTTACTATGATTTTCGTTGCATCAATGAAAGGTACTTTAAAATTGTGCAATTATGCGTTCATTAAAGAGGAATGATGGAGAGCGGTTAAGTATTGTGGTTTATAAACAAGGGCATATAAAACTAATGTCAACTAATGCTGACTTAGCTCAATTTTACTTTCTAAGTAAACCTTAAATTTCTGAGATGGATTTCAGCTAATTTTTCATATTAATAAAATCCATATTTAGAGTTTCATTTGAAAGACAAATCCATCAAAAAATTTTGATGATTTTTATTGATTAAATTTTCGATTGTTTAAATGTTATTTAATAAAAATCATAATTTCAACAATAATAAATCATAAATAAAGCTTTTTTCACTTTATCAAATCCTTATTTACAATTTGGTGTTTTAATTTTAATTTGGAAAAATTCTTGTTTGTGTAAATATTCAATTTTACTTTTTATTAAATATTCATGGAATGCAAAAAATCTTAAATTTAAATATTGCATTTGCGATAAAAAAGCTAAGCTTTGGATTTTTCAAGGATTAGAACTTATAAGTTGTGGCATATAAAACCATAAAAAATTGATGTGCACTACTGGATTACTGAAAAATAAATCTTAATTTATTGTAACATATCTACGGTTGACTGTGTGCATTTTAAAAAATTTTGTCGAAAATTATTTTATAAAAATTGCAATCATCCTTTTTAGAAAAAAGTTTATTTCGCTTAAATAATTTAATAATTTATTTCGATTTTAATTAGTCGAATTTCGCTAAATTCGAATTTATTTTCGAGATTTGTGATTAAGAAGAGTGTTTATACAAAAGATGACTAATAATTAGTCATAATAATAATAATAATTACTAATAATTAGTTTTTCTATGGTTTAAATGGAATTGTAGTTTTGTTATAGGAAAAATATTTGCCTTTTGTACTTTTTCCCTTAATCTTCGAAATTAGCTCATATTTATATATAATAAAGATATTTAATTAGTGAATTGCTTCAGAAATTTGTTATTCATATATAAGAATATTCAGAGGAGGACATGAATGCACAATTTGTTGCCTAATTTGTGAGTATAACTCGTGTAGAATGATTTAATCTGGGCAATTGGATGTAATTTAGTTAGTCGTCTTCTTCCGTTCATTTCTGATTTATTTTATAGAATCAAAGGTGATCAATATTGGCTTTTGCAAATCCTTAAATTCAATCTATTCAGTTAGATTCCTACTACTGTAGCTTACTCCACCACAGTACACAATATTTATATTGCATTAGGAATACTCTTAATAGTAATAGTAATAGAATGTTGCGTGCTATTACAGTAATTTTTTTAGATTTCTCCTGAAAATATATGGATTTGACATAGAAATGGATTTCGTGGATAGAGGAATTTGTTAAAAAAATTAAATATTACAATAAGGAATAACTAAAGATTATTACCATCAGCTGTTCGAAAGATTTATGGCTTTTTACAAAAGGTTTAAGTATTTCGTTTGCTAGTTTACCGTTAAGAAAAGCATATTTATTTTACTGAATATCATAAAATGATCAATTATTTGAAACGTTGATTCATTAATGGCTTGAGTTTATTTAAGATCATTTCCATTGAAAAATAATGGTAATAAAATGATAATAACATTTAGATAAATGACAATGATAAAGTGATAATTCGCATTCTATTACAAGATTTCAGATAAATTAAATAAACCAATATTATCTGAAAATCTCAGGATGTTTTCAAAAAAATATTTAAAACAAAAACGCCATTTATTAGAAAATACCGACTGACTTGAAAAAACTTTTCGAATGGAAAGAAATATTTATTTTTCCGAAAAAAACTTGACAAAGATTTTCCTAATTAATATTTTTGTTTCAATTTATTTAATATCATTTTTTAAAAAATCACTTCCATTCGTTCCTTCTTTCCTTCCATTGTTATGTTGCAATCAATCATCACTAGTAAATCACTAGCGTCTCGTCTTGTCACTTATGCTGTCAGTTTTTTTGATTTCAACTTTATTGGCATATTTACCCATAATTCATTTTGATTTTCAAAGAAATTTCTTGTATAGATTTAGTGCATTCAAACCTAAATTAAGGATTTTTGATAAGAAAACTTCAGTTCTTTTTTCTTTTTCACAAATGTGTTTATGTTCAGAAATTTGGCTTCATTATTTCATTGAAGCACTTCATTTGTAAATTATTAATTCTAAAATAAATAAATAAATATTCGAGAGATATGGTAAATAAATTAATTTGTTTGTTTAGAGATAATTAGCTTCCATAATGAAATCATTTCACCATATGTTGGAAAAAATATTTTAGATTGAAGCAAATAAATAAATCATTACCGATGTATTTTAAAGAAGTATTCATTTAATGTGCGAAGAAAGATTTTCGTTTTATAGATTAAATTATGAAATATCTATAAAAATTGCGCATAGATATTCGTCAAATTGCAGACATCCGAAAACATTTTTATCAAGCACCAGTCTCTGAAAATGTTCCAGAGGGACGAACGTTACAAATGCATTGTTCACCTCCTGACGCTGATCCAAAAGTAGAAGTACGTTGAAGTACATATTTATTATATCATGAGTTAGCACGATAAAAAATGCTTTTAAATATTGTTTTATGGTGCGAAAAGGGGATTCTTCAAAAAATTTAAATCATAGATTGTAAGATTATGATTCGAAAGTTTCCAGTAGTTTTATGCTAAAATTCAAAAATGTGTTGTGAAAAACTTTAGATATTCTGGTTGAAAGATGGCAAAGAAATCGAGAACCAGGCCGATTCTAATATAATCATTGCAAATGATGGATCTCTTATTATATCAGCAGCTCGATTAAATGATTCGGGCAATTACACTTGTGAAGCACGAAATATTGCAAATAAAAGGACCACCGATCCAGCACAAATCATCGTTTATGGTATTTAAACTTTATTTCATTAGGAATTTCAACGAAAACAAAAATTTTTATAAGTTTAAAACAATCAGTTAAATATTTTTTTCGTTCGTTCTTATTTTAAACACTGATAATATATTACATAAAACAAAAATTGGCTATTAAATGGATCTGAGTGTTAAATTGGTCGGTGCATAAAAGAATGATTTTATCTGCCGCAAACGATCGATTCAGCAATTAAAATGGTTTTTGAAGATGTCGGGCTGATGAGCAATTAGAGCTGAACTTCTCAATGAAGACGCCACCGATAAGGCGCCAATTGACTTCAACAAAGGACATCTAGTCTGTACGAATTGCCTATTTAAGGATATCTCAACCATTTAAAAAATCGACCCTTGAAATGACCACGGTTTACCGTTCTAATTTACAATTACTCTGATTATATCTATTGTATATTTTTTAGAATTCGATGAGGAGAGTCTTCATTGCAAAACAATGGAACTTATTTATTTTTGATGGACTTAATTTATAAGAAATAATCTTTTTAATGGCAGATTTATTCTTATGTTAGGTGGAAGATGAACCCTTGATTCTCAACGCAATGATCTAAATCACCGTCCACTCGCATGCCGTTTTATTTAATACAATAACAAAATACAATATACTCTTTATATACCCTTTTTTTACAAATACAAAAGAAATCAATTATCCCGAATTACGATCGAACTTAATGATCAAACTTTAGGAAATAATTCTTAATAATTGTTTAACTCTGAAAAATAAAATAATATCAGTTTTTCAAGAATAGCGTAAAGGTAAAAGTAATGTTTTGTGTTAGAAAAATCATTTTTATTATTACAAAATGCAGATGTGAAAGAAATCCATCCGAGTGTTGGAGAAGAGGATGGACTATTAATATTAATAAAAAAATAAAAAAATGTATGTCGGCTACTGTCTTTGGTCATATGGATACTGTTCAGGTGTTCACAGCTCGATTGGAAGGATTTATGAGCATCTGGTCATTGGATGGCCATTAATGTGCCTTTAATCGAAAATCACTTAATCCCTTGTCGTTCAATTCTTGACATTTATATAGCGAAATAATTGAGCAAAATAAAAGAGCCGACTGTTGAACCCGTCTAAAGTTAATTACTACGGTTTATATTACACCACCACACTCCATTCATTATTTATTTTCAACGTCAGAATCATTAAAATAAGATAAAATTAGAAAATTCCTCTAAAATGTATTTATCAATATATATCAAAACTCTTCGTATAATCTTTAATTACAATTGAAATAAACGTAGAAATTCATATCCTAATTCATATCACGCGAATAATAATATGTTAATATGCGAACTAACATTAATATGCGAATAAATAAAAATTTACATTTACTCAGATTAAAAATTATATCAAAAATTTTTCACATTATTTATTGATTACAATTATAGTTGATGGCCAATGGGCGGAATGGTCATCTTGGAGTGGTTCTTGTCGAGTTGATTGCGGAAATCTAAAATCAGAAATTGAATGGAGAAAATCAAATAGATTAGAAATCGAGGGGATATGGCCAAAATTAGTGAGGAGGAGAACCTGTAATAATCCCGCACCGATTAATGGAGGTGCATTTTGTCCAGGAGATGAAGAGGAAACAAAATTATGTGAAGTGGACTGCGTTATTGACGGTCAATGGTTAGTTATATAGTCGATCTTTTTTGAATCGAATTTTTTCTCATTCCTTAATTTATTTTTTAAACAAGCAGAAACAACGTACTTGAAAATCTAGTTCAATCTTTTCGTTATCTTAAAGTTGTTTTCTCTTCATAAGTTTACTTTAAGCCGGTTTTTCTCCTTTCATCTGAACATACTGTTCATTCACTTTTCGCCAATTGCTAATCTTCAGTCACATTCTTAGATATAATGAAAAGCCATTTATTTATATAAATGAGTTAAATAAATTTAATTGATCTGAAGGTCACAATGGTCTGCTTGGTCAAGGTGCAGCGAAAATTGCCATCGATTTCGTACTCGAGAATGTGATGCACCTCGACCATTTAACGGAGGACAAACTTGTATTGGTCGAGACTTAGACACCAAAAATTGTACTAAAGGCGAAGGATACTGTATACTTCAACCACCAACTCTTATTGGATATTCTGTGGAAGCTCAAATGGCAATGTATGCTGGCTTATTCAGTGTTATAATATTATCTCTAATAATTTTTGTCCTTATTGGAATATTATTTTGCCGATGTCGTCGATGGTGTGGACGTAAAAAGCAAAATGATATTTATTTTCCGGAAACGAGTGGTTAGTCAACAAATTTATTTATTTGTTTACTTATCTTATCTTAAGATAATATAAATAAACAACTTAATGATCGTTAATGGATATTAGAATTAATCTTTCCACGGTAATCTGAAAAATAAATTATTCTTTCTTATTTTAATTTTAAAAATATGAGAAAATGCTTATCAATATGACAATCACTAATTTTCATTGATTTTTAATAGGATTTTTTGGAACTCAAATTTTTTTTGAATAAATAAATAGATATTATAATAGATAAATTTTATTTGACAAAATGCTTTAAAAATTTGATCATAATTGATAAAAAATTTACGTCACTTATTTTTAAGATTTCAGTAAAAAAATTTTTATTTACGAACGATTACCTGAAGATATTTCGCAAAAAAATAATAATAAAATATAAAAAACAAAATATTGAAATTTCCCGTAGTTTTTTTCCATATAAGTTAACAGAATAAAAAATGACAAATAATTTCTGCTTTATTAAATTTGGCTGCGAAAATATTTAAAAAACAAATATTCTTCCCAACTTTTTTTCTCATAATTTTTTTTCATATAAGATACAAATTGTCTGACATAATTGTAATATAATTATATATTTGAGGATAATTTAATTGACTTGTCATTTATTTATTCGAGATTTCTAAGGTGATTTATGTTGTCTTTCATTAAGTATCGTCCATTCATCCATTCATTAAATCAGAAAGTATTATTTATTATTGCCAGCTCACGCCGTCGACAATAAATTACAGACATAACAATACTAAAGATATGGGTCGATTAAATTTAACGCTCAGAAGTAGCCATTTAGGCTGCCAACTAACTAATTCGCAAGATATGTGCTATGTGTGCTTAGCAAAGAAAAAATATAATTCTAATTTTGCAGCTCATGTAAGAACGGTATTATTGCAACAACAACAGCAACAAAGATTGTTTGATGATGCGATGGACTGTGTGAAAATCGTGCCAAATGGTAGTGAATTTTATACTTTAACTACGACTGCCTCTCCACCTCATCCAATTGTTCCATTGTCATCATTAACCTTGAGGTCTATAAAAAGCGCACAAAGTGGATATTCATCGTCGAAGAAAGTAGCGGGTAAATATTGCATGTATTATTTATTTAACACTTCAATACTTCGATGAGTTTAAAAGGGGCGACAAATTTAATTTTGCAATTGAAAGCCTTACATGAGAATAAAATTCATAATTATTGAATTCCTCAAGTTTTTTAAAAATCTTCAAAATTTAAACCTTTGTAAATGAGTCACATTAAGGGTCTCGAGCAGCATTGATAACCGAATGTTCATCATCGAATTCATCAAACGGCAAAACTACTCTAATAAGAACAAGTTCGCCTGCTTCTGATGAAAATTATGCCACTTTATATGATTATGTTGGCGATGTCAACGAGCATTATGGTTCATTAGATTTGAGTAATCTCCCTCAAGCAGTTTTGCCAGCTTATGTCAATAGAAATGGTGCAACGCTTGAGGTTTCTTTCATTTTTGTGATAAATTTTTAGAATTTTTAAAAAAATATATGAAAAAACTTTTATTGGATTTAAATTTGCAAATTTAAACCTTCGATTTATATTTTAAAAGCATTTCGATGTTCCAGTAGTTATTCATTGAATAATATACTATATTATCTGCGAATATATCAAAAAACTACCCACAAAATATTAAATTTTAGAGAAATTCTAAACGATTTGCGCTATGACAAAAAAAAATTTCTAATAATAAATTTAAAAAATCAGCTTTTATATTTATATTTATTTTTATTTAAAAGAAATTCGTAGATTGTTCATATGAGGAAAACCTATATTTATAAAATCATTCGTTGAAGAATTGAAAAAAGAATTTTCAGCTGAGGAAGAGTGATGTATCGTTATTGGTACCTGAAGGAGCATTCTCGGAAGAAAAAGCAGTTTTCATCGCTATTTCTGAAGACAACAGCGATCGGCCAAAATTATCTGGTTCCTTTTTTTTCACCATCAGTCGTACCGAATTCAAATGAAAAAGATTTCATTGCAAAGAAATAATTGAATATTCCTTCAGAAGGCGACACAATACTAAGTGGTGTCGTAATGATTGGTTTATGCGATAATAATGAAGAAGAAACAATAATTCATCGTCCTCTTGTTGTTTCGTTCAAACATTGTGCAAATGTTTTTCCGAAAGATAACTGGATATTTATGGTTTATACGAAATCAAATTTGGCTAACGATTGGGAATTAAGCGCTAAACTCGGTGAAGAAAACATTAATACTCCAATTTACTGTCAAATTTCACTCAACAAGTGAGTAAATTCTTGAAAAAAAAGAAAATTTCCCTATTTGATTCGTTATGATTTTTATTTTCTTTTGTTAAATATACTTGAAAAGTTGATTATTATTGAAATGGATATTTGCACGTTTAAGAGTGAACATTTATAACTATAATGATTGACATACATTGCACATTTCTGTTTAGAGAAGTGTAAAATAGAAAAGAATTTCGCATTAGGGAGAATATCGCAAGTATTATTTGTTGTAGACATTCCAGACATCCTAAATCTGCGTGGCTCTTATCTGTGTTTTATATCGGAGGAATTTATTGCTTTAGCAGTTAATCAGAGATTTTATAGACTACTTGCATTTGCTGAAATTTAAAAATTTTCTGCACTATTTTTATAGCAACTGATACTCATCTAGAGAAAAATATTTCGGTTTTATGTCTTCTACGAAATATGCTCGAAAAATTTATAGGTGTTATATCATGACGGAACAATTCGGCAAAATTTTGTTGGTTGGAAGGCCACGAAGAGCGCCGTCTACGAAAAGAGTTCGCATTGCAGCTTTTGGGCCTTTGTATGGAATTTCTAACGATTTTTCTATAAGAGTATATTGCATACCAGAAACAGGCATTTCACTGCAAAATGTTTTGGCGCAAGAAGAGAATACTGGAATTCTTCTTACACAGTTGGATGATTTCTTATTGAAAGAAAAAGGAGCATTATGTATATGTCTTGAAGATATTTCAACTGGCTTGGCTATCAAACCTAAAGCTCAGTATTTGGTAAAATTTTTTGATTTATCACATTCCCTTAAAAATTTAACTGACATCATAAATTATAATGATGGATATTCACTGCGAAAAAAATTTTTATATCTGATTTGAGCTTTTAATCTTTCACGGTTTATTCTTTGCGAGCTCTTTAAAAATATTTAGTTTGATTAAAAATTGGTATTTAGGAAATACCAGATACTCATCATTTGTGGTGTACTCTATCAGGACTTCACTGCAGTTTAAAACCTGATATTCCGGAAAATTTATTAGAAAATTCAACCGGACGGATAGTTATTTATCAAAAAGGCAATACAGAAAGTCGTCAAGTATTGCAATTTGATATGAGAAAGACAGCTGTGAGTAAAGAATTTGAAAAAAAAGATTTTAAAAATTTGCTTGGAAGATTTTAGATATATATATATATATAAATAGTAATTTTTAACGAAATAACAAATGTTTATTGGAAAATGTTTTTCTACAGAGTTGTTGCGAATCTGAATATGACGATTCATCTTCGCATAATTTCTTGCTGGACTCGAATACGAGATGGAAACTTGCTGAAATATTTGATACACCAACTGATCCTGAAAAAGATTGGAGAGGTCTTGCAAAGAAACTTAATTTGCATCGCTATATACAGGTCACCATCCGGAATTATCTTAAACTGCCATAAGCAACATTTCTCTTCGATTCATTGCTCAACGTCAGATAGAAATTTAAAATTTCCATTTTTTCAGTATTTTGCAACAAGACCTGGTTTGTCACCAACTACTTTAATATTAGATTTGTGGGAAGCGGTGGAACTTGGCTCACAACGTGCTATACTCGATTTATTACAAGCAGTTAGGATAATGGGTCGTCCCGAAGCTGTCCTTGTTCTTGAAGATTATTTGGCACAATCCAGTCATTTATTGTCAAATAACGATTAGAATATTTTCTCGGATTCAGAATTTCCTTCTGTGTCAAACCATTTGGTTCCACAAACAGAACAGAACAATAGAATTAAAGTTATAAAACTATGCTGCAATGTATTCTTTGAAAATCTATTGGTTTCTCATTTGTAAATTGTGTAAAAAAATGAGAACATGGTGTAATCATTACTATAATTATTCTAACAAATAATCCTTTTTTTTAGAGAAAATACTTTCAAAGTATTTAAAACAACGGAATAAGGGAAACAGATGACTCGTTCGCTTATGAATTACATTTTTATACGATTTAGTGAAACAAATGAAATAATCTCATACGAAAAAACTGGGAAAATGTAGGAAAATTTCCCGTCTTTTGTAAACGTTTTATGATTGCCTTTAACACATTTCAATGAAAATATTGCTCAGTTTGCGCATTTAATTAGATTTATTATAGAATTCAAGTGCTTTGATAAATAAAACCTAAAAAGGATTTAAGCAACAAAACAATCGTAGCAGCCTAATCTTCTTCTCTCACCCTAACTGGTTAGGTCGGCTCCACTGGCTGCAAGAGTGAAACGTTTTCAGGCGTGAACCACCCTTATCTAATCTTATTTATAATGCACAATAAATAAATTTGATAAGCACAATAAATTTACTTCCCACAAAAATGAGATAATCTTCATCAATTTTTAATTGAAATCCGTGCTCAATAATTTTATTACAAATATTAATTGTATCAGCGATAATACATTATTAGAAATTTTTTTAAAACTACTTTGTTTTTTGCACAATGTATTATAGTCTTTCTAACTCTTTTTAGAATTGGATTTTATTTTACGGCGTAAATGCTACAAAAACTTTTCTTTATATTAAACAAGTCACTAATCACTCAATAACCACAAATATCAATTTATGCAAATTTTATTAAGTATAAAGGCGTTTGGAACAAACAAATAAGTTACAATAACTGAAAAGAAAATGAAAAAGAGTGATTAAAAATCAGAGTTAACAATCAAATGACCGAATCACTTCCATACAGTTATTGGACAAGCTTTTTAAAAGCTAACGCCAGATTCCTCCCATTTTCTTGACCTTCTTTCTGCAATAAAACGAATAAAAGAATAGTCAAACAAAAATACATTCATAGACAAAAGTATTCTTCATATCGTTCACCTCAATTTTATTTCTCGCGTCCATTTCCACAACTTCGCCTTCATTATTAACCAGCATAGCAGCAGGTATCGTTTTCACTTTATATTTTGTCAAAAGTTCCCTGTGAAAAAAATGTGAACGGATAATATTAAAAAATGATATAATTCCAATAAAAAATTTTAAAATATTTTAACATTCCCAATTAATTAAGCACAAAAAATCAAACGAAAACGACGTTTAAGGTTAAATAAGATTTTATAAACTTTATTTTACTGAATATGATTATCTCCAAATGGTATATAAGGTACATTAGGAAGACTTTTCTCGTAATATTCAACTTGGTCTTCAGCAGCTCTATCGCGCGATATCCAAATGATTTCTATCCCTTCTTTTTTTCCTGCTTCTTCATACCATTTCTAAAAAAAACTGAATAGAAAAGGGAAGAAGTTTCCAATTACCAGTATATTTATAAGAAAAGGCTATTAAAAAACAAAAGAAAATAGCGAAAACCTTTAATTTTGGAGTAAATAATTTACAATACCCACACCAGCCAGATGAAAAATAAAGCAATATTGCCTGAAAAAAACATATATATATATATATATATATATATAACAATCAATACAATTTGTTCAATTATAACATAACCTTTTAAAATTAGAATTAAATAATAATATAACAAATATTAATATTATAAACAATGAAGAATATGAACAGGAAAAGAATAAAAATAAAAATAATGAGGGCAATTAATATAAAAAGGAAAAAGGAAGAAGTCTGGCTAATGAAAGAAGGGAAATTAAATATTATTAGTCAGAAACACAACGGAAATAAAACAATTCTAAAAATGTATGGTGCAATGTTTCAATATTATTAATTATTTAATATTAAATTAGATAAAATATGAATCGAGAAATGCACACATAAAAGCTAAGTTAGAACCATAACTGGTGAAAGTAAAGCAAAGCCGAGAATTAACCCACCTAGGAACTTAATAAGTTTCTAGTGAAAGGGTTACCCCCAAGCAGCCGGCATAACTGAACAAAAATGGCAGTTATAATAAATACTAGGCAGTTATAATAAATAAAATTTAGCACAAAAAGGGAACGGAAAGGAAGTTATGAAAATATTAACTGATGGCAAGAAATTAAATGATCCATAACTACTAAGAAAATCATAAAGATATCGAGGCAATAATCCATAAAACTAAGGAAATCATAAAATCAATAAAATAACAGTAGGGTAATTATTTATTCATATAGGTAGGAAAATGATGAAATTTAAAACTAGCAATGGCGTAATAGTACTAAATAAAAAATAAAATAAATAAAAAATGTTTAACGAATTTCCAAATTCTATTTCATGTGGTTATTTCGAAATTTTGTAGAATTTTAAAAATTGTCACTTGAAATTTTTGAAAAAAATATAAATGAAATATGATAAATTAAGAAAATCGGAGAAAAAAATACATTAAAATATCAGACAAAGACATTTCAAATCATCGAATTAATAGACAATAAAATTAAGAAATAATAAAATAACAATAAAATGAAAGAATGTTCTTTTCAAATTCTTCTTTTTTCAGTAATGAAAATTAAAAAGAAATTAGATTAAAGAGAAACTGAAAAAAAATAGAAATAAAAAATTAACTTATCACGTAAATCATTAGATGTTATCGTTCCTTGTCGGTTTTTTAATGGAACATTCTCCAAAAATTTACAGCCAACTGTATAACTCCGTTTCGATAATAACCCCCTCAGCATTGTTAAAGAAACCAGATCACAACACAAAACGCGAACCAGTCCACAAACCCGTTTCAAATATAGAATTCGTGGCAGAAGTCGGAATTTTAAAATAAAAAAATGTTGCAGCAACATAATACCCAGACTTGATTTTCATTTAATTCTTTCAAGAAAATGAACCGTTTCACGATTTTTTAATTCCAAATTCAGTTGAATCGTTTATAATCGAAATTTAAAGGTGAATAATAATAAATATAAATGCTTCTTAAAATCTCACAAAAAAAAAGATTCAAAAATTCAATAAATAAATTTTGTTGAATAAAAGACTTTTTTATTAGAAATTATTTAATCAAACATTAAATAAATAAAAAATTAATCGCTTAGACGGCTGAACTAAATTCAGCGTTAGTTTCTCTTGAATGAATCTGTCACTTCAAAAAGACGAAAACGGTTCGTTGAGAACGGTTCATTCAAAAGAGAAATCGGAATGGCCTTTCTATCTTCACGAGATCCTACGGTGAAACGCTCTTCCGAAATGCACCAAGTTAAGAACGAATAGTCAGCTAAACTGGAAATAACAGAAAAATTTTTTGTATTTATCGTATCCAATTTTTAAATAATACTGAGTGATTTTTTGATGTATATTTATCTATTTTCTAATATTATTTATAATTATTATTTAGCTGCTTTAAAAAAATTAATTTGAATTAAAACTTTTTCAGTTTTTATATAAAATCAAATAATAGTTTGAGAAGTAATAACGTTTTGCTAGCAAATTTTTATCGTCGAATTTTTATAAGTTTTAAGCTTTCCTTTGCATAAATCAAAATCGAATGTTTTTATACTAAAGACAACTTTTATACAAATAGCAATAATTTTGCAACGTAGTTATTATATTTATAAAAATGGCTCCGAGCGCCGAGGTTTCCCTGCTTGCGGCGAGAGTAAAGCAAAAAATTGCGGGCAGAGCTGGCGCCTCGCCTCGCTTCTGTTTATAGTTTGAGTACCAAGCGAAAATTTCTCAGCGCACCCACCACTAATTGTGATTATATTTTGATAATTGTGAATCGAATATAGTGAAATATGACTTTAAAAAATTTTATTTCATTGAAATTCATTTCATTGAGACGACGACGCTGAATATCGTAAATTGTGAAATGAAATGAGGAATGGAAGATGCTTGAGAAATCGTTGATGAATTGACTCGCATCCCCTTGCGATTTATCAACTACTATATTATAGTTGGAATGGTCGAGGATGTCCACTCAACTTACGCATTCTCTACTAATTTAAGCCATTTACATTTACATCCGACGTCGAATTCGTATAAGAATTCTCATAGCTAAGGGAATGTAAATAAATTTACAATTTATAGAATTTTATATTTCGTTCTTTCCGCCAAAATAACGGTGAAAAAATTAAAAAATAGCGCGGTTTTTCGTAAAAAAAAAAAATTTCATGGACTCAACTGGAATTACCGGAAATTTGGAACTATCAGTGAAATATCGCAACAGCAGTGAGTGAGTGATTTTCTTCGAGTGACGGGGGAATGCATGGAAAATGTGCCTATGCAAGTGCACAATGCTTGCATATTTGATCATTCGAAGCCAAAGTTATCGTCAGCCAAATACGCCATCAAAATGCACCAACATAAATGCAATAGCCTCAAACATTTATCTTTTTTAGTAAAATTAGTACAATTTGATGTTATAAATTAATCATTCATGCGTCCATGCCAAATAGTTCGTTCATCAATCAAATATTTGTCAATCGAGTTTTCTTCTTTTAAACCAACAAGCAATAAATAAAAATGACTCATCTAAATATATTTATTTAAATATTTCAAGATAGAATATTTCCATCAGTCAGAAGCACTCGAAATTTGCCATCCTCGAAATTTCATGCACTAATAACCGATTTATTCATTACGAACGCTCACAACTGTTTGCATTCAATTCGTCGTCGATAAATCTTTGAAATCTTTAATATCCATAAAAAATCCCCAATGAATTCCATTCGCATTTCTTATTTCCCCGGCAAGATTCTTATCACTTATAATAAATTGACATTATAAACTATTTCGAAAGTATTATCATTCACGATTAAACAAAAAAATAAATTGATTACTTTAATCAATTTGTGGGGAATAATAAACGAATGTAAATGAAGTGCTGCAACGACGTCTTGCATTGTTGTCGTTTTCTGCTGCCTCAGCGATGAAAGGACGAGAATTCGAGATTATCCTTTAAAATGCAAAACATTCAAAGCACTGCGAAGTCTTCGGCCAGAATATCGTTAACGCATTTGGGGACAAAACTTGGCTGATCGATGGCCATAAGAAATTCATGATCCACGATCATGAATTTATTTGCGATTATGGAGTGGTCTCAGATTTAGAAAGCGATTCTATTATCTATTTTTTGGAACAAAACAAAACTTCTTTGATTTTCTTTGATATACCTTGAAAAATATTAAAATAAAATGTTTATAGGAGATAAAACAAAAACAAAATTGAAAAAATATTTAAAATAATGCAAAGGAAACTGTTATTCCTTTAAAGACTAGAAGTAGCATTAATCGTTTTTCAAAAACGCTGAAACTGGAAATCGCCGATGCTTTGGCCGATAACTTCCCTAATTTATTTGTCAAACCAAGTCGAAAAAATTAAAATGAACCGAATCGATCTAAGAATTTAAAAAAATATGGCAAGCGAAGGCGATTACTTTTTTCTCGTTGATTTTAAATGTATGGCTAATACTTTTTGTTCTTAATTCTGAATAAAAAAAAATTAAAATATACATCACTCATAAAAAAACAGATTTTCTGTTTCCAAGATCACCTTATGTTTAAAATTAGAGTCCTTTATCACTTTTACTGTTCAATTACAAACTATTCTTGGCACATGCTTCATACATCGTATGGTACTGAAAGGGCATATTGCTGACATAATATGATATTATTTAGGGACATATTAACAATATATTCAAATTTGGGCCTACATTATCGCTTCAGATTGATTGTGAATTAATAAATGGTTAGCGTTTAATGATAAACCATTGCTAATTTGCTGATATGATATGATATTTTCTATCTCCATGTTCATCTTTTCATTAAACATGTACTGATGGACAAATTATTCATGACCTAATTCTGAGACTTATGCGTACGTCCATCGTTCAATAAGAAGAAGTGATAAAATCAGTGATAAAAAGCGGATTGGCTTTACTGTTATCGTTATTCACGACCTAATTGAAATAGAAAGTTTTGAACAATGGTTTCAACCAAACATCATCTAAATTTGAAGGGTTAAATTAAATAAATTTACGTAAATCTATTTAACGATGCTACAAGTGATGAATAAAAAAATGCTTATCTGAGGAAGAATGAAGATCTGAAGTGCTAAAAGAGTATAAAGAAAAAATATAACAAGGAAGATAAGGAGAATAACAATGGGCTTTAAAATTTTATATAATTTTAATCCAGACAACAGTTAAGCAATCAGATTTATTTGGAAAAAAATTAAAATTTATTCAATATAAGAATATAAATACAATATACAAATTAAATTGGTGAAAAGAAAAGTAAAAAAAAAAATCTATTTATGAAATAATCGATGAATGTCTTCTTTTGCATGTCTCCGATTACGGTGTTGTGGAAACGATGGCATTAACTTTGGATCACAAGGCAATGGTGGTTCCGTGAAATAACTTAAATTAAAACAAGAGATTTTGAAAAAATTCTGTTTCTCAACCTTAGGTAGAGTTTGAAAGATAACCTGAACCAAGAAACATATTCATTCAAGAAACATATTTTAAAAAATTTAAAAAAAATAAAAAAATTGGGATTAAACGCTACATACCAACTAAAAATGCATAGAATGTTACCTGGAACTTAGAGCACTCTTTGCAGAAATACGAAGTTTGGGATCATACGTAAAAAGAGCATTTAAGAGCTGAAGACAACTCGGACTGGCATGTTTAAAAACGCATTTTAATTTGTTATAAGGCTGCAAGCGCAAATCACATTTTTGAACGAATTCTAATTCGTTGAAACCTTTCCAAATCTTTTCAGAAGGAGTGCCAAGTAAGTCGATAATTTTATTAATCTGAAAGATGTGTCCACTAAAATTTATACAAATTTTTCAGTCACAAGCAATAATATTATTTTCTTACTTGATCAATCTGGCTTTTACCAGGTAATAGCGGTCGATTAAGAAGAAGTTCCCCAAGAATACACCCACTCGCCCAAATGTCGACGCCTGTATTTTGTTGCTGTGAGCCGAACAATATTTCAGGACTTCTATACCTAAATTTTTATATTTCTACACCTAAATTCAATTAATATTTGTTGAAAAGAACTTTGATATTGATATTAAATTAATCATGAAATCACCATAAAGTTACAACATTAGGAGTCATCTGTCGTGGTGGATTTCCAAATTTGCGCGCCAAACCAAAATCGGCCACCTTCATGCAACCGTCATCGTTTAGCAACAAATTTGAAACCTCAAAAAAGTATACAATTTTTACTGTTATCATGCCACGAAAAAAATTTATGTGTACTTGGTTCCATAAAAACAAGTAATTTAAGTAATTTAACTGAAAAACAATTTAAATAATTTAAATGATAAAGTTTATCGACTACTTAAAATAATTTTAGATTAAATCTCGATTATTAATTCATTCCGTTTTTAGAAATGAAATTTCTCTATAATTTAAATGATAAATTGATGGGTTTCCTTGTCTACGCATTCATCAGGCAGATCGAGAACTTAGTTCTATCTCAGGCTGTTGCTTAATAGCTTATTATTTATTTATTACTTATTATTACTTATATAATATAAATAATAGGAAAAGAAAATTTCAAAAATTATATTTAAAAAAATGCCATCAATAAATTAAAGAAATTCAAATATGGCTTAAACAATAACTTTTAAGTCGCGATGGACGATATGTTTATTATGGAGATATTTCAATGCTTTCAGCAGCTGGATAAATAGGCATTTTACTTGTGCTTCAGTGAATGGCATTGCAATATTATCCAATAGATACGCCAGATCATGAAACACTTGAAATTTAATAAAGCAATAAGTGCAAGAAAAAGATAACTCAAAAACCGAAACAAAATTCAGACGAAATTCTGAGGAAATTGATAATTCTAAATTCTAAATCTAATGTCAATGATATCCTCAAGGTTTTAAAAATTCTTTCCTTTTAGAATTTTTTGAAAAATTTTTAAAAAATAATTCTCAAATGAAGCAATAAGAAAATAAAATTATTCCTCATTTTCCAACTCATTTCATAAATAAAAAACCAACTTGGCTGCAGTATTCCATCACTAAAAATATCGATTTTATTTCTCGACCAACCGCAACTTCACGCAGACTAACAATATTTTCATGTTTTAGGCTCATAAGTAAATGAACCTCGCGAATGACTGAAATCGAAATACCCGAATCACTGTCAGTGCTCAGCCGAATTTGTTTTAGAGCTACCTTAAAATTTTTGATGTCATAATAAACCAAATTAAGTTGACGATTACTTATATAAAACAAGGAAATCTCTAAAAAAAACTCGCAATTTCTTTTGTTTTCCTATCGAGTGCTCGATAAACAACTCCATAAGTTCCTTCGCCAATTCTGTTAAGCTTTTTATAGTCGTTTACTGGTCGACATTGTCCGAAAGTCATCGAAGCCTGCAAAATATAATTAAATATAATTAATTTACAAAAAATAATCAATCATTTAGCAGAAAAAAGTTAAAAAACTACAAATATTAGACAGCAAAAAAAACTGACAATCATTCTAACTTGAAAATTAGTTTAATTTCCGTTAAATTCTATTTAAAAATTTAATTGCAAAAACTAAAATAGAAATTGTTGCTAAAATAAATAAAAGAGAACCTTTTCATGACTTTTCTCACTCAAATCGAAAATTGATGTTATTCGCACGAATTTAGCACTAATTTCAGTACTATTCGCTTCTTCCATCTTCTTCAGTGATCGACTTTTTGTTAAATGAATATTTCTTGCATATCTTGCTATATTTGCATATCAAAAATAAATATAAATATTTATAAAAAAAAAATAAATATTTGGAACTGAAAATTACCGTTTCGAGAAAAGCCATTTTTTCGCCAAAAAATAGAAATATTTTTCATTGTAAAAATGCCAATTTTAAATTAAAGGTTAAGGTCAATAGAATCAAATTAATTTTAATAATCCCTTAAGAAATGATAAGAAAAATATTAAAACTATCAAATAATAAAAAATAATAATAAAAAGAGAAAGTGGATATAGAAAAATTTTCAACATTCCAAAATTTGAAAGTCATGATTTATAAAATTATAAAATAATATTAAAATATTAATATTAAAAATTATATTAAAATTAATCTACAAAAATTGTTAGAGTGGGATTTAAAAAATAAAAATAACAATACTCAACAAGAAATGCTGGGTGCTAGTGAGATATGCAAATTTGGACAGGGGGCACCCGGCGGTAGAAATGCGACTGGGTAACCGACGCCATCATCCTCGTCGAAGGAGGCATGCCACCGACTCTCAAGACGATAATCTGAACAACAACCGCTCGGCTATCCTGTCCCACCTCTAACTCCCACCAATAATTTGGATAGAAGGTTTCAGACAAAGATAACTCACGAACCAAATCCATTGATAAATTTAACTGCATAATGCAACGATAAAGTTGACCTGTCACTCAATTCATAATTATTGGCAAACGATTCATCTGACCTTTAGAGTTTCAGCCGACTACTTTCAAATATCGGTTAAACTTTAACCGTCAGCTTTGTCTATTTAAAATAGTCGTTTGATTTCAGGAAAACTAGAAAGTTTTCACATTAGGGTAAGCAGATTACTGTTGAGTAGCATAGGAATGTGGATATTTGATTCTTCTGGAAGGTTTGCTTGACTTTGGATTGTGGCAACTCCACATTCTTCATAGAGTTACTTGAGGACACAGTGTAACGAATGCGAGGATTGCCACTAATTATTATAATTGGACCTTAGTGCTTCGCCCTAGTCGAAATGGCTCATCGTCTGAGCAGTTCCATCCTTAATTTCAATTTTTGCTGGAAATATTAAAATTTCAGAGAATTTAAATTCTTCTTTTAAATTTATTTATTTATTTATTGATAACCAACCAAGCAGGGCGACAACGCCATGTGCTTGTATTAATAACAATAGTTAAAATAACAGAAAAAGAAAACACAAAAAAAAATATAACATAAACAAAATTAATTATAAAACAATATGACAAAAATTAACAATTTAAAGAGGAAATTACAGATCAATATAATATAGTACAATTCGAAGTAACATGTATAACCTGAAGACAAAATCGAGATTTCTCACTTCCTGCAGTCCTTGCCTGGTGTAAACTCTTCCCTCTTTTTTTTTTTAAATAATATCGTAAATGATATTATCTAGTCTTTTTTTAAAGACAGCTAAGGATGACGCACAAGCTGCATCGTTCGGTAATTTGTTCCAGTAGTTAATAGTACGAATAAAGAAGTCATGAGTCCTTAGTTTAGTTTAGTTTAGTTTTGCATATAGGTTTTAGTAATTTTAAGCCATTAGTTCTTGTTGGATTTAAATTTAGTCTAAAGTTATAATATTTCGAGCAATCTAGTTTAACATAACCATACAGAATCTTATATGTGTAAATTAAATCTTGTTTAATTCTACGAACTGAGAGAGAATCCATGTTATGTTGTAGAAGTGTGTTCTTTTATAATTAAAATTATAATTTTTATTAGGAGAAGGCGTCGTAGAAAATATTTTTGGAGTCCTTCAATTATTTTACCTGTTTTGCGACGTCTCGGGGAGTAACATGTAGCACTGTAATCAAGAAGTGGCCGAACGAACGCTTTGTACATTTTTGATAAGGAAATCTTCAGTTTTGTTCTTAAACGAACGAAAAATAAAATTTAGTATCCTTGAGGATTTCTTTACTATAGTTCTGCAGTGAAGATCGAAATCGAGATTTTCATCCATGATTATTCTAAGATCGGAAATATAAGAGACTGATTATATTGCCATTAATAATAAGATTAGGAAAATCGAAACCTTTAGAATTGATATGAAGAATGCTATATTTTTGAAAGGAAAGCAAACCATTTTTTTAGCTTAGAAACAACAGTATAACCAAAAGCTAAGAAAGAGGAATATAACCAAAAGCAGAAAATAAAGAGAATAATAGAACTAATGGGGAACTAAACCAAGTAAAGCAAACTAAATATATTAGTGACAAATAATTGAATGATCAAGGAATCGAGCGATCAAGGTTTCAAACCTCCTGTAAAACATAAAGCTTTTAAATAATATCATGGATGAATCTCTTTTTGAAAATAGGTAAGGCTAGTGAACAAGCTACGTCATTCAGCAGCTTATTCCAGTAATTAATGGTGCGAACAAAAAGGCCATATGTTCTTAATTTGGTATTGCACTTAAGTTTTAATAATTTTGGCCCATTAGACTTCGAATTCAAATTTAATTTAAAATTATATATTTTGAACAAAACTAATTTGACAAAACCATTGCTCTGTCACTGAACAGTCACTTAGGTCCTTCCTTCGAAATCATCGCATGGCTTATTCCAACATTTTTTTGCTTTTTAGATTGCTTGCAAAAATAAATCTTTAAGCTTTCATCGACCATGCTTTCATTAGAAACTGTAACTCTTATAAAACAAAATACTCTTATAAAACTTTCTAATGTCCTACAGTGAGGTAATGAACCATAGGCAAAATTTCAGTAAAATATTGCTGCCATTGTTTCTGTGTTGCAGAAGCCATGGCTAATTGAATATTATAATCAAAATAAATACGTTTTTTATAAATAAATAAGAATAAATAAAATATATAAAAATAGGATATGTAATATATATAAATCAGAATAAATAAAAATGTATAAAAATAAAATTTCGTTCACGGCAAAAAAGACGAAAGGAAATGATATGTCCTTTTAAACAGAAAAAGAAGCAGATTGGAAGGGAATGGGCAGATTCACCTCCACAGCCCAATCATTACCCACCAAACATTCCGAAGATTAAAAACTGCTGCTATACACGACATGGTGCGGTTTGGTACGAAACAGAATGAGTGGCCAAGTATTTCAGCTGGCTTCATAGTGCCAGTTAAAATAACTGCATGCTTGGTGCAGAAAACATATTTCAGCTGAGTATATCATCGAAAATTTTCACGCAGTACGAGTCGGTGCCCCGAATATATCCATTGGACTTTTTTTCACACTTTATTCTCTATTATTTTATACGCAATTTTATGTGACTTGAACGCTGAAAACACTGATCTTTTTATATGAAATATTTTGCGCTTAAATGCTAAGCTTTCCTTATATTCCAATCATTCTGTTCACACACATTCTACCGTTCTCTACAGAATAACCGATTTTGTCTAAAATCACTAGGGACCTCTATTAAGAGATTAATCAGTTTTAGATATTCGAATTATTGTGGTTATTTCTTTTGCTAAATGCTCGCACCATCACTGTTTAGGTTGGCTCGATAACTCTCTTCAGCAGCTGTAATTGTGCTTATTTGGGAACCTTCGTTACACCCTTCTAATATTATATTTATTACAAATTTTACTGCATGGAGCCCAGTTATATTCACCTACGGATAAGCCATGTTTTACTCTCTTCACAGACTTCACGCAGTTATTCTCTTAATAAAGGATCGATGGAAAAGAATTCTTCAATCATCGAATCGTTCCAGTGTCAAACTACTGTTATCTTTCTGTCTAATATAGCTAAGATAGACGGCTAGATGTTAGCTATAAAAGCGATTCCGTTGCTGTATCGAATCCTTCGCTTTTATTTTCTATTCTTAGAAAGAATGAATAAAGAATGAATCTCCTTTACTATTTTCAAAATACCGTCTATACGAGAAATTTTACAATAAAAGTTCGTTTATCATATTTGATAAAGCTGAAATATCAGTGTTTATACAAAGCGTGGAAAAACGATCGTCCAGCAAAGTTTTTGCGTGGATTTCGAAAGAAACATCAGTTTTTTTTTCCAAATCTAAGCTGATTTATTATTAGATTAGATTGTTTCAAAATAAAAATAAAGTATAGGGAAATTTTGTGATAATTTTGGTGGGAAATGTATCTATTCATATGAGAAATGCCATTTTATTCAACCAATTGAGAGGAATTGTCGCCAAAGAATTTAGAAGGTTACATTGTTTCCTTCCTTCTTTCTTTATCACTTTTTGTAATTTGATTGATTCTTCGTTATCAAAAATTTAAAATTTTGTCGAAAATTTTTATTATATTATTAAAATAGCTGTAATGACTTTAAATAAATATAATTTTGCGTCCAATTCGGTTTAGTGAAATGGCTCTTATCAAGTAAAATGGCAAATATAGTTATATTCGATAAATGTTGCGATAGATAATCAGTCACGTCGTATGTGATACGTTTCCCAATTATCAGTTCCATGTCCTTTTACTAATTCACTGACTGTAAAAATTAAACGAGAAACGATTCTAATGAGCCATTTATCGATATTGCTCTGATTTCCATTCACTTCGCTCCACGTCCGAGTGGCCTAGCACATTTATTTCGCAAAGTTGTTAATATCCGTGGGGGTCGACAGAAGCGTGTAGACTTTCTGGTTCACGCTCTGTGCGAGATGTTTATTGCTTAAGGCACAGCACGAGGCTCGGCTCGTTTCACGGATATCCGTTGGGGAGCGAAATTTTTTAAGGAAGGTTCTTATTTCTTCTTTTGTCGTAATTCGAAATTCGAAATTTTTCCTTCTTCCAAGTTTCGCTATTGAATTTTTCATTATTAGTGCTTATTTTTTGTCAAAAACAAAGAATTAAATGATTTTTAATTCGATTAAATTAATTTTTTAATTGCAGGAAAATACGTTTTAGAGAGGAAATTAATTCGTGAAACAGTAGGAATCGAAGAGGAATGAGAATGCGAATTATGAAAAAGCAGCGATTTCGCTCGGCCGATTCCATTCCATTTATTTTTCGCTTCTTGGATCGCGTTTTTCGAAAGACATAAACGATTAGATTGCTGTGCACAGCTCCGAATATCCTTTTGCCCAAAAGCGCTAATTGTTTCTCTCTCCGCTCGTTGTTCCCATCAGACAGATTTTGCTAGGGAACCACTCGGCGCACAGATGGATCGTCGGTCGCGTTCTCGGGAGTTTACTTGTTTACTTCTGGCGGGAATGGTACCGCAGCACCGATGAATCGTTGCGCCATTCTATTCCGCAATAACTTTAATGCGTGATCGATGCTTTTTTTGAGTATAAAAAGAATGCAAACACAAACCTCGGATATTTATTCATTTACTTTTTTTAATTTAACATATCAATCTGAATGAAGCTTATTCTTTCTTTTTTTCAGCGCAATATTTTAATGTTTTTCGAAGTTGAAATGGCTAATTTAGTTTATCAAATGTTATAAAGTTCATTCAACACTTTCCACTCGCCTTTCGCGTTGAAATGACTTGCCTCTTAGCTTTGGCGTCTTCCGTCCGCCAGCAACTCTCGCCGTTACTGCTCAGGCCGACCCCGACACTGCCACTTGGGGACAAGGTGGGTGCCCAGCAGCCACTCGCCAGCGGCATTCACAGTCGTTTGATCCGCATTTGATAAATTTTCGCTGCAATATCCGTCGACATCACTCGTGTACTGCGAAACAAACTGTGGCAAAACAAACTTTGCGACAATCAGTCGGAAATCTGCACTCTCCCAATTCATTTAGGGAAATCTCGACCTGCTTCTTATTTATTTGCATTTGTGGTAATATTTTGCAATTCTCAAAACCAGTTTTTTTTATTTTCTCACATTTTATTGAAATTTTTTAAGTTCATTGTTTAAAGCATATGAGCCGCTATTTAGCAAGAACTAAAAGTCAACGATGGGGCATAGCAGCCGATCATGATGAATGGCACAAAACTAATTTCCTCTTATTTATTGAGAGAAAACGATTAATGGCGTTGCGGTGCGGTTTAGCATCATTTTTTATACATAAAAATATTTATTAAATTAAGTTTTGTTAACATTTATTTAATTTATTTCAATTTGAGGTAACGAAAATTGAAAATTATTAAATAATTTATACGAATGAGTTTATTCATTATTTCTATTTTCTTTTTATTGTTAATAAAATTGTTATTTTTAAAATTTTCGAGATTTCGACGATTAAGTAATTCTATTGACGATCCATTAAATTTTGGCCTTTAAATGCGTCGAATCCACTTTCATGGCCAATGGGCGAGCGAAAAGCGGAATTCGTCGCTGGTGACGAGGCATTCCTGCAGGTGGCAAGCCTCGTCGCCTAGTCGGCCTCGGCCGCAGTTTCAAGCAGCCCTCACCTTTCTGACTGCAGCTGCCTAGGTACACGTCTACAATACGTCTGCGAAAGACGACCAATGGGTAGTGGAGGATGTCAGCAAATTGTCAGGTAGAAGGATGAAACTTCCGAAGTCTTCCGCAAAAATCCCTGGAAGTTGTCCTAAACGAAAAGGCTAAATCATTCCTTCGTAAAATATCTCATACTTGCTAGAAAATAGTAGCATTATTATTATCCAATATATTTTTTGCCTTTGACTATTCTTGCTTAAGATACATCCTACTTATTCGCAAGCGGATAGGAATCTTCACTCGGGCGTTGTTAAGAATGTCGTCGCAAAACGTCTCTTGCTATGGTTAGGCCGTGTGCGTCTTACGCATGCACCAATATATTCACGTTGTCAGAAACGAAGGAGGCTAATCATGATTTGAACTGGTACTATCAGAGGAAATTTGAAATGCATAAGCGGCCCAGTGACATAGAGGTTTGGGCAGTGAAGAAGACTGGCATACGGGTAGCTTGAAAACTAGTGGAGCAAGCCAAATCACTGGTGATGCCAGCTACTGCAAAAGGTTTTTCATTTAGAAAGGATTTCGAATGAATAAGTGGTCTACCAAATTATATTAGGCGATGAGTGATTTTAGCTAATTTCAAATGTGGTTCTAAAAAATGGAGGAAGCCAAAACAGAAAATATGCATGCTGTTAGACGAAATAATTAAAGTAAAATAGTTTTAATTGCTGTTTATTTTGAATACCGTCTGCTACAATAGAAAAGAAAAGATTCCATATATTTCATGATTTCACTGCAATTATACCAGTTATTATACCAGTTATATTATCTAAAGTATAATTGTACAAATGTTGGAAAAGTGCTGAAGTAATGATTATTTCTAATGATTATTTTTTAACGACCTAGCTTTTGACGATTAGCCTTTTATTTTATTTAAATTTTTGAGTTCAATGAATTTTTTAAAGAAATGAAAAGTGATTTGCCGATCATTTCAGCATTTTCCTTATGGTATTTTTTTATTCCAATATTTTATCGCCAAGAACTTTATTATTATAGGCTTCTCTGATTCGCTGTTTCCAGAAAGTTGCAGAATATAGTTCCATAACCAATCGATACAGACACCATTTTTTGTTTACGTGAATCATTTCCGAAGAAATTCCTTTATATGGTGCCTCATATATTAAGTTGTTAGAAGATAATGGATGCATTAAATAAAGGAATCAGATGATTACTGAGGAATATTTTGGTTTGATTAAGAAAGTATTATAAAATATTTAATATTTTTAAATTTTTTGTCGTAATCATTCAAATTATGGTGGGCAAGAAATTTTTTTTTTTATTTGCTGTAGTTAAAGATCCCGGGAATTTTTTTTATTTCTTAAGAAATTATCAGCTTTATGGCCAATTTTATTTATTTTTTATTTGCTCTTTAAATGGCAGAAAATTTTGGCTTATTCATTTGGTGTGATTAAATTTATTCTATAAATTTTGTGGTAAATTTTAAAATATATTTTAATATATTTTAATTAGGCCATTGGAATTTTAGGTTTCTTGATGACGAAAAGTTGTGTGTTGATTATCTATTTCATAACTATATTATGCAAATTTATATGAAGGAAAATTGCAATATATCGACATGGTGGATATTCAAAAATCGTGAATTTCAGTGTTCTATATAATTAAAAAGGTGGTGTCTATATCGATCGGTTATGGAAATGTACCTAACAATATGGCATAGTTTTGTATCATTGTTTTATTTCCAAAGCTGAGCTAATAATCTAAAAAAATGGGAGGCATATAAATTTAAATGAATTATTTATATATTATTCCATTAGTCTATTAATTACACAAGTTTTGATGGGGGATTTCTTAAATATTTTAACTTATCGATATGGTTAAATATGTTTCGGTTACAGAATGATAGAATTCTTCAACTCTTTTAATCGTAATTGTCCTTGTTTTATAGCAGTTTCTTTAATTTATACCATATTTCAGAAATAAAGGAAATCCGTTAATTTTTTTTTTTTTTTTAGAACTACAACTATGCAATACTAATGAGTTCATTGGTTAAAATCAGCTTATACAGCTTATAAGTAAATCAGTCAGTTAACGATAGTCTTAATATTCAAGTATGAATGGCGAATAAATTGTGTGAATAAATGTTAGATTGGGCGATAATAATAATGCCGTTATTTGCTGAAAAGTACGGGATGAATGGGATGGGAAGTATGGGAAGTATGGGATTTTACGAAAGAATTTTAAGATTTTACCTTTTCTTTTAGCATATTTCAAAGGGTTTCAATAGGAATTTTTACAACAAGGTTTAAGAAAATTTAAGTTTGCTCTTTCTTTCTATAGGATTTATTTTTATAAACCATCATCTAATTTACCAGTTTTATCAAAAGTTTACCAGTTTTATAAACCAGTTTTTTTCCAGTCAATTTTTTAATTTTATCTAACGCTTGTTAATTATTTTTGGAATACTTTTCTCTACTGTTAAGGTTGCGTTTATTTTTTTAAAATATTGCGCTATTTTTCATGTTTTTGTTGAGGTTTTGGTTTTGTTTATTATTATTTTTGAAAGATTTTTCTTGCTTCTATTCGCGTGTCTTTTTAGTTATCTTGCGGGCTGATAAATAAAAAAAATTAATTTTTATTGTTTTTATACATTGATTACTGTCTGACGGCCTGTTATGATTCATAAAATTTGACAACTTTTCTTTTTTAAAACTTTTCAGTATTTAGTATTTTCGGATTCTGAAATGAAATATGAGCAGAAAGTTTTATGATAATTTGGGTGGAAAACGTGTCTATTCTTGCGAACGGTGTCGACTATATTTAACGAATCGAGAGGAAGTAATGTCGACCGATTTTAGAGGTTATTTTTTTTTATTTATTTCGGTATTCTATCTTGCAAATTATCCCTTGATGTCTTTTCTGGTTTTCCAGAAATTTTCAAGCGAATTTGTCAACAAATCTTGAAATTTTTTCCTTTTTCCTCATTTTCAATACGATTGGCCATGTTGCAGGTTATAAAAATTTCGTAAAAATTATTTTTACTGAATGCAAGTGACAATAATTACTAATTAATGGCATTTTTATTTGAATAAATAATCTGCAATATAATCTATAGTAATTACAGTTATTTGCAATGCAGTGAAATTGTGATCTGAAATAATAATGCCTTAAAATGAATTATAGAAATTTAACAATTTCCTTATTTGGAATATGTATGAGAGATGATTCAGTTAAAATTTTTTTTTTTTTTTAGGCGCTACTGGACGTGCATTTTTATTTCGCAGAGTTGTAAATGTTCGTGAATCAGCAATGGAGCCGCGTGAAATGATGACTGGTCGACATCATGTAAGAGATATTTTTTGTTTAAGATGTGATGCGAAGCTTGGTTGGATGTATGAATATGCAGTTGAAGCCGATCAAAGATATAAAGAAGGTAAGTTTTTCTCCAAGCTATTCATAATTTAATTTAGTTCCTGGTTAACTGAATAAATGATTCAGTTTAACTGGCCAGTAGGAAATCTCTTTCTTATTTTACTGTTTTTATTTGAATGATTTCCACTTTTTCTGAATTTTTATTTCAAATTTTCAAAGGATCAAATTTAGCGATTTTTTAATGAATAAATATCGAAGATTTTTTCTCAAAAAAGTTTTCAGTTTTTTTCCAAAAATTGCTCTTTTTCTTTTAATTGAAAGTTGGTTGTTTTTTTCAAATTTCAGGGAGTTATATTCTGGAAAGGAAATTGATTCGTGAAACACATGAATTCGACGATCCTTTGACTAAAGAAGATGATGCGGAACGATTAACTTCTTAAATTCTTCTTGTTGAATTCCTTCCAGTGTAAATACGTAAAATTAAGTAAATTTTTTCGTAATTTTATTCAATAAATATTGCAATAAAATATTAAAAAAAATTAATTAAATTAAAAATGCCAAAATTAACTTTGTATATATTTTTTTTAGTAATACAATTTAAATTTCAGTGAGGCAGTAATGATCAAATATCTATTTTGCTATTATTATCACTAGATATGGTCTTTCTTAATTTCATTTCCAATTTGATTATATGATTATTTTCCTTTTTTTTTCTTATGATGATTAAATGATCTTTCTTTTTTTTGTCGTTTTATCCAAATCGAATTGGTGTAACCTAGGAATTGTATCAGGAATTGTAATAGTATATGTCTTTGTATATATTTTTTAAATTGTTGTGCGATTGAGTTTATTAATTTGCAAAGTAATATGCCGAATGCTGCTTTCAGGAGGATTATTTGACAGTTAAACAAAAATCTAATCATTTCTTGTTTGTACGTATTTATAATTTTTGTTGCTTATTGATCTCCACGTCTATTTTCTAAATTTTCATTTAGTATATTTAGTATTTGTTTTTCAGCGAATTGATGGCAATTTATAAAACTATGATGAAAATGCATTCTCTTTAAGTTATGCGTCAATTATTTTGTAAAATAGCAATTTGCCAAGGTTTCGAATTGTTTTTTTAAAATTATTGTGTGGGTAATCCGATAAATTTTCATTTTCATTGTGCGATGAGAGTCGTGGTATGTTTTTATCTTATCGGCATATTTTTTGCATTATTTTTGCCTTTCATGTTGCTGCTTAAAAAGGATAAAATGAAATGATTAACTATTTTCAATAAATTGCAGTTGAACCTTATGTTGGCTCTTTGCTAAACGTTTCTGATTTGTTTAGAGAATGATTCACATAAGAGAGGAGAGAAGTAGAAATTACTCTCGATGTCGTTTAATAATGAGTATATGTTGTTGAAAGTGGTCGATATAAGTCAATTTCTATAAATGATTACGCATTTGATTATATGATTTCGATATAAATTTGTTTTAGAAATGACAATTTTACCTAATAAGTCGAAAAAATCTAGTAAATCCGATCGTCTTAATTCTGTACAGCAAAGGTTCGTTTATTTCTCGAATACAATTAAATACGCAGCTTATTCGTTGGTTTTACTTCCCATTGAAACTTGAATTTATTTTAATTTTGAATGCTAAATTAATAGAAGTAAATTTAAATAAATTTTGGTAATTTTGCGGTTTAAAAAACAAAATATCGGTGAGTCTGTTTTAAGCATTTTTATTTTTGCTTATATAATGGTTGAATATGAAAAAAAAGAACTTTTTAATTTATAGTAGTCGAGCGATGGGTCATCGTCACCAAAATGCTTCAAATGACAGTCGAAAGTGTTCTTCATCGTCTTCTAAGGCGTCTTTGAGGTTCGTTCTTTTATTTGTATAGAAAATTTAATATTCTTTTGAAAAAGCGTTTTTTGAAGGGTGGAAAGAAGAGAAAATAAAGCTTTAAAATTTTGTAACTTTACACTAAAATTTATTCAGTTGTTTTGATAGCAAATTCAAAATTTTTATATCTTTTTTCTAAGAAATTTTTTTATATCCTTTTTTAGCATCGTAATAATCAATATAATCATTATAATATTATCATTTTTTAAAAAGTTGAAAAAAACTTTAAAAGTTTTATGTCAAAATAAATGTTCTGGTAAATGGTAAATAAATGTTCTGAATAGATTAATAACTAAAAAAATTATAGAAACTGTATTCATAAGACTTCATATAACAATAATCCTACTGTTGAACGCAGCAAATACGCTCGAAATCAGTCTGATCATGGCAGTAAGTCATTCTGTTTAGCTTTAGCTTTCAATTTACTGTGTTCTTTTTTTTTATTTCTAAATTGAAATCAGTTGAATCAAAATTTTTTGCACTTTTAATTGATTCCGCCTTCGATTTCGATTCGTAATAATATTTTTAAAATTTTAATAAATTTTAATAATGTATTTCAAATTATTTAAATTAGAGTTTTTTATGCGGGAACTTTTTAATATATATTGTATTGAAGGCAATGAGCGAATGGTTGATAACAATTCGGATGATGAATATGAGAAAGGTTTCGCTGATCCTAATGTATTAATTTTATTTTCTTGATCAGTTTTTAGAACACTTTTCCAATTTTATTTGTAGTTAAAAAGCAGTTAAATTCATTTCCTTTCACGAAATGTTTACAATTTTTTGCATTCGCACATATTTCGAGAATTTGATTTGTTAGTTTCTTTCTTATTCCAGGTAGCTATGGGACCCATAATTTAACGTCTTTCTCCATAGTATTTTTTCTTGTTTTATTATTTTTTCTATTTTAAAAAAGATAGGTTAAGCTATATTTATTAAGCTATATTTACATTGCATTTCTGAATCTTTTTCTCAATTTTTTAAAGTGCATAATTTAGCTGGAATCATGGTTTGTAGAATTTTTAAAGAAAAATCGTGGTTGGAACGTAAAGGTAGTAGGAAATGATGGAGCCTGCATGTTTAGAGCTGTCGGTTTGTTTTTTTGAAATCCTTTATGGTTAATTCATTAATTTTAATGGTGTTAATAGTTTATTTCATTTATTTTATTTTTTTCCTTAGCAGTCTTTAATAATAATTCTAATAATTCTGTAATCCTAACGACATTGGGAATCTATTTTTATCCTTAAATGGCTCCTGGGCGATAAAATAGCACCAATAGTAATCAACTAAATTTGAATCGGTGCATGCTTTTGGAAAAAATAATTTATTTGACAAAGATTTTTTAATTCATTCAAGTTCAATTCCGATTAAGATTTTAATCCAAAAAAATTTTTAAACAGAAAACTTTGGATAATTGAATAATTAGTCAATATAAGTAAGGAAAATAACGCTTTAGCAAAATCTGTTTCGAAATTTTTTGATCATTTTATCAATTTATTATTTGTCGATTAATTCAACCTTTGAATTTTAGCTGATCAAGTTTACGGTGATGAAGATATGCATGATGAAGTTCGCCGTCTTTGTCTTGACTATATGGCAAGTTTATTGTCTTAGTATTATATGAATTTATTTAATAAACTTGCTAAATTCTTTTTCATTTTATTTACATGTTTGTACAGTTTTTTTCATTTCCTTTCATGGTGTTTAGTTTATAAATTAATGGTAGTTTAAGAGAAATATTACTGAAAAGTCATTATATGCACATTTTTCTCTTTTTTATCTTCTCGGCTTTTTTTTTATTAATTCCCTTTAATTATTCCGTCATTTTAGGAAAAAAATCGTGACCATTTTTCTCAGTTTATTACTGAAGATTTCGATCAGTACATTAGCCGAAAACGCGAGAAAGGTGTTTGTGGTAATCATATTGAATTACAAGCAATTTCAGAAATTTATTCTCGAGCAATCGAAATATATCAATACAGCGCAGGTTGGAATATTTTTCTGGTTATTTCTGGAATCTTTATGGTTAAAAAGGATTTTAAGTAAGTCAAGATTTTTAACGAATAATCGAATTTTAAAGGGATTTAGAGTTTATTTAGACTAAATAAAATTTTTATAGATCCGATTAATATATTTAATCCACGAGTGGATATTTCCAGCTCTTCCAAACCGAACGCTCCCATTAGACTCTCTTATCACGGATCCTCTCATTATAATTCAGGTTTCATCTAAAAATTTAAAAATTCTATTCTCGTTACTCCATTTTTGCATAAAACATAATTTATTTTATATATAGTTGTCGATCCATATGAAGCAACGATTGGTGTGGGGTTAGGTTTACCAGGTCATTCTCCTGGTTCGGCTGATAGGAATTTGGTTCGAGAAGCTATTTTAAAATCTGAAAGCCAATTAATTGAAGACGCAATGCTCAAAGATAAAATCAGATTAAGCGATTTTGAATGCACGGAACAGCAGATCAGTGAACAGGTCAAAAATTTTTTAAATGTTTCTTATTTCAGTATTTTTCTTTTCACATATTTCACATATGAATTTGTTGTAATTTATAATTTTCATTAGATAAAGTTGCAAAGAAAAAAGATTTTAGATCGCCATGGAATCATATTTAGAGCATTTGAAGAAAACACAAAATGTTTTGAGCTCAAAAGAAGTAGCACAGGAAAATAAAAAGACAGGTGGTCCTTCACCAGGATGTTCAAACACGGGATTTGTAGAAGATGGTGTGGAAGATATCGGTAATGTTTTACTCTTTTACTACGTTTCGGTTACACTTATTGGACACGACATTTATGTTTTAAATTCTATTGTTCTATTGTTGAAAAAATTTCGTTTTTAGAAGTAAGTGAATGGTCAAGAGCAGCACAAGATGATGCGGAAGAAAAATCTTTATTGGCGCAAGTAATGGCACTTTCACAGCAAGAGTATTTGAACTCACTAATAAAAAAATCGACGAAGCGTAATGATTTTGATCAAGCAGGATCTAGCAAATCGTCGTAGTATTTGTAATATTTTAGTATAAATAAATAGTAACCTGGCCATAGTTTTTGTCATAAAGATGCTTTTATTGTTGCTATTTATACAATTTATTCTAATATATTTTAATGAATATATTTTTTTATACCAAATCGAATTCCTTTTTATTTCTTTATTTCTATTATTCCTTACATCGCTACATTCTCTTTGTTGCATACTGCTTTTTTTGCTTTTTAGTTGAATTTTTTAAAAGACTTTTTTAGTGGAATGAGTAAAAGTACTATAGAATTAGATAAAGTTATTATTACATCATGCATTTATCTGAGTTGACTTGGCGATGAGATTGATGAGTTCATTGAAAATTTTTCTTCACTTGTGTGTTTTAATTCTGTCAGTAACAATCTAATGTATGATTTGTACAAATAATAAGTAGTATAAGTAGTATTAGAACAAATTACTTACTACATTTGCTGTTTTACCTATTTTTATTTGTGTTTGGAATAAATCCTTTCTTATTCCGCAGTTCACTTTATTTCATTTTGAAGTTATTATTTCTAGAGAAAACTGAAGTAATTTACAGAGAACTTGCAAAACTTTGTTATTCAAATACTGAAATGAGTACAGAAGTTAAAAATGTTGCTTTGTTCACATTATAAAAGTCCATGGTAGATTTTCGGAAATCATAGAAAAATTGGGAAAATATTTGGCAACGTGAAGAAGACTGAGTAAAATTAGCAATTTTTCAGGCTGCGAGACTGAGTAGCGATGTTTAGGCTGACAATTTCCATATCGTAAATGCCATCTATATGACGTTTATCGATACCATATGTATCTGTTATTTCACATCCCTGAAGTTTTTTTGCATTGAAATTATTGCCAAGGATGAAATCGTAAAGTTGGGCTTATCTCGGCAGATTATCAGTAAGAGATAAGGTAGACTTATAATAGACCTATCTTCAGAAAGTACATGAAAAGTGTTGGTGCAATGCTCCATCCTTACGTGTAAGAGATCGACAAATATTCCGTAAAAGAAGTGAACAACCATAAAATTATATTCTCAGTAATTTTTTACCATACAGCTGACTGATTCATCTACTCAGTTTTTTGCTATTCATTATTTTGTTCAGTTCGTCATCTCTTTAATCGTCTCAGGAAAAACGAGAAAAAAACGAAATATATTACCGGTTTAATAACACCATCGAGACAATTATGTATAATTTGAAGAAAAGGTTCTATACTTCCGACTTCATCCTCCTCGCCAGTCACCTCGAAATAGCCTTGCCGGTCGGAATGAGTCGTTGCCATTAAGTCGTCCGGATCCACTTAATCGGTCAAGTTACTTCAATCAATCCGGAATTCGAATTCATTACACTTTTGAATTTCTCGCTTTTTGAGAAAATTCGAAATATTAGTTCGTTTTGAGATTTTCAATCACATTACGAAACGAATTAAAAGAGCTAAATTTTTTCGGTCGAATTTCAAAGAAATCTGTCAAGCAAATTTATAAATGTTTTTTCGACAACTTACACGTGTCTTTCTCAATAAGCTTAACGAGAACGCCTTGTATGGCTTTGTTGTCGCAAGCCAATTGACCTTTCACAGTGATCCTCTGCATTCTACAGAATGCCACAATTAGCAGAGACAGGAATACAGCGATGATTTTCAACGACATCTAAACAAAAATCACGAATTTAGTGAAAGAAACGATTATTTCTGATTTGAAATGAGTATTTCAGTTACTACTGAGGGATGAATTTTTCAACAAATTATAATGAATTTTGTTTCGAATTTCGACAGAAAGTTTAAAACTCAAAAAATCTAGTAAAATCCTTTAAGAATTCCTTCAAACTTATATTTATTATAGAAAAAAACGTAAATTCCCACTAAAAAGATTAGAAAGAAATTTGAGATTCGAAATTTAAGCGAACTGCTCATCTCACATCGCTAATTTTTTTATTATTATTTGCCACATATTATAATTTAATTGATAAAATAAAATTTAAAAAAAGGTTCCACCATCCACTAAAATTCTATTCCAATTGATCGACCAGCAGACTGATAAAGAAACAACAAACTGAAATTGTTAATCAGTGTGATAATAAATCGCAAGGACGGATGGAAATATCGAATGAATTTGAGGAAAATATAAGGAGGATAGCAGAAAGGATACATCTGCATTGTTTTCTCTCGCATAACAACTGTTCTTTTAAATTTTAGCAAATGGCAAAAATTTTACCTACGTTATGCGAAATTCCTTTTTTCCCATTTTATAAATTCCAGCGGTTCGAAATAGTCGAATAATTTCTGAATAAACGAATTTTATTTTATATGCAAACAAGCTTCCATTGCTTTTATTTAACTTAAAATATTAATATATTTAAAATGAAATTATAGAAAAGAATTCAAATAGGAACAAAATCAATTTAAATTTAAACCAGATTTCCCTCAATTTGGTTTCATAACTTTAAATCTCTAAAAAATCCATTCATTTTAAGGAAAACCCGATGAAATTTTCAGCAAAACCTCATTGAACCTCACCGAGTCGAATCACGCGAATCACCGCACGTAAATTTACCTGCTGCGTCTCACTTTCGGGACGATTCATCCAGGAAAATAAAGGGCACCCACCCCTTTCCTAAACGCTGCTACGCGACTCGGAAGATGAAGATTCCCCGAAAAAAATCTCTTATAATACACTAAACCTTTATAATTTGCCACAACTTAACAAATTTATCCCAACATCGATAATATTCACGAGAAATTCGTTTATATCGAAATCGCATTCAACCAAATCCACACCACACACAGTTAACCCTCCACGTTCTCGAAATCATTATCAATCTCGGCTCCAACTGTCTAAAAATATCCATCGCAATACGCTCACACAATATTTTACACGTTGACCGATTCTTTTATTTCTTAATGTGCTAATCGCTGTGCAAAAATTTTAAAAATTTATTTACTGCATAATACAAAAACCCTTGGTATAGTTTATAAATATACATGTATCTTCCTTTTACACAGTTCAATTACTTTAACCATAAATAGATAAAAACACATTACTAAAGAGCAAAACGCTTTTCTTTGCCATAGAAGTATTAAATTTAAAAAAGCATTTTTGGAAAAATATTTGATTTGATTGAAGACTACTAGTAAAAAAATAACACCAAAGATTGCCAAATTTCCTTCACAAATTTAAAAAAAAATTCTAGTGAGCAAATAACTTTATGAGAAAGGTAGTAAAAATGAAGTGGAAGCTTTATTACGTATTTTCTTCTTAATTCTATCAAGTAGGATATAAACCTTAAATATTTAACTATAAATGAATAAAAAAAAAAAAATAAACAGTAATAAAGAACACCGACTAAAATGTATATAATGATACTGAGTGAAGAGATCCCCAATCACGGCTACTGAAAAGATTTCGATATGCAAACAATATTTTTATACAAAAAAAGTATACTACTAGGGCAAAAATTTCCTAAAAGGTACACACGTAAAATTTAATAAAGAATGTCATAAAAAATAAATAGGCAAAGAAGCAATACCAATATCAAAATTTCATTTTTTTTACTTTTCTTTGTTATTTCTATTACCATAGCAACACCGGGAATTTACAAGCCTTAAAACAAAAAATAAAGGAATGCGATCAATTTTAAAGAGTTGCTTGAATCACTGCAATACCACTCCAGCTCTTAAATATCATTTTAGTGGTAGGATTAATGCAGTTTGTCTGAAAAGATCAAGAAAAAAAAGTAAATCTGATGTCAAATATACGAAAATACATTGGGCCATACGACAGGTGCGAAAGAACTATGAACCCATATTTTGAGATTTGGTTTACGAAGTATCAGCAGAGACTGCTTCTGCATTTATAGATGAACCAGAAGGTGCTTCAGCGACTGATGGCGACTGTGATGAACCTACGACAGGTACTGGGGCTCCTGAAAAACACTTTTTTAAATAAATAATATTAAATAAAATATGGGACGATATTTCTTTTAAAACGAAATACCACTAGTCCTAATTTCTTTCGTTCTTTCCCTTTAATGTTTGATCGAATGGATCGGCAGAACTATCTTCAAACCATATTAATATCCCTGATAACTCAAAACATCGTTATATTCCCTTAAAACTTCAATTTCACTGCATCCCACACTCCCAAATCACCATAATTTCCATAATTTTTTTTCAACACAATTTCCTCTGAACCCTTTCTCCCTCAATAACTGTCTTCCTACCATTTTGGCAGTGGTAAAAACGCACTAAGAATCACAATGCTAAAAAAATCGAGAACAAAAGACTACAAATCTGCTCAAAGGGATATTTCCACTGAATCCATTTTGTGGGTTATAGAAAAATCTTTGGGAGAAATCTTCATAGAATTTTCATAGAAAGAGAACACTGAGCGACTGAAATTATTCCCCGCAAAAGTAAACCTATCTAAAAATCAGGGTGATGCTGGCAACTCACCTGTACTTCTACAGTTAAGATATTTGTCCAGTGCGGTATGCCAGCGAAACGAGTTTAACCAGCAATGGTGAGGACTCTTTAACAAAAAATATTTCAAAACATCACCAAGGCAAATATCGACACAAGGAAGCAGCAGTATTAGATTATAATAAAATATAATAATAAAAAATATTATTATAATAATAAAAAATGCAGAAAAATAACAGGATTTGCAGAGAAAAAAGGGAAAGGGAATGAGCGAATGAAGATATAGGAATTTGATAAATTATTAAGCTTCGAAACCGTGGCCTTCTAACAAAGTTCAGGAATCTAAAGAAAGGATTTTAAGGATATGGAAGGTTGCAACAAATTTTGATTTTTTGAAAAATTATAAAGGTATCTAGGAAGATAAGATTGTTCATGCAGTTATATGATATTACTGATGTGGAATGGTTAAGGCATGCAATGCAAATGGACAATGCAATAGATAAATAAATAAATAGATAAAGGACCATAAAAAACTTTCGAGAACAGCAGGCTACAGATTTTTCACCGGAAAGAGGATTCATAAAATATGGTCGATTTTAATATATTTTTAGTATATTTTTGTGAACACACATATGACGCATAGGTACACATAGCAATATCTAAACTAATATCTATAATATATAATATATAATATATAATATTAACATCTAAAGAAACAAAAACACTCATCTTATGGAGAAACGGTATTGTTTTTAAACACTGGCACATTCCTTGATATCTTGTTATATTTAATTAATCTTAATCTTAATCTTTTCGAATCCGATTGCCTTCATATCCATTTCCTAAAATTCTCTCCCAACATCCCTATGTTCTCTAAACACTTTCGATATATCCAGGCACAATTATGCTTGTAATTTTATAACCTGTAGTTGCATTATTTAAGATAATTACTAATGGATTAATATTAAGATTTGGAGATTTAGATGATAGGAAAGAATATGTGCACGATGTGCCCAGATTTCGCAAACACTGTAAAGGGTTTTTAGGAAATATTAGTAGAAAAAAATAAGCATCTTTCTTAGACTATCAGTCTCGATATGAAGTCCAGGTTATAAAAGGTCAAAAGGTTTTGAGGGAACCGTTAGAGTTTGTTATTAAAAAGTTTACGCAGAATTACGAAAGTATTCAACAGAAAATAAGCCATCGCGAAATTTTGAAGGATATAAATAGAATACAGAAAGTCATTACAAAATACTTTAAGTAAAATTGTTACTAAGGAATAAAATTTTAAAAAATACCTTGACTAACACTTTGAGGCAACAAAATAGGATTCAAATGAGGTTCAATTCGAAGTTCGTGTTCAGAAAAATCAAAAAGTTGTGGCGGAAGAGGTTTTCCATTACTTAATTTCCGCTCTCCCTTTCGTAATTCATCAAAGAAACCGTGAGCACAAGCTTGTAATGGTGTAAGTCTAGCACTTGGAGTATATTCCAGGAGACGTGATACAAGATCGATAGCTTCTGGTGGGATTCTTGGACGAAATACCTTAAAAACCTTAAAAAAATAAAAAAATTATTTGAGTAGAATGCGAAGAAACGATAACAGCAATTAACTGAATCAAAAACTCTAAAAAATCAAAAATTACACGTTGCCACGGATTTGCTCTTATCTGCGGAAATTTAAATTCAGTGTAATTAGGGTTCATCTGCTGTATTTGATCACGAGTTGGTGTACCCAAAATCTTGATAATTTCGACCAACTGATCCACACCAGAATCACCAGGAAATATGGGTTGGCCGAGAAGGAGTTCAGCGAGCACAGTTCCAGCTGACCAAACATCTGTAAATTTTTTTGCTAATTGATAAAAATAAGCAGATTCTCAACAATCAAGAAGATACCGGTCAGAATGGGTCAAGAAACTATTGTATTCATTTCGTAGATGAGGTCCTATTTCTAGCAAAACCTGCCCTTAAAAAAATACAGATGATGCTAGCGACTCACGATTCACCTGTATTTTTATCGCCAAGTCAATCCCTGCCAAAATTTATCTGGTACGACAAGCAAGCGGAAAATGTCTAACCAGAAATGGTGAGCGCTTATAGAAAAAAATACATCCGATGAAAGTCACTATATCATCGAACTTTAGTAAATGTTGCAGTTAAGCAGAAATAATATAAATAACAAGTGAAACATACCTATACTTGTCGTATAGTCAGTGGCCCCAAATATAAGTTCAGGAGCACGGTAATATCTAAAATCAGTTCATCATTTGTATCTCGAAAGAGCTTTTTTCTTAAATCACTCTTTTAATGAAAGATAGAAAATAAGCTATTCTAAAAGCCTGTAAGTAAATTCTTTCACTTTCTTTCAACTGGATTTTGAAATGACGAGAAAACAAAAATAACAGGTAAGCACCTAGAACAAATATATGAAACATTCGGTTCTCCGCGAATCAAATTTTTTGCAGAACCAAAATCGCACAGTTTCAAAATGCATGTCTCCGGATCTAACAATAAATTTTGCGGTTTAATATCTCTATGACAAATGCCCAAACTATGAATATATGCCAATGCACGAAATAACTGGTAAATGTAAAGCTGAAACAATTGATAATAGGTTAAGAAAACAATCAAATTATGGAATTATGAAAACAATTTGCTGAAAGAGAATTAAAGAACAAGAATAAACCAGATAGTCATGAGAACTAAAACCAACTTTAATATAAATTAGCGGAATAACTTGTCTCTGTTTCGAATAGTGACGTGCTATACGATATATCGTCTCCGGAACATATTCTTGGATAAGATTGAGGTAGAGATCGTCTTTCTAAATGGGACAAAAAGAAATATTATGATTTAAAATTCAAATTTACTTCCAAATGCAAAAATAAATAATGTTCCATAACTACTTCAAGATAAACTTTTCATATTCACTTCGCTGAATTGAAAAATGGTAATCGAAGAATCAAATCTATAAATCTAAAAACGAAATTCATTAAACACTAACTTTTTCTCCACTCGAATAAAAGAAATACTTCAATTTCACAATATTCTGATGTTCCAATTTCCGCATAATTTGTAATTCTCTATTCTAAAACAGAACTGCAGTAAACAAAGTGAAAAACCCTATCACATTCCAAAAAAAATTAAAAAGCGATTAAAAAAAGAATTAGAAAAGCAAATTGAATTCCAAATAATTTTTCGTGAAAAACAAGAATTAATATCAAATATCTAACCTTGAATCTTTTATCCTGTAAAACCTTCTTTATGGCAACCAGTTCATTTGTTTCCACCAGTTTAGCTAAATAAACGACACCAAAAGATCCATTGCCAATAACCTTAAGGAAAACATTTGAATCAAATCTCACTTTTAAAAAAAAATGTTTTTTGTAGCTCAATAAATAAAAAATAAAGAAAGAGTTTTATATATCAATTATTATTAAAGAATTTTCTGATAATTTATAACAAAAATTTCGGTTCTAGATTCATATTCCAAATTTGAAAGATGAATTTTAAAAAATTTTAATCCTAGTTCACAAAATTTCTGACTTACCGCTAGCCATATTGCATTCATTTGGTTGAATGATATAGTTTAGGATTTTCATATTTTTTATATAAATATTTTTTATATAAATAATCACAAATATTTCTTAGGGAGTAATAGGGAAGAAAAATCTACACTGTTAAAATAAATACCATATAATATCATAATATAAGCAAACTTTTGCATCCGTATATTGCACTTCGACTTGACGATCAGGCCCATATCCAGGTGTTGCGACCACTGTGGTCATACGATTATCACCTTTGGAAGAAAAAAGTTGTTTGCTCATAGCGGAGAAGTGAAAAAAATAGCGATTCTACAAATGTCTCTGCACAATCAATAATCAACTTCATTTTAAATATTTTAACACTTAATATCTTCACAGTTTATGTATAAAATTATTTTTTTAAATCCTTGTTTACTCTGTTTACTCTGAATCATTTTTTAATTAAAAAATATGAAACATAAGAAGTTAAATTTTAAAAATTAAAGATCTTTTCAAGAAAACATAAGACATACATAAGTAGTCGTCGTCAAAGACTGTAAAAATTGCCATAAACTAGAAAGCACAAAACTTTAGTTATTCGCACTTTGCCAAAAAAGCATCGACTGCAAAAAATACACAAAAGATTGCAATCTGTAAATCAAATAAAACATTCTTTTAAACAATAAAAATATAAAAATAAGATTACAAAAACGACTTGAATATCAAACAACAAATCAAATTGAAATCGATGTATCGAAATTTTTTAAAAAACTGGAATGCAATAACATTCTTACGAAAAAAATGCCGTTTGTATATAAAATTCGAGGTAATATATAAACCGGTACCTTACGCAATCGCAAATATACTAATATCTATATTAGTGTACTATATTATTATTATAATTAATACCAAAACACTCGAAACCAAAGCAAAATTAAAAAAAAAACTCTCTAACAACTATGCTAAAAATAAATATGCAACAACTATGCAACAAAAAATGGAATATTTGAAAATCAACATGATGGAGCAATAAAATCTGTGCAAATCTGTAAAAATTTTTATCACTCCTAATAGAAATTTTTTCCATATATAATGGAAGCCAATTTCTTTATTTGCCTTAAAATAAAAAATGAAGGATACAATGGAATTTTCATTTGAAAATGACGAGAATTCAACAATTCTTCGTTAATTTGTCAGCAATGGCATCTACAAAATAAAATTGTTAAATTGATAAAATTCAAAATATACCAAAATATAATCAATAAATTAAATGATAAAATCAACCGTGGTCAAGCTCATGTAAATACCTGCTTCAAGAAAAATAAAAACCATCGCATATTACAATTTTAAAATCAATTTTTTCACCATGGAATGTATGTCATGTATTGTTGAAAATAAATAATGAATTATCTCAAAAATTGCAAAAGAAACCAAAAAAAATTTATCGATTGAAATAAACTCTGACTTCAAAAGATCAAACACTTTTGTCCTGAAATAAGGAAAATTTAATATCGGACATTTTTTATCAACTAACGAATCAAATCTTTGACTTCTAACCGAAATTTAGTCGAAAACAGGAATATTTTTCGAGGAATCTTTTTTTCTATTCGTAAAAAAAAATATTCTCAAATTTCGTTGAATCTGTTAACATTTAGCATAAGCTAAATATTAATGAGCACGTGTATCACTGAACATATAATTATTGAAAGAAAAAACAATTTAACGCCTACCTTACATTTCTGATGAATTATGAAAAAAAAACTACTGTTTCTATAGCATCTGTGAGAACCCGAATTTTATAAAAATTGTATATAAAACAACAAATTGTTAGTGAAATACACTAAATGATAATATAAAATTACAAAAGCCAAAAAATAAGAAAATATTAACCATATTATCTCAAGGCTCATTGTTTTCATCCCATACTATTGGTGCCAGTACAATAATAATTGCAAATATTTGCGTTAACTTAACTAAAAACAAAAAATATCTAAACCAATAATAATTAAAATAATAATAATTGGCTTTTGTGGATTAATGAGGTCCATGTTGACTCCCAGGATAAATGAAAACCTAATATGAATTATTTGAATTATATGAATATGAATTATACTTTATTTATTATTTATACTTGATTTATTACTCAATGGTAAATCATTTTTAACGGCTATTTATTATATTTATTTATTATATTATTATATTCATTTATTATATTCATTTTAAACTTCAAAATGGGAAAATTTAATATTCTAAAATATTGCAATAGAGATATATAGATTTTTAAGGCGATGCCTAATGCAAAATTTCCGAAATTGTGATTCGCAAAAATTTTCTCCAATTTTATCACGACCCATAAGTTTGATAAAGAAAAAATGAATGAAATCCATTTATATATTTATATGAAATTTTTTTTTCTTTTTTCATTTTTTGACACACTTTATACGAAATATATAAAAATATGCTTGATGCTGATATAAGAATTCAATTATCGAATATTGTTATCGATATTAAAAGAATTTGGAAAATTAGTTTTTGCTTTTTTTCGAAAATCTTTGCAGTAACTTTAATTCAATTTTCATATTGTACTGATTTTTTATAAATGAATTCGTTATTTGCTTTTAGCTCATAGACAAATTCAACTTAGGCATTCCGTAATCATACTGTAATTTTTATAATAGTAAAAAGTTGGGAAATGCTGATCTAGTAAATCACTGAGGTTGAAACTCTAACAATCACTAAAATCAAAAATCAAAACAATCAAAAAAACGCATAAACGCTCTTCCCACAAAACGCATCAGCAAAGAGAAAAGGCCAATGAAAATAAAGATATTAAAAAGCTACTTGACCATACATACCTAACAATCATACATCTTTGCTCGAATAGCACATAAATTAGTAGATATTAGATTATTAAAGAGTTAGATCTGACTCCAGCTGCTGCCTAGAATCTAAAAGTTTTAATTGTTTTTAAAAATTCCAAATTAGGAGTATAAGTTTTAAAAAAATCCTTGCTACGAAGAAGCAAACCCACTATTACTAAGCCGCTCGTACAAAAATGACCCATATGTTTAGTAATGAAAAAATAAATGAAAATCATTTATAACTGGCATCTTTTAATTTTCGATAAAAATAACAGTAAAGAACTCACCAAAAAACATTTCCCATCATTTGATTTCACACAATGAAAACTAGGAAATTTTGCAAAAATGGAAAGAAAAACACTACACGAAAAACAGAATGATTTTAAATGAATTGTACGGAATAATACGAATAAAAAATACGTGAAATAATTGTCGATGACCCTTCCTTCTTTTTAATGATTTATTTATTGTAATCGGAATTCACCGACCTAAAATTTTTCTCTTTTATATTATAATTAGCAATCAATAATCAGATAGAAAATATGTAAAATATATAGAATACAGCAGACAATCATTATTTTCATGTCAGATAACTAATTTAATAAATAAAATTGAAATCAACCAAAATGAAAAGAATTTATTCAAAAAAAAACGAATTAAAATACTGTCTATTTCAGTTTCTACAAGATAAAACGGTTTCTAAAAAACTATTAAATTTTATTAAATTGTGTGAAATTTAAATTAAAATTAAATTAAATTTTTAAATTTAAGTTTTAAACTTTAAATTTTAATTAAATTTTATTTAATTAAATTTTTCAATTTTTAATTAAATTTTAATTAAATTTTTATTTAGACTTATTTAGACTTTGTTAAATTCTTACTTTCATTCTTTTTAAAACATAAAAACATATACAAACATATATAAAATAAAACAAAAATATTGAGGGAAAAATTATAAAAAATTACAAAATATTACAGTTATAATTTAATTAAAAAATTAAATGCAAAAAAACATCTCTCGAATGAACCTCTTACTTTCTATTTCTATTTATAATACTAAAATCAATTAAAAATTTGCTTATGCTACTTAAAATAACCTTGATTTTCCAAAAATAGACAAAAAAGAGGAAGAGATTTTTTTGCGAATAAATTAAAGTTTTAAATAAATAGAAATAAAAAATCAGTGTAATTTCGGTGAAAAGACTGCAAAAGAATAAAACGAAAATTAATCAACGACGGGTTAACAAGACTGATTTAAAAAATTTGTATAAAAAGTAAAAGTGCCTTAAATAAAATAAATTTAATTAAAAAAATCACAAAAAAAGGTTGTTTTAAAATCTAATATAATAGAAAAATAATTTAAAACAATAGGTTTTATCCAATTTTTAATTAAAATATTTTATTTAAATGATAATTTAAAAAAGAAACGAAATTTTCTGGAAAATTTCAATAAAAAAAATGGAAGTTTTTTCACAAAAAAGTTAATTTAAGAAAAGTTTTATAAATAAATGTTAAAAGAAAGAAATTCGATTTCCTTCCAATAACCAAAAAATGATTTTTTAAAAACGAAAGAATTTTTTATTGAAAAAAATAAATATTCCAAACCCGTACTTTGCGCGGAACTTTAAAACCTTTCCACTTTGAACTGAGTATCATTTCATTCATTTGCAGTTGATGCGCAGTTCTATTCAAAAGGAATGACGTCACTGCAGCAATCGATTGATTTTCGACCTAACGAAAGGAAAGAACCGATTAAAAACAATTTGTAACGAACTCACAGGGCGTTTGAAGGCAATTTGATGAATTGCAACGAAAGAGTAAATCGCTTCGAATGGAATCGAATTACGAGGATTTGCTCGTTTTCCTCCTTTTCATTCATTCATTGGAAGGAAATTTCGCTAATTTTGTCAAAAATTCGACTGAAAATGGAATTCCTTCATAGAAACATTGGATATTTTATTTATTTGGTATTCGATTGTTTCCAACGAAAATAAATCGATTTCTTCTTTACTTGTTCGTAAACGAAAAACAAAAAAATGCCGTTAACGTGTGGTTTTTTTGAAAGATTGGGAGAAATGACGAAAATGTAAAATGAAAACGAATAGGAAATTTTTTCCATCTCCCACTAATTCAGTAATAAATAAAGCGAAATAAAAGAACGCTAAAAGAAATAAAAAAGGGAAGGTGAGCAATTATTCCAATTTATTGCTTTCTTTTGATATTTTTGCTACAAAAATCTGCAAATGCACAGAAGCCAAGTTATTACCGATTTATTTCTATCAGCTTCTGCCTCACGCTTTACCAACCTATGTCTCTAAATTCCTAGAGAAAAGACCGAGAATCGATGAATGCAGAATTGACTATAAGTCAGCCACAATTGTTACTATTAGGCAGCTTCATCTTACTCTCATTGCGCAAATGCGATTTGCTTCCAACAGCGACGCGGATGAAGGATGTTGAGCGTATTATGAGTTCGAATTTTCGTATTCTCAGTTCAGGGAGGGGTGTCCTCTGCCGCAGTGACAGCGGTTCATAATCCTTTCTGGTAAGGACCAGTAATTCAAACAAATTTGTGGGTTCCAACAAAGTTTTTTTTCTCCACCATTTTGTCGATAACGGTTTCGTTGGGAATAGCAGTGTAAATTTCAGTTTTGCGTCTTTCCACTCCTCGAATGATTTGTCCTTAAACCCTCTCCCCAGCTCAACTGAAATACCTTTAAAACTTACGGCTACACCTCCCACAAAAAAGGACAAAAGATATTTTTTCAAAGTCTAAATCTTTTCTAAAGGCCTAAATTCTAAAGAGCCGTGATTACGAACATTGGTCATTTCGTATTTAACGATGACATAGAGCGAAAAAATGAGAATATGAATTATAAATATGAATTAGAAAAAGTAAACCAAAAAAAATTTTTGGAAAAATGCACTGAAAAGAAACAGGCGATTATATTTCAAATTCATTCACATATTTTTTGTATTCTAACCTCCGTTCCGTTACTGGTCAGGCTGGCAGCACTAAATATAATGGCAAGGCGTTCCGCACCCACTCCCTCGATGGAGTGCCACGTCCAAAAGTAGTAGTTCTCTACCTTTCCCGCCGCCTGAGCCTTAAAAATCTCTCTCTCTCTCTCCTGACAATATGCAGGCCATCCTTTATTCATCCTCTTCGCTTTTACACCCCATACACCCCATAAAAAGCATTCTTTATGCGTTCCCTTTTTTCCTGTGATGGGCGAACTGTGCAGTGTGGATGATATTAATGCGACTGATACTCGAGCTAGGTGGATGCAATCAGATTCTATTAACAAAAGTTTGCATCAAAATGCAGTTGCAAAATTCAAAAAAAATCTGCTTTCAAATCTAGCAGCACTTGCCGTGGCTGCGTTTGTTTGTATCGTACGAAATTAATACTATTTGTCGGAGGGATTTGCGGAGCAGGCTGCGGTCATCTTGTTTGTTAAAGCAAAAAGCTAATTTTTTCATTAACAATTTTTTTGCAGTGTTGTATACTTCTATTCCTTTTTTTCTCCTTGGTTTTTTATTATTTTTAATAATTTCGCTTAGCTACTAATATAATCTACGATTTTCGTTGTTAATCTTTATTTTAAAAAAGTCTAACCATCATAAATTTTTTTTCGTCTTTTTTTCAAAAATCCACTCAAATTTAATTTAACTTTATTATTTTTACTTATGTTTAGATTTTCAAAGCGATGTTATTCCATAAATGAATGAAATTATTTATTTATTCATTTTTCCATAATTTAGTTGGAAATTAACATAAAGTCATCGTTAATTGCACATTTTTTCTTTAACTTTTTAAATTTATCGATAGGTTATTTATGCTTATATGCTAATTTTTTCAAATCTTTTTGTGGTTATCAATCTGGCGAATAAATCGATTAAGATATTTTTGTTTTTTTATTTCCTAATTTTTATTCATTTTAGTTTTTATCTTTATCTTAACTTTTTTTATTGTTAATTATTTTCATTATCACTGAGCACATATTTTCCTGCAGCAGTAATTTTCTCCTTTGTTTCTTCTACAAGTTTTTCTAAAAGTATATTCTTGTAAAATATTCAGTTGTATTTTTTTTCCTGAAATTGATATTGATACTGACATTTAGACATTTAACTGCGCGAGTTTGAATGATTTTCATGCTACTGAAAAATATAAACTTTAAATGAGTTTTTATTTTTATTTATAGAAGGGCCGTCGAGTAAAGAAAGATTTCAAAAAATGTCAACAGCAAAAGAAAAAGATCGATCGAAGGTTTTTAAATCATTTCTATTATTTTCTTGCAATTTATTCATTTTTTTAAAATTTATCCTTCAGGAAAATTTTTAAAGATTTTTAATTACTGATTTCTAAAAGATTATATGGCTTATAAAAATTTGCTAAATTAAATTAATTAATAATAATTTTATCAGAAATTTAGTAGAATTTTAGTCTATGTGATTTTCTATCTGACATTTGATCAAACTAGACAATTGTGACTAAAATTTCTCTTTGCTTAAATTATGAAAATGTTTATTGTGCTGGAATTAATTCACTAATTACAAAAATTGGAGATTCACAATCTAAAAAAAAAATTTTCTAAAAGTGAGATTTTCATTGAAAGATTTGCAATCATAAGCATTGTAAATATATCAATTGTTTTAATTGTTTTTCTACTACATTATAAATATTTTTCTAAAAATAGCAAAATATGAATAAAGAGATACACTTTTATTACCATTTTGAATAAATGGTATCATTTTTGGAATTGTTTTGGAATTGTTTGAAATGAATTGTTTTCCTGGGAATAATTTCTCGTCGAAAAACTTTTTGTCTTATTTGCTTATATATTGAAGATATATTTAATATAAAATATAAAATATTTTGAATTTAAAAAGAGTTCCAAAATATTTCAAAAAATTGTAAAATAAGGGAAAAATTTAAAAATATGCTTGAGTAATCATGATTATTGTTATCTTTTGTTTATTCTAGGTGCGAATAAGAAATATTTTCGGCCGTTTTTTTAATTCAAATAATAATGAAGTCGATTCATCATCAGGCTGTTATTCTGGTCCAGGTGAGATAAGTTCACCATACAACACAGTTCATCGCATTCATGTTGGTTATGATGGCGAAAAGTTCACCGGTCTTCCTCAGCCATGGATGGATACTCTTCTACGAGATATCAGGTTTTTTGTTAGTTTGACAATTGTGTGTTGAAATTCTTCCCAGTAAATTTTTCTACCTTATTCTAACGTTTCTTTTTCTTTTCTTCATTATTATAATAATACTGGAAATAATTTGGTGAAGAATTTTTCAAAAAATTTAGATTAACAAGTTTTTGTGATAAAATAATATTTTTAAGTGACGCTGATCAAAAGAACAACCCTTCTGCTGTTGTAAAGGCTCTGAAATTTTATGCAAAAACAATGATGGCTCAAGAAACACATAAGCAAAAATTTATGTTACCCAAATCACAACTCCCTTCAGATGATGATATAGATGATGATATTTCAGAAAATAATCGTATTGTTTTAACAAAAGCAGATGATGTCGATAATTGTAAGTTTTCATGTATTGCCAGATTTTTAGAAATTGATGGGTTATTTGTTGTATCATTTTTGACAAATATGTATTTTTGCCTATAGTTTTAGCAATCAAAAATGAACAATCCATATCACCACACGAAACTCAAACAATTCATTCAAATGATTTATCTTTACCGAATTCTTTTTCTGTTGTTCCTCCGATAGTACCACCGCGTCAATCAAAAATGCCTTCTGCTCCACCGTTACCACCTATTATATGTAACAGGTATACAGTACTACTAATTATCTGTCGTTATTATAAATCTTGAATCTCATGGATAATGACGAATGCTAGGTAATCCAAAAAGCATAAATTGATTGTGAAAATATTTTTTGTTTCTTTAAAATGCGATTGTACACTAAGTAAAAATCATATTGCATTTTTTATGATTTTTTATTATTTATCAATCTCTATATTATTTATTTCAAGTAATTTGAAACTTTCGTGCTTTTTATTATTTACTATTATCCAGTCAGTGGACAAATCACGAAAATCGAGAAATTATGAGTAATGAAAAGGCCACGGTTCGCAATACCAAAGCTCGTGGAACGCCGCCACCTTTGCCACCCAAACCGATGGTATTTTTTAAAACTTATACTCATCTTCACTTTTTATTATTTTATTTCTTCCTTTTTTTAAGGGAAAGTTCACTGTTATTGTCTTATGAGAATTATTTCTTTTCTTATTTTTCTTGGTTCTTATTTTATATGGATTTTTTTTTTCATTTTTACCGGGAACTCATTTTGTATATTCGAATTAGAATGTATGATTGGGCGATTTGCCAGTCTTTTTTTATTTTTATTTTGTTTTACTTTAGTTTCGATTTTATCAATTCAAATGTGAGCTGGTTTAATTTGTCTTTCAACATTTTTTTTTTATTTTTGTGGAATTAATATTCTTTCTACAAAATAACGCGAACGTTTATCAATTTTCCGTTGTTCTTTGGTTAAATTTCCAATTTTCTATCATTTCTTCCCCAAATTTTTAGAATTTTTCATTTAATTTGACTGATTTCTATTTTAATAAAATTTTCTTTTTATTTCTTTTTTTATATTTACTTCTTTTATATTTTTCATTTTGATCGTTTTTTTTTAATTCAAGAGTACTTGCCATTTGCCATAGGTTCGCTTTACTGGCTGGCCACACTAGTCAAATTTTAAGTAATCACTTATAGGTAGAAGTGCGGGTGGCCAGATTTCTCACCACCCGGAGATTTTTTAGAAAGGTGTTTTATTATTTGTGTCAGGAGTAGGGATTCAGCATCAGCGAAGTTTCCGTAGCAACTCACTGAGTTATTCTAACTCTATGTTAAAAATAAAAAAAAATCACCGTATTCGGATTGAAATATAAAAATGGGCGATTGGACAATTTGCCAGTTATTTTTTCTTTATTGTCTTATTTCGATTTTACATTAATTCAAGTATGGTGATCATCATTTTTTTAAGAAATTCTTAAGACTACAGTCGCAAATTATAAAAAATTTTCTCTACTTTATGCTTTGTGCATTGAAATAAATTATCTTGAAAAAAAAAAGTTCAAGAGAACTGATTTTATTTATCATATATAAATTTAGCAATTGATAAGCCAATAGTAAGCAATATGTGATAATAATGATGATTGATTGTTTTTGTAGTGTTTTATTTCCATATTTATTTTTTTCGTTTTTTAGTTAAAAAATGCCTTAAGGCAATTCGGGTTTTTCGAATTTTTTTTTTGATTATGTACAGTGGTGATGCTGATAAGTCAATGAAAAGTTTTGTCGAAATTAATGGTAATTACATTCATTTTTTGCAAGAATATTTATTTTATTCTTAACTTTGTTTAAAGGTATTTATTTTTATTCATTGATTTTGATAATCTTGTTTGTTAAACAATCAGCTACTACAGCATTGGCGTCGTCCATTTTTGTTTGATATATTAGGCAATCTCGTTTAGTTTTCGTTGGTTGGCTAATCGTTGTCGCTTCACATTTCATGAAAAATAAAAAAATTTTTCTTTTTTTCTTTCTTATCATCAACCATTAATTAAATGTTGATGTTGCCCCTTAATGAAGTGCGTCATTCGTTCAGTTTCTTTTAATAAATTGTCATATCGCTCTGGATTACTATTGCCTTTGTTTACTAATGCTTTTATTTTCCATCATTTAACCGTTAGAAGTCTGTTCACTGAAAATCAAGGGATTACAAAATTATAAAATTATAAATTATAAAGTATTTGTGGTATAATTATATTTTTTATAAATGAGGCAGCCGCTGCGGATTTATCTGTAATATTTGTTTAATGATTAGATGATTTGAACATTATCAGTCAGTTATCGTAAGATGAGTTAATTATTTGTTGAATTTTGTCAGATTATTTTATCTTTATTATCAGCAGCATTGTTTGTCGATCTCTATTCTTTTTTTTATCATTGTACAGTGAATATCGCAGATTTTGTCGCATATGTCTGAAGTAAGCTTTTACATTGAATTTAGTTTATTTTGGGAATTATCGTCGATAAGAAGAAATTCTTAAAAGTTCTCATATTTTCTATCTTTTGCATTCCATTTCTTCGGGCTCTATGAAATTATTTCACGAGCACAAAATGCTATCTAGCTTCTTACTGAGAAATGTGTGATCCATTCATACCATCGTGGCACTTCAGCGTTTTATCGCCATTTTCTGCATACATTGAACATATTGGTCATGAACTATCGGTAAGCCGTTAATTTTCGTTATTTCCAGTTATTTTTTATCTCGAGCAATTTTCTTATTGTTTTAAACGAATTCAGTTGCAGTTTCATTTTTCAATTTTGCAAATATTTTTTTCCATTAAATGCTTTTTTTCCATTTGTTCTTATTTGTTTTTCTATTTAGACGCTTTCTGCACTTTATCTGCTTTTTTTTCAAATAAAAAAAATTATTAAAAGTGGAATAAAGAATTTCTGTAAATAAATTTAATTAAACGTTCAAAATATCCGACAAATAATTTAATTTAATTATAATAATTAAAATAATTTAATTATAATAACTCTCGTTTTCTCTCCTAGTGAAATATGAATTGATCGCCATCGACACTAAATTTATATGAATTATTTATTTTCTAATATTCTTTATATGATAATTAATTAACGCTTTTGTCAGTCCAAAAATATCTATCATATTTATCATATCTATTTTATTTATAATTTCGATTTATGAAAAATTGGTTAAATTCTATTATTTTTATTTTCTCGCTTAATATCATCGTTTATTCAATTTTATTTTTTTATTGGATTGTAATTTTATTTTTTTTCATTTCATTCATTTTATTTTTTTTCATTTTTCATTTTTTGGGAAAAAATTGTATTTTACACTAATTTTTCGGGCATTTTAATCTGATTCTTTTTTTGCTATTTCCATCGCAATCAAAGACATTCTCTATCAATTTAGTCGAATCAGTTGGAAAATTTTTTTAAATATTCATTTTTTTTTGCAATATTTCACGGTAAATTTATTGCCAATTTTCAATTTGAAAACGGATTTTCAGCATTTGAAAGCAACATGTTCTCGGACTCAGCCATTATTAACTCATTCAACTGGCACGGATAGCGTTGAATCATCTTCATCGAAATTCTCGGATGACGATGAATCGTGTCAGGAATTAAACGCAGAAAATATAAATCAGGTAGTTGATGGGGAAATTTCAGAGAATTCGAAAATTGCAGAAACTGTGGTCAATAGTTCAAATGAAACCAATGATAAATATGTTTCAGAAAATGTTGATTACGAGATTTGTGACAGGGTTCCTTTTTTCTCTTTATTTCTAATTTTTTCAAAAAATGTCCATTTTAGTGAAATTTCCATTTTGAGCTATTTTTTATATTAAATGTAGATGATCAATTTCTTTCTTTAAGGAACAAATTATATATATATAAAATTATTTTTCTAAAAAAAAGGAATATGGACTGATAAAAAGAAAAAGAAAAAGTTGATTTATTGAACAGATGGAATCGTTAAATAATTTTCGATAAAATCTTTTTCTTAGTTTTTTTAAACAGATTTATATTTTAAATTATAAATTTTGGTTTGCTTTTAACTATTTGGAGTTATGAGAGATGGCACCATATTTTCAAAAAATTTTTTTGTTTTATCTTCCATTCCATTTAATATAAATATAAAATTAAAGGTTCATATACGTACACGAGCTCCACTTAATAATGGTGATGAATGCGATGAAAGTGCTGCTAATAAAATTCAACGATTGAAAATGACTGATCAGCAGGTAAAATAGTCAGTTATTTTTAGTTTGAGCTTTTGTTACTGACTGGAATAAATTTTTTGGTATGGTCAATATTCCAGTCTCTTTCAATATTTTTTCATCATTAATGGTGAAAGATATAAATATAAAGATATAAATAGAAAGATATAAAAAGAAAAAAAATTACTTTGAGGTTCTAAACGAATTGAAGCGTATTGTTAATGATGGAGATCCCATTGAAAGATACGAATTGCTGGAGAAAATCGGAACTGGGTAAGTTATTTTTCCTTATACTGTTGTAGATTAATAAATTTACTTTATTTATAAAACGTATATCACAGTGAAATTTTGTTTTAATGTTGGTGTTATAGAAACTCTTACAGATTGATGTTTAAATGATCAATCAGAATTTTTTAGTGGTTCTGGTCGCGTCTATACTGCTTATGATAGAAGAACTGGCCAAATTGTGGCTGTAAAGAGGATGGTTTTTCAGAGTCAACCGAAGAAAGAGTTATTACTCACTGAAATAAAAGTTATGCAAAAGTACAAACATGAGGTTTGTTTTTGTGTTTTATTGTATATAATTTAAATTTGAATGTATTGAATGGAGTTCTCGAAAAAAAAACAAGTGAGTTCCCAATTTCTTTCTTAAATTTCGTTGATCGCGATTTTCCTGTAAAAGTTTTGTAATGTATGGTTATTTATAGTTTTGAACAGATAAAAGTTGCATAAAAGTTACTTTGCAAAAGTAGAAAATCAAAAAAATGTCTGATTAAAGATTGCTAATTTGCTAATTATGAAATATCTCCCTTAATTTAATTTTCAGAATCTTGTAAATTATATTGATAGCTTTCTTGTGGAGGCCGATGATTTGTGGGTTGTAATGGACTATCTTGAGGGCGGGAATTTGACTGATGTTGTTGTCAAAACTGAATTGGATGAAGGTCAAATTGCTGCTGTCCTAAAAGAATGCTTAAAAGCCTTGAATTTTTTGCACAGGTGCAGTTTGTTACACCGTTGTCTTTAATGGCTGGCGGCTAAGCTAGTTCAATTCATTTTTGTTTCATCGCTCATCATTTCTCGTTAAACTTGATCCACTGTTTATTAGAATCAGATCTTATCTACTATTTGGGTATAGATATACAAGTGGCCTTCTAATACCATCCTAGAGTTTTACTTTTGATTTACTTCCAATGAAGATTAGGAGCTGGTTCATAATGCAAGTAGTAGTCTAAGTTGCTTATCATCAATTGCCCATTTAAATAAATTTCTGAAATCAGTCGTTATGAGAATCATTCATTAATTACAGTCATAACATTATTCATCGCGATATTAAATCGGATAATGTTCTACTTGGAATGCATGGGGCAGTTAAATTAACGGATTTTGGGTTCTGTGCTCAGATACAGCCTGGTACCAAAAGGTGTTTTATTTTATTCCTGAATTTGACCAAGCAATTAGTAAATAATATAGAATTACAAATTTTTTTATCGCTATTTTCTTTGTTATCATTGTTAGAGTCAACATGATATTTAATCAGTTTTAGGGCTACAATGGTTGGTACACCTTATTGGATGGCTCCTGAAATTGTTAATAAGGAAAAATATAGCTATAAAGTGGATGTATGGTCGTTAGGAATAATGGCTCTGGAAATGCTCGATGGTGAACCTCCTTATTTATATGAAACTGCGCTTAAGGTTATTTCAGTCATTCTGATTTTCTAACATTATTTATACGTAATATTATATTTAGATTAACTATGAATAGTTGACTTATCAATGTTGTATATTGTAGGCAATTTATTTAATTGCTCGGAATGGAAAGCCGGAAATCAGAAAACGGAACCAGTTATCACCAGAATTTATTGATTTTTTGGATCGTTGCTTATGTGTGCAAGAGGATGAACGTGCAAACACAGATGAACTTCTTCGGCATCCATTCATACAAATGGCTAAACCATTGTCATCTCTTATTCCTTACATACGAGCAGTAAAAGAATTAAAACAACAACAAGTTTAATTACGATTTGTAAGTACGAATTTTCTTCGAAAAATTTAGCCAGGTGTTCTTTCAGGAATTTTTTTTACTTAATTGGCAAATACGCGTTTAAAATAGTTTCCAAAATTAAAATTAAAGGTAAAGTTATTTCATTTTAGAAAATAATTGTTATAATCAACTGCCTTTCTTTTCGTTTCATTTTGTCGTTGCATATCTGTTTTATGAGTATTTTTTATTCATGTAATCTCTGAAAATTATATCGAAATAATGAAAGAATTTTTTCGCTTATCCGTTCCTTCGTTCACTTTATAAATTTTCTTTCATTAATCCATTTTTTAATGTTAATGTTACGTATTGTAATATAATCTTTTTTATGGCTGTCATCTCATTTTCATGGAATATAATATATTTATGATAAATAGATCTCGACAATAACGATACCGAGATCGTTTAATTTGTAGCTAACGAATTTTTTTCAGCTCAATAGATTTTACTAATCTCAAAAGCATTTTTGAAATGCATTGTTTTTTCGCCGAATATTTCTTAGATTAAATCTAGAAAATTTTTAATAAATTTATTTTTTTTATAATTGCGGATCTCTTTTTTTGCTGTTTCTTCTAATGCAACATATGTTGTCGATTTGTGGGCACATATCTTCCTTATTTAATCATAATATATAATTGTTAATGCCGTATTCTTCGGCTCCAAATGTGAACTAATTGTTAAAATACTTCAATTATTGTTATTCAACTATAATCGCAAGGAATTCATCCAAAATTTAATAATAGCATCGATAATAATATTGTTGAAAATAATTAGTAATGATAATTAATCAGAAATTTTAAAACAATTGAATTATCACGATGTTTAATTTTTGTATATAAAGTTCCATGTGTCGTCATTAATTCTGTTGTTATTTATTTGTTAGGATATCAGTTTTTCAGTAATCAATAATTTCTTCAAAATTGAAATATCAGAATGCTAAATTTTTTCATAAAGTGAATTTTTTCATAAAGATAAGTGAACATAAATAATTTTCAATTGCTCATTAGGTTTTAATTTTTTCATTCATTTTCGTTCATTTTAAATGACTTTGTTAAATTTTATTTGAATTCATTATTTATCATTATTTATGCCGGAATATTCAAAGATTTTTATCGAAAATTTGCCAAGAAAGTTAAGTGAATAAGTTTTTTAAATATTTAATCGAATTTTTTGGGTGATAATTTTCTAGCGACAACAAATTTTTTTTCCTCAAATTTTTTCTTCAAAATATTTGATTTTTTTCTCTTTTTTCCAAGGTTACTTCAGACTGTAAATCTAAAATAATAAAAAGCGATGAATATTTTTTATTTTTACATGCGTCTAACATATTTGATTCACAAATAATTGCATATGTTATGATAAAATCGTTTTTCTCGTATTTTTAATTTATATTTTTTAAAATTTGCCTTATTTGCTATTTCTTCACTTTGAAATCAAATCGAATTATCTTAAAAATTTCATTAAATTCCTCGAGGGTTTTGGAATTACTCTGTTTTTTAAGGATTAAGTCTCGAAGGTTATTCTGTAATTCTTTTTTTGTCCATATCGATACACATATACATCAGTGCTTTTTCGCATGCTAAATCTTTTGTTATTGCTTATTTTTTACATTGATTAATTATTAATTATAAATTTTTGTCCGATCCGATAATAATGGAAATTACCTGTGACGTCTCTCTATTGTCTTCTTTGCACATTTTGCCATATACAACCAACTCATGTGTTTTTATGTGCTTTTATTATAAATAAAAGCTTTTTTCCACTTTTATTTCTCATCTGAAAACTATAACGAAGTGCAATTCTTCTGGAAAAAAGAACTTTTATTATTGGATTTGGACCGTAAAGTTGTTAGGAAAGGTTATTACATCATTTGTTGTGGCGTCTTTTGGCACTTAATTGTCCATCATCGATGAAGCGAATTTTCAGCGACATATTTTTTTACATTTTTCCTTTTATTATTTGCTGCATGGTGCTCATTATGACATGTTTAATCGCATAACGAAATAAGTCAACAGTTCGTCAAAATATATGCCGAAGATGCAGTAAGCACTTCAGCGTTTCATTACAACGGTTATAAAACGACAGTCTGAATCAAATCTAAGTCAATTTGTCAATTTCGACCTTGAATTCAACGTTTAAATTATTCAAGAAACTTTACTTGCTATGAAAATTTTCAAAATAGCTCGAATTATTCTAACTGAAAAATTGAATGAAATATAAAAAAAAGATTAGATTTTATTACAAATTACAAATGAATATATATGAAAACCTTATACTTTTTATTAATTTTTCAACTCAAAAAATACCAAAAAATTAGTGGTATTTTAAGGAGACAGCGTAGCCGAGTGGTAATGGCTTCTTGCTTTATATTTTTTATATTCTTGTATATTTCTTATATATTTTTATATTCTTGCTTTATATCAAAATATTTTTGAGAAGTAATAACGATAATATTATTAATTATTAATAACTGATTCATTTTCATTTTCTTTATCCAAACGCTTAGATTTTTTTGGTTGAATTAATAATTTTGTAGTAATATAAATGAAAACAATATAAAATTACCTTACCTTTTCAGCTGAATGGAATTAGAATAGAATGGATAGAAATCTATTTTAAATCTAAATCTATAAACAAAATTCTATTCGTTGTAATAAGGGAATGTTGTGAATTTATGAAGTTGCCGTTACAATATTTATATTGCATTAAGCAAAATGAATAGTAATGAAACCAATGAGTAAAGGTAATATTTAGATGGCCAAACGAATAAAGGAAGTGCACCTTTAAGAAAGGCTTTTTTAAATCTTTAACGATATTGCATGAAGTATTTCATATTAATATTTCGCATAAGAATTGGTGAATTTATAGGAAAACAGTGATTCGAAATTTCGTCTGCTCGCAGAAAGAAAAAACATTGTTGTTTTATGTGTTGTTGAATTAGTGTATAAAATAAGGAAAGAAGCCACCAAATTTAATCATTAAAAATCACTGCCATTCTACTGGAAGATCACCAATTACAATTAAGCAGAATATTTATTGAAAAAGCTTATATTAAGAAAAAAAATAGATCTTCAAAGAGATTAAGTAGCCATGATAAAAATACTGAAAAATAATCGAAAATTTGGTGAAATTATTTGTCAGAAGTTTTGATTCTTTCGAGGACATCTCTGAAATAAAATGGAACGAATTGATATCCAAGACCAAGATAAAATTTGGACTGAAATTCGACCCTGCAAAATTAAGCTTTTATGAGATCGTTTTCTTCTTTCGGCTTTCCTAAATATATGACATGATTTCTTACGAATATTTCTTATTTTAATGCCGAACTAACCAATGAAGTCGCAGAGCGTGAAGGAATGCGGATAAACCTTCCATAAGTACTAAAATTGAAATCGAAAGTACACCGAATATGAAAAATATCAAATAGAGAACTATATAACCGCCAACTCCTGATAACTTGAATGCAATTCGTAGAACCATTTCCCAAAGCACCTCAGATAATTCTAAAAAACCAAACGTATAATTATCTCTTAGCATACTTCACTATTACCGGTCCCTTTTCCTTTTTATCGTCAAGTGATCTCGTGGCAAGAATTTTTAATGGTAACTAATAATTTGGCCAGAAATGGTAAGTGTGGCCAGGCATTTTTATTTATTTAACCAATTGAAACAAGATTTCTCAAAAAACGCTTACGAGCGTGCGCTAACGATAATGCCCATAATCGAAGATACGAAGCTGTATGCGAAATACAACCCAGCACATATTCAATTGTATGAATTGCTTGATGTACCATTAGATCGCCAAACTCCTGGAATGCTCAGTTAAGTTTTAAGCTTTATTCCAAAGTTGCTTAAACTGAACTAAACTGAACTGTGATAAAATACTAAAATACAAATATAAAAATGAAAATTTTTAGAATTTTAGCTGCAATAGGATTTATACTATTTAATCGAGAGTTTTAAGGAATTCAAAAAAAATTTTTGACAAATCCAGTGTAAAACGTGTAAAACCTCTTCATCTTTGCCATGTTGTGCTGCCTTCCCTTCCACATTTTCAATAAATCCATTTTCATCAGCATTACACGCTATTTCCATTTCCTCGTTCTTCGTTGACATTTTTACGATCGGAAAATGCAATTATTATTTGTTATAATTTAGGACTTCGAAATTTATTCATTTCATTATTAGAATGCAGTTTCTGCATATTCTAATGAACAATTATAGAACAATTTTTTTTGGGATTTCATAAAATACATTCCTCAGTGGTGATAATAAATTTGATGGTGAATGAAAGCATGTTCCTTGCCAATTTATCGGCGACTGCTTGCTTTGATTTCCTTCGCTTCAGCAAAAAATACAATGGTTTACCGAATAACATCACTGGAATGCAAAGCACGGCAATAACAACGAGAAACGCTTCGATAATGGACTGAAAAATCATATAAACATCTGAAATGAAATTTCATCCACAATTTCCTTTTTTCGATTTCGCACAACGGCGATTTATCGCAGAATAAACTGAGGAAATGTGCAAATGTTGCATACTGCATAAAAAATAAAAATTGTCCATAAAGAAAAAATAAATAATCAGATTAGCCAATCGCAAGTTAGCCATTCTCCCTCTATAGATAACATTTTAAAAATCTTGAAGTGCAGTGATAAGAAATGTTTATTTCTTACTTGTCCAGGATACCACTGTCCTAAATAGCAATTTACATATTCAGCATATATCGTTTTATTATCTTTCTCTTCAATTATGTTCGTCATGTTTACAAAGCCGATTTCGCGATCCTTGAACATAACCATGTTGATGAGGCCAATCTACAATAGTTGTCGATACTGATAATTAAGCTTGGATATATTGGAGATAATTATCGTTTTTTTTACATAAAAATCACTTAAAAACTTTGATATAAAGGACTACCTGAAAATCGCTAGGAAATTACCAACTAACCAACAGCGAGGGTGCACAGTGCGATCCTGGATAGAGGTTTCCAAATACATATTCTTCTCTAACCCAGAAAAAAATCCATTTTAATATAATTTGTATGCAAAGATATATGAAAATAAAGCTAATGAAAATTAGTTGAGGAATGAACACGGTGAAAATTTCAATATTTGATTTAAAGAATCTGAAAGTTTTTTAAATAAATAATTAAATAAAATGAACGAAATTATTTAAATTTAAATTTATTTGAAAATGATTCGAATTTAAATTTAAACCGAAATTAAAAGCGAAATTTAAAATAAACCAATCATGTATAAAATTATTTCAAAAAAGATCTGAAAAATTAATCTGTAAATCCATAAATTTAAATTTAAAAAGTAAATTAAATCCTGAAAAAATATAGAAAAATATAGAAATCTCAAATGACCTGTAATTCATTAATGAAAGTATAACGCCGAAAGTCATTTGTGAAATACCAATAATAACTGATAGTTTCATTTTTAATGAATTGAGAAAATTCAGTTTATTTTCTCCCAAATTCCATATAGGATCAATTCCAAATGGATATGGTCCACGATTATGCTCAAATGATGGATCTGGAGGCAATTCAACATCCATCTCCTTCGTTTTACCAATCCATGAATCGATTTCGGTCATACTAAAATAGGTTTCTCGATAAGGATCAGTTGCAGAATCAATAATGTCAAGCCAAATTCTTCATGTAGTTTGAGGTCGGCCAATTAATATCGTTTAATGCGAACCTTCGAAAATTTTAAAACGAAATTTTTATTCGAAATTCTCGAGATAAATTCGAAATTCGAAATTTTTTAAAGATCAATATATGTTCTGATACGTGGTGAATAAATGTGTTTTAAAATAAAAAGTTCAATCGAATATTGTGAAAAACGTACGGGAAAGGAATACGCCATGATGAACCAAAAATATTGAACGATTTTGAGAACGCATCGTTGTATAATATTCCAGCGTGAATGGAGAATAAACCCATTAATAAAATAATGTAACGTCCACCGAAAAACATACTGAATATCTTAAATAAATTAATAGAAATAGTCGATTAATACTTGCAGTTTAAAAGGTTGGCATTTGAGAAAAACGTCATGTAAATGAATAAATAATTTAAAATAATTTAGGAAAACAAACGATTCAAACAAATGGAAAAAAATTGAAACGAACTTCATCATCAATGTTACGATTCATAAGATTCTTTTCTCGAAGGACGAACCATAGCCCAGCAAGGAACATTAACAGTCCGTGGCCACAATCACCAAACATGCACGCAAAAATGAATGGAAACGTTATTATCGTATATGGAGCTATAATTAAACTAATTTCGAGGTAAGATGACTCAGTGGGTTGTTGATAAATTTGGAGCGCCGATGCTGAGGTTCGATTTCCCGCAGGGTTCATCCTGTCCAAAATTCAGGGCGACTCACCTGCATTTCCACGGGGTTCCCTGGCATATTTTCCCAATGTGACAAGCTAACGGAGCGAGTTTAACTAGTAATGGTGAGGACTCTTTTTTTAACCTAAGTAATTTAATTAAATCAATATTTACTGGATGATTTTTCATTAGAATTAGAATTAGATTTAACAAATTTCTATAGAATGCCATAAAAATAAGAACGCATTTTTTTCACCTGGATTTACTTCCAAATATGAGGCAATCCCATATGAATCTACAATACTTTGGAAGACTGCAGTAAACTTATTGACTCTATTGTATGTAGGTGGCTCTTCTGCCGTTTCCAACAAATTAAGTACTGGTTTTACAGAGCTCCCTTGAGCTTCCTAAAACAAATTTTTTTGTTTTTGAATTAAATTTATAAAATAAATGGTTAATTTGCAACATTTATGGCAAAGCTAGTTTAGCTAGCTGTACGTCTAATACTACTTGGATTTTTTCATTGATAACTTTTCCTTTGCCAGAAGCAAAGCACCATGTGGTTGCTTCTCGACACTTCAAAATACGCTTTCTTTTCAATATTTTTATCAATACAAAAAAGTGGATGATAATTTTTAAAGGAATTGTATAAGTATTTGAAGTACTATCCAACAGACCATCGTATCCTTTATTAATCTTATCCTTTATGTTTACTTCATTATAATTCATTCATAGAGAATGCAGAAATGCTGAAAAGAAGTTGAACTAACCACTGCTCGCTCAAGTGCTTCTCGAACATTTTCCAAATCAGCCAAAGGAACCCAACATTCAGCAACAAAAAATTTCCCGATACTGTCGAAGGTAAAGAGATTTAATGTTTGATATACGGCTTTTTGCATTCTTACCTGTAAATTGGGTGTTTTAGCTCACAGTAATAATTTTTTTGGACGATATTTATAAATTACCTCCATAAATGTGCTAAAAACAAGGTTTCTCATTTTGTTCATAATTCGTAATTTATCTCTGTAGCTTTAAAATTAAATGGTTGAATCAATAGAATCACGAGTGAATAAAACAAATCGCTGAATCGCTTTTTATAGTAAAAAACTTAGTGGCAAAATTTGCTTTTTTTCCAATATTTTTATCACTACAAAAAAGTGGATGGCAATTTTTAAAGAAATTTTATTTTCACTGAACAAAGCAAAATTATTTGCTCAGCAAAAAGAAAAGTGAAATATTATTGTATTTTAAAGAACTGCGAAAGATTTCATTCATTATTCTAAAATCACTCCTTTTAACTCTGATTCATTGAATCAAAATCTGAAAAGATAACTGATAAAGATAACAGAAAAGATAACTTGTTTTTGCCATTCATAATAATTATAAGAAGCGGCTTTTAGTACTCGGTAACGGTGTTCTTGAGTTTGAGCCATCACTGTTGTTAAATCTTGTATACGAGCTCGAACTTCGCGTAGTGCTTCGTGCCGATCCTAGAAAAATCATTCGTTCAAGGATGTGAACACAAAATATGAGCACAGTTATAACAAATAATACTCGCCTTACTAGATTTTGGGCAATTATTATATAATTTGGCTTTGAAACCATCGCAGACTCTCTCAATGATTGTTTTTAGCCGTTCGCCTTTGTAGAAAGTCAAAAACACAGATTTATGAATTGGCTTTCCCTGGAATATTGAGTGATAAAAAAATATTAGTAAAAAGTTTTTTATACGGTACTGCAGTGCATTGAATCTAATTTACATTATCATAATTATGATAACTGACCAATACATTAACTTAGCTATATAGTTATACTAGCTTAGCTAATAAAAAGATCCGAAAAAATTTTCAAATTTTCCTCATTTCCACAAATTAAAAATGACTTGCCGTGTCAGGATCAACAAGTTCCTCCTCAATCTCAACAGTTCGCACGAATGCAGTTCGTCGACATGCACGCCATAGTACCCTTTCAAATGCATTCACCCGGTCACGATTTATCACTCCAGTACAAAATCTCCAATTCAAAAAATGGCAAATATGAAAATTTTTTATGAAATGACGTTATGAAATGACATGAAGGAAAATAGATTGATAGTGATGTTTATTGACCGAAATTTTCGCAATATTTATAAATATTTAAATATTTATAAATATTAGACAAAATAATATTTTAAACTGAATAAGGGTTGAACCGATAAAAATTTTTATCTCTTATTAAAAAAAGAACCAAACCCAATTGGTTCCTGCGTTTTCATAATGATATTTACTTCTTCACCTTCCACAGCATCGATTTCTTGCATTGCAACATCGCTAATTCCCTTAAAGATTTAATAAAATTAATTCTTTGGTTTCACTAGGGAATGGTGAAGGAGCCTCTTGCTGATTCGGCCGGAGACAAGCAGCACAGTTCAAATTCTTATCTCTTGACAACAATAAACCTATTAATCGAGGAAAAAAACGTTCAGCTCATTAATTTATTTTTTTTGACAAAAAAATGTTTATCCGCAATAAATCGGTTGGGTGTTGTCAAAATCTCACTCCTTGAAAAAATTGGTCAGTTTTTTCCAAGATTGCTTCCCATTCTTTTAGTTCTAAATTGTTTCTTTTCAATAAGATATCGCTTTCATTCATATTATTAACATCACGCTCCAAGTCCACAAGCGTTGACTTAAAAAAATTTCATAAGAGAATTTAGGAGAAATTTTAACTAAAATTTTAAATTTTTTGTCATAAATTTTGTAAAATAAATGAATGTTTAGATTCATTCTCCGTATCAAATCAAATTTTAACAGCGGCAATGTATTCATTAAAAAACGGTCACTTTTATGGTTCACTTTTGTTTTATGATTATAAAATGATTATTGGTATTGCAAGAATTTGTGCTTATAACTGACTGGACAGGAAACGTACCTCCAAATGATTTAATTCATGTGGAGGCATTACTTCATAAGTCTTATCTGGAACTGCCTTAACGATATCAATACCAGCATCATTTATATCATTCTCGATTGCTCCTTTAAATTCGATGAACTTAATACGATAAAAAAATAATTCATCATTACCATTCTAATAAAGCAAACAAATATTATATAAAAATTTGGTTACGTTAATTTTATTAAACGAATAAATCCGTTGCGTTTCTGTAAATAATATTGTAATATTTTAAAATAAAACTAAAAGGATTTTAAAAGTTTACTTAATTTTCGCTCGAGTTCATCAAATCGTCGAACATCTCTAACGAAAATTCGTTGAAATGGATTTACTGCGGCATTTAACTAAATATCGAATTGTGGTAGCAATTATTCTTTTAGGAAGATACTTTGGCGACGCTTGCATTATGGGATGGCAACTGCACTAATTTTTGAAAAGTTATTTCTTAACAATGTCGTATTTGTATTTTATCGTAAAGCTATGTTTAAAAAAGAATTAAAGGATTAAACTAATTACATCCTTGAATTGTACATACGGCCGCTTTCCCAATTCAGCGACACATGCAAATGCGGCATCTTTCTGCACAATCATTTGGCAAAATCGCATTTGTTCGGATCTGTAGAGTGAACCCATTTCGAATCTCTTTTCTCACCTACAGTCGTTACTATCGATCCTGAAAATTACCAAAAAGTAAAATCACAAACCAAATTCAAGTAAAAAACTATTTTCTTCTGGCATTTAATCTAAGCAAATTCATTCCATTGAGAAGTGTCATTCTATCGCTCGAAGATTCGCTTCGATGAAAAGAAAGTCCTTTTACAAAAGAATTTTGGAAAGCGCTTTCGTCATTTTTGTGCAAAAAATTAGAATAACAATTGGCGATTAATTTTTAAAATGATTTCAAAGAATCGAATAACGAACTGAAAAGAAAATTAGATGAAAGGTCATCTTTTTCGCAAATATTACAAAATAAATTTGTTGAATTCTTCGGAAAACGTCGATTATAAAAAATATTTTTTAACATTTTTGATACAACCAAGAAGAGAATGATTATTACATTTGTTAATAAGCGTTAAAGCCAACAATAAAAATGATAACAATAAAGGTAATTGCGATTGCCTTTCCTGTATCCAACGTTTTACTGTGACAGTGGTGCACGTTGGTAAAAAATATCTGATCAATGGAAGTTATCATTGATCAAATCGATAAAATTTGCAGTTTATTCTTAAACTATCTTTTCTAGTCAAAATGGCGAAGTTTTTAAAATCTATAACAAAATATTTGGAAAAATTTCGAAGGATTCGTTTTGGTGATATTTTTATTAGAATTATTAAAATTATTATTAGAATTATTAAAATTACTATCATTAGTGATAATGTTGTTTATTGACGAATTACTATTTATTATACAGCAAATAGTAAGAATAATATACAAAATATTTGATGAAATTCCCCACAGCAAATCAAAGATGAAATAAATGAATTGATTTCGATTCATTTGATGCTTTTGATAAAGAATTAAAATTTTTAAAAATCGAAATCTATTTTAGAACCTTTTTTGTCTCATCTCAAATGAAATTTTTTTCTTTTTTTATAAAACCAAAATTATGCAGTCTGAAAAAGGCATCGGCCACAATGTTGCTGGAGAGTGGCAAAAATCCTTAGCCACTAACAGACTACGCAGCCAGAAACGCTGACCATTTCCTTTTTTATTCAATTAGTCACCAAAAATATTTTTTCGGTGATAATTGCAACTTTATTTAAAAAGTGATGTATAATAATAATATAAATAAAAAAGGAAACATTGACCGAATAAAACTGAAATTGAAGAAAATTATAAATATTTTACGAATTGGTTTACGGTATTTGCAATTTGCAATTCTCACTTATATTATTTCTTTTTGATAATCATAAATTTTAAAAATAGATTAAATACGTAATTATATTAATTATATATTATTGTATAAACTATTAGTATACAATGAAATCACTAATGAAAACTTCATTTTCTTCATACAAAACTTTTTTTAATGGCTAAATAAATGAATACCTAAAGTTTTTGGGTCAGCAAAAATATTTCAATAATCTCGTTAAACAAGTATAAATCTCTTAGCCATTAAATAAATTGCCATAAATGAAAGCGCAAAATTTAAAAACATAAGGAAGAATGCAAATAGTTTTTGCCAAAATAAAAGGGAATTTTTTATATTAATTTTCATTTTATCTCTTATCTTTCACTCTTATTTCGTAGACGTTTAAATTGAGAAAAACAATAATAGAGAAATTTATAATCAAATTCTAAAACTCGATTTAATGTTTAAAGAAATTTTAAGAAACAAAAATGGCAATAAAACAACACATAGCAATTAGCGAATACTGATTATTTCACTGATTATGTGTTTATGTATGTACAATATTATCAATAATACCACAATAATAACAGAATTAGTTGTTAAATATTACGCTTTTATCGAAGCAATAATATCAAATTAATCTCTTGATTTATACAAGTATTTTGATAAAAATAGAAGGCATCTATCTGCAATCGAATCGAATCGAAATCATTCAAACTCACAATACTGCAATTAAAAATGATGAATTTTATGGTGGAAAATTCGTTAAATGCGGAGAAATAATTTCGAAAGTATAAAACTTTAATAAAATTATTTAAAATTTAAATAGTAATGATAATAAAATTGACAATAATAATGCATTACTAACAGTAATAAAACGACAAAATAAAGTTTCAGTGAAATGATTACCCAAAACATATAAAAAAATTTAATAATAATAATAATAATAATAATAATAATAATAATAATAATAAATAAAATAAATAAATGAATAAATTGACAGAGGAAAAGGCGACGAACTTGAAATCAATTTTTATACTAATGATGTATGTTTTACAAAAGTTATAGGTGTTATTGGCTGGATTCATTAAAAATCATTGAAACCGGCTTCTTTGATCTTTGTTCACAGAGATTATTTTCTGGTTTTCAGTCGCGAACACTTTGTATAACAAATAAAATATTTAAAATCAGAAGCGATTTGCTTTTGCTTAAACCCATAATCCTCAAACTTCCGAAGTTCCTTAGCTTTCTTGATAAAGTCGCTCAATATTTAAATCTGATTTTAAGGATAAAGCCGTTGGCTATTCTGCTGTTATTCCCACTTCCCAACTATCCATGAAATTCAAGCGATTTACTACGTAAGCCCGCAACTGAGATTTCTATCTCTCTCGATTTCTAAGACTCGTAGAATTTCCAGAGAAGTGAGATGGAACAAACTTTGCAAAGGCATTACGCATACTCATTAGTTAAACATTCATATAAATAAATAGCTTAACTTACTTGCAACTTACAAGTCACAATGAGATTGAACTTGGTCTGTCGAGAAAAATGCAATTTTTAACTGTAAATTTTTTTACGATCCTGTTACGATTGCTATTTGCGATTTTACCGATTTTCTTTAGAACTGAGCACCGCAATTCAGTCAAATTCTTTGTCACGGTGGCTTATTTCTCCATCCAATTTTCTTTCAAAAAGCAAGAAAAATTTTATCCTTTTATATATATTTTTAAAAAAATTGGAATTAGTTACCAAGGAAAGTCGTTAGAAAAAATAAAAATGAAATTACCCGTATGAATAATGGAATTTTCAATGCTAATTATTTACATAAGAATTAAATGAAACTACTTTTGACTAAAAGAATAAATTTATAAGGGACAACACATAATACACAAAAATCGCTGATAAAGAATGGCCTTAATAATAATTAATGATCGCTTTCTATCAGAATCGATAAAAAATTCAGGCGATTTGAGTTACTTTTTTTAAAATTCTGTACAATAGTTGATAAGCATACCGTCAAGTTTTAATGGCTTAGTGCATATGAATATGAGAAATTGCAAATAAAAGTTTACAAAATAATTTATTATTAGATAAAAATAAAAATAAAAAGCCTTTCAAGTGAGGTATGATTTGATATATGAAAATCAGCGGTTGGTGATAAAAAAAGGCAAGCAAAACGTTCGCTGAGCAAATAAACGATGAAAATTAGCAAAAAAACAACCAGGAATTTTGTCAAAGCGTTTTAATTAATAAAAGTTTCGAAAGAAAAAAAGGTTGGGGCGTTCATTCGCTGAACACTAAGTCAGTGTGTCTCGAATATTCTATATAATCCCGAAAATTATTCCTGAAGCAAATCAGTGAAGAAATTTTTAAAAAATTAAAAAATTAAAACAATAATTCAAAGCAATGGATTTATTAAAATATAATCGAAAGGAATGGATGTTAAAATGGAAATTTAAGGAGTCGAAACATAGTAATTTTGCATAATCTTGTAATTATGGCAGGTAAAATCTTACAAGCAGTTTATACAGTGATTCACAAGTACGCTTTAAAAAGTATAAATTCAATGCATCACTGATCATAATGTAAATAAATAATTACCGAAACGAGAAAATATCCCTTGTGACGATTGAAAAAATCGCTTTTTATTTATCTAAAAAATCGGGAAATTGTGAAAAATGAGATTAAAAAAAATCGCCATAATTAGTTTCGAAGGCTGAAACGTTTCAAATATAGAAAAAAGACACGTAAAAATTTACCACTTTTTCTTAAACTTCTACATTAGATGTTTGAAATCATTTTGTATATTTCGCAGGAATATTTCAAATTTCGAAGCTCTATTTTCTCATAGATTTTCTTTTTCTTATAGATTAGTTTTTATCGTTCAAGCAATTTTTCGAGTTCGTAATAATTGTTTATAAGCGACTTAAAAGAAAATCCTAGAATTTTATTATATTAAGCGATAATTTTTTAAACAATTCAATATAAATTTGTCGCCTATAACTTTATTATTGTTTAAGTGAAGAAAAAGATTTCCAACGTTTTATTTTTACCTGAAAATGTTAAATATATGGGTAACGGTGGAATATAGCGAACATATAACTATCCACCCATTGTTCACCTTTGCTTTCCTTCTACATTTTCTGGCTACTATCGCTGTCACCTTTAGTTGCTACCTTTATAGTTTTATAAAGCGAATAAATATTTCTGAGTACAAAAAATTTCTATTAACGACTACAAAATTTACGACTTCATTGTCAAATTAAAAAAAAAATTGTTCGTTTTATAAAAACCATTGCACTCGAGATATATTTTTAAAATTAAGTCCGAAAATAAGCATGCAAAGCATGCGAATATTATGCGATTAAACATTCGCTAGAAATATTCTATCCTACTATGTGATAAAAACACCGAAGGATTGAGAAAATTCATCAAAATTTCCGAATTTCGAGTTTTTTTAGGGATATTTTTTTAAAACCATTAATAATCTGTGTCCAGTATAAATTTTCCAACTGCGATATTTTATTTTTCGTTATTAATTATGCAAGAAAAGATAAATATTTAGTTCTTTTCATTTTCGGTTAATTTTATAATTATTGCAAGCCTTTTCATTTAACTTTATTATTAGATTAAATCTAAATTAGATTAGATCTAAATATTTAGCTTTGCTAATTTATTAGATAACAAAAACCGATTTTTTTAATTGCATTGCTATTTTAAGGGATTTCAGCTAAAATACTTGTGGATTACTCGTTAGTCGTTTTACTGGTTCATATGTTAATAAATACACACTATATATTGCATTAAAGGCAATAATAAATATGTAAAGAGATTTATTATTTATTGAAAACCAGCCAAGCAGAGAGCAAACGCCATGTGCTTGTATTAATAACAACATTAAAATAACAAATAATAAAAAAAGAAAAAAACAAAAAATAATAAAATAAAATATAATGCACAATTTAAAAATGAAATAAAGAGGAAATTACAAAATTACAAAATATTATAATATAGTACAATTCGAAATAACTATTATCGGATGGTAAAAATCGGGATTTTAATAGAGAAAAATAGAGACTTCCTGCATAATGCATTACTTTAAGGCTACGATTTCTTTCTCTTTGGAAATAATTTTTGAAAATGAAATGCGCATAGCAACATGGATTATCTTCAAATGACTTTTTGGCGAAAGAATCATCGAAGCAGTGATCAGTGAAGATAAACCAGAAATGGCCAGTAATATTAGAAAAAAAGGAAAAATGCATTAAATAAAATAATTATAGGCATTCTATATTTTCGAAATAAATAAAATCGCAATACCATTTAAAAAACTTTTCAAATTTTCAAATTTTTAAAAAATCATTTTCTTGCCAAACTGTTCTTTAAGGCCGAATTTCTATTGACTTGGCTAATTTGCTTTTTACATAAATCATAGCGTCTGCTAAACCTGAGCCAAAATTTTCATTTTTTCACAGTATAGATATTTACAGTACGATTAATTCGCATTGTTTCTGTTTAGACTCGCTCCACTGGCTGCTAATACAATGAGAAATTTTTGCTAAGAAGGCATTTGATAAACAATAAAAGCACAGCTAAATGAGCACCACTTGGCTTTTTTTAAAATAATATGTTCAATCTTGTCGGATTGAAAAGCCGAAAAAAACTTTCAACACAATGTTCTTGGCTTCTAACCACTCGGCTATCCCCATTCTTATAGGCTGATTATATTTCTTTTTGGCATCGCTGAAGCAAAGCCATTGTAAAAAATAAAATAAAATTTTCTTACTTCAATTCCTTCTCAATCAGTAAACTTATCATACAACGCAAATAAGAGAAAATTTTTTATAAAAATAGAAACAAAGTCGATTTTCCAATTTGAAATCAGCTCATTTTTGTTCAAAATTTTTTTTAAATTCGTTTTTTGAATGAAATATCAAAATTTTCTTAATATCACATATAATCAAGTAGTTCAATAATTTTCGAAATATTCATAAACTTTCACCACCTTTCAAATCCTCAAATCCGAAATTTTTTCAGGACAATGCCAGATTTGACCATTCGAGAAGAATTATTGAAATTGGTTGAAGTCTGTCATCGGATCATCCATATTTCACAAATTGCAACTGGCAGATTATCATTTATTTTGGTTTTTTGTTTTGTTGAATTTTCTAACAAAATTTTAAATTTTATCGACAAAAAATTCGATTTTTCCAAAAATCGCCTCCAGCGAAGAGATGGAATGATCGAGTAAAGAGAAGGATGGCAACAAATTATGGAACAAAATCAAATTGAATAAAGATTTGAAAATAAGAATACTGAATTTTCTTTCAAATCCATGAGATAAAAATAAAAATCCATGAAATAAAAATAAAAAAAGTTAAAAAAAAGTTTAAATGGGTCAAATTGGCCGAATGATACGATATAGTAAATTAACATGGTTGAGTTTATAAGCATTGGCGATGTTGACTGGAAATAAGAAGAACTGCGATGGGTACCAAACCGGATATGAACATCCGCAACGAGAATTAACATTCAACTCAATGCAAATAAGTCATTTGTTAGGCCATGGTCTTCGCCCCTACCCACCCCTCCCACCCCACATAAAAATTTAAACAGACTCGCTACTTGCTAAGCTCTGTGATGGATGGCGTCAAAAGACCAACCAAAACCAAGAATGAGAGCGTGGCCAGGAGAGATTTTGAACACATAGGTCGGAAACCTTGGAAGGTTATTTTACCCTCGTCAACAGCGCAAAAAGCCAAACCAGCGCCGGGATACTAGGAGAAATAGAAGATACACCTTTGCCTTTGTTTAAATTGATTAATCAATCGTTTCCAACTTGATCGCCAAAAAAATTGCATTTGAATGCTTTGAAAGGCGATGGCTTTTGATGAGCTCCTATTGAACAACCCCAGTCGTTGAATTTGATCAAATATTGTTCGAGAAAAAAACACTCAGAACTGAGGGATCTCTTGAGTACCAGAAAATAGCTATTTCAAAAAATTGTGTCAGTTCCCTGCAATACATACCTGCATGATGTAGGCCGATAAAATACTTTGGTGAGTTTAATCAACTTCTCTGGAACATTATCACCACTTATACCACTTGCTGGAGCAGCCGGCCCTGTTGATCAAATCAAAGTAAAGCCTTGATAAAGTGTGAAAATAATCCTCCAGTATCCTTCTCACCATGAAAATTTGGACATCGCAGATGCGTTCTCTAGCTCAAATACGCTTAAATCCGGCTTGTTTAGAGCATCCTGCTATTACACACTATAAGCCTGTTCAGCGGAAGGAATGAAAACCTTCCTAGAAACCTTCCATCTACCAAGCTGATTCCTCGATAATTGTCACAGTGAGTTTTATCATCTTTCTTGAGAATCGGGAGCAGAATTGCCTTACTCCATATGGCATTTGCCTCTTCGCAGGATTTCCATTCTTATCTTGGGTCACTTCACTTATCGCAAAATAGTAATAACAAAAAGGTTGCTACGGGGTAGTAAAAATAAAAAATGGATTCGAACCAGCAATTTGCCTCATCAACAAATTATGTGTCGATCAATCAAGAATCAACGAATCAACGACGAGAAGTTGAAAACACAGTTTTCATGACCTCAAAGTGATGCGCCGAAGTTTAGTAACGAACCAAATATCGAATCAGCCAAAAAGATTCAGCATATAATGTGTCGATAACCAAGAAGAAAGCAGAAAGGTGGACAAGAGTAAATGCATTACGGAAAAATTATAAAGGATAATATGGTGTAAAACGTTGAATCTTCTGACTTAAAATAGACAAAACTGGCAAAACTGCCTTCCGCACTGTCAATTTCATTTGAACCACAACTCTAACCAACAACATGACGCAACCTGCGGCAGTTGTCAATTTCGTCTACGCGATATGTGTGGCTAATATCGTGAAATTCTTCCATCAGCAATTTACCAACATTTAGCCAAATTAACTCGAGTGTCGATTGTCTTGCTAAGGCAATATCTTCTGCTGATGCCGAAAATGTGGATCCATTTTTTCCCATATTCAAATTATATAAAATGATGGAAAAAGAAATTCCATTAAGACAGCATTTGAATTTAAAAAAAAAACACAGAAAAACCGTCTTTAGAAAACTATATCCACCAACTTTTGCTTTAAATCAAACTACCGAAAACATCTAAATTCATTAATTAATAATTAATTAATACATTAATTCTAATCTTACTAATTTACATAATTTTTCTCAAATAGCCATACAAATCCTGCAAAATTACTTATTGTTTTACAAAAAGCATTGGGAAATAAACTTCGAAACGGATAAAAAAAAGCACAATCTTTCAAAATGATATGATTATAAGACGATAACAAATTTCCAAATTTGTAATTGAAAAAAGCAATAATTAAAAGGCGTTGTCACCAGGAATTTCTGAAATTTAGACCAGAAGAAAATTTCATAAAAAATTATCGTCTATTAGTCGCTATAATATAATATAACTATTATAAAAAACTTAATGAAAAAGATACTGAACACGCTTTTTCACAGAAATAACAAAAAAAAATGGCATAAATAATATTTATAGCATATTTACATAAACAGGAGCTACCAAAGAATACCAAATCTTGGTTCATTGATTCATTCTTTACTTTGCTTGTATGAACAAAAATTCGTTTAAATGGAAAATTTACAGACTATTAAATAACTCAGAATCTCTTTTACTTCACAGCCAAAATTAGAGAAGTGGCCTATTCATATACATCTTCCTTATCACATATAAATTGCAAAATATCTCGTGGAGTTTTCATGTTGTCTGCAAAACCATCAGGGATCTCAAACCCGAATTCATCTTCAATAGCCATGATCAGTTCCACATGATCCAGGGAATCCAATCCGAGATCTTTAAAGAAATCGGAATCAAGAGTTAATACTTTTGGATTTATCTGCAAAAAACCAATGAAATATAACTAATAAATTCGACTGTAATCCATTCACACCATAATAACATGAATACTATGAATACTATATATACGAATACTATGAATTATGGGCACAAACAATTTCAAATCCTTACGAAATTCTCTCGCAAAATTCCCTTGAAGCCCAAGTATTCCTCCAATCCTATAATACGGTCTCTTAACAATCTCTTAAACTTTCTCAAATACCCTCAATCTCTGTCGCTTTATTATTTAGACTTCCCAAACCGCGACAACTGCCAAAGCAATTATATCGACTTTCTGAGCACATATAAATCGACAACAATAATATTTATATTTTATTACATGGATTAAAAAAAGTGCGAACTAAGAGAATTACGCTTGGAACCAACCTTATCGTACAAACTTAGGACTAAAATAATTCGCTCTTCCAAACTTTTGATCGTAAGCGGTGCTTTATGAGAATAGAACCGAGTCTGAAAAGAAGCCGATAGAAATCTTTCAAAAAGCAGAGAATATCAATATTTATCAAAAACAAAATACAGCTCGATATTTCGATTTGTAATCTGTGTGATGATCAATATGATTTGAAATGGACAAACGACGAATAATCTTTGGAAATGCATTCGTTAACGATCTGAATGAGAGCGCCGATATTCGTGAATAACCACAAACCGCTGTTCGAAGCATTCTAAAAATGAATAATTAAACAATAGAGCAACTTCTGACAAATAAAAAAAATATCTAAAAATAAAAACTAATAAAAACACCAAAAATAAAAGAAATGATTAAAAAGTATTGATTAAAATGTAAAATGATAAAAAACGCCACTCCTGGCGACGACCACTGAAGAATTCTGAGATTTTTTAAACAAAAAGCAAATAATTTCGTTTATTAACGTGTGATTTCCGAGGAAGCAGCCAACAGCAAGGCAAACATTTTTCCCAATCTCCCTATCTTTGAAATAATCTCTGAATAAATATTGGCCATAAAATAAACGAGAAGATGGCGATAAATGGTTCTACTTTTTCTTGCCCTCCTCATAAGTTTCAATCCCCATTATACCACATGGCTTAGTTTACCGAATGCAAAAAACCCCGACACCCCCATCTCCAAAAACCCAAACAAAGTCCTCTAAATCACGTAATAACCATCCGACAAATAGACATGAAATTTTCGTAACATCTATTATTTCTCATTTTACAGCTAAATAATTTAGTTTTACAGTAGTAGCCCTCCTAAGATTGCTTTCCTCGTGGTACTCCTTACAATAGTATTATAGGATTTATGGTCATAATAATGAAGTTTTATGCAAAATATATATGCAAATATTAATTCATTTGCAAAAAATAGCTCACAAGTACGAGTGAAACCCGTGCGGCGCTCTCGTGTGATTCACCTCGTGGCGACGCGCTGGTTCATTGGAGTTGAATACATACAAAATTTCTTAAAAAAACCAATATTAAACAAATTAGTCCACAGTGAAATTGACCCCTCAAACTCGTTATTTATTCATAACAACCTTCAAATCTGCTAAAACTCCTCGAGTATTTCCTTCACATTCGTTGTATTTCTTAACGAATGGGTGTGTATTATCATAAACTCTGTAACACTACCACCCATTAAACCCTTAAAACTTAAAAACCCTCTAACTCCCCGTCCGTTTCGAAATGTCACCTTCACTAGACGAAGGTTATCCTTTAAATGCATAACAATTTATAAACAATCGCAGCCTGCGAGACAAAAGAAAAAAGGAGTGAAGGATTTTAAAAGGATTCAACGGGGGATATTGACATGGTTCCAACAATAAAATTAGTAGTATGAAGTTCTAAATAAGAAGAAGTGATTTGGAGATTTTAAAAAGCTATAAGGTGGATTGAAGGGGCCTTAAGACTTAACAAGATACAATGGCATTTGGCGAATTGTTAATTTGGGACGAAACTAGCGCGAAGGCTAGCAAAGTCGTTCTACAATTGGAATATTCCAAGTTTCGAATACGAGCATACGAGAATACCCAGCGGATTTCATGAAATTTCAGGAATATTTCGATTATCACTCTTCCTAATGCATGAATTCCAAGTTTGTGCTGAAATTTTTTATAAGCGAGTAATAAATTCTACTCGATTAGAGTTGATTCCATATAAAATTTGAAAGTTTGATGCTGTATAAGGGAAAATCGTAGAATTGGTTGAATTTTTCATCGCGAGGGTAGAGAATTGAATGCCAAATTAATACAAAGTTATTTAAACAGGTCTTAATAAGCGAGATTTTAAAGGCAGAGAGGGCTGTTGCAGGGATTAGAGGGGAATAACGGCCTTGTCTTTGAGAAGCTTTTTAACAGAATAAGTTTTGGATAAGTTTTGGAGAATATCAAAGAGTTTCGATTCATATCGTAGGCCAAGATTTCGCGACTTGATCTGCTTTTTTCACGGCCAGATACACTTACGCGTACATAAGCAAGCTCACTAACCAAGCATTCCACTATATAAAAAGAAGAAAATAAATGAGCTCACAGATAAGCGACAATTTTCACTGTTTGAAAAATACTGTAGAGGAGGGTAAGAATGAAATTAAAGGATGGATGAGGATAGTTAATATCAAATTCAAATTTAATGTTTATTATTTTCTTAGTGTTATACTCCGATAGGAAGTGTTAACGTCCTACTTCCATTTTTGTCTGCCTCTTCTCGACGCTGCTGTCCTTTTTTCCCTCATCGGTAATAAATTCTTTTTCCGCTTATTCTTAAGCAAAGGCCGGGTTCTTGTTGTCCTCATCTATCCGAAAAGTACATATATATTAAAATTGTAATTAAAATTGTTTGTCATTATATCTTATTAATACTTCTATACTTATAAAATCTATTAAATACTTGTCAATATTGATATTATTATTATTATTATTATTATTATTATTATTATTATTATTATTATTATTATTATTCGCTCAAAGAATTTCGAATTGATCGTAAACGCTGTTCGTATCATTGGCAAATTGAAATGACAGAATTGTTTGAAATCATTGAGAAACTTCATAATTTTAATCCTTAAATCTTAATCTTACTTAATACTTAAATATTTTTAAAAATTTTTCATTTTTCTTTTTACCGCTTTTACGAGAAAAGCTCTTTGGAATGAATTCAATAATTTTTACTAATAAAATAATTTCTATAACACAAACCAGTGAATTTTTTTTCATGAGAATTGCGACTATCTTTTGGTAAAATTTCTAAAATTTTTTTAAAATGTCTCAGCCAAAATTATTAATTTTGTTAAAATTGATGGTGTAAACAAATTAAAAATATCGCTGCTTTTTCTTCAAAAATTCCATAATTTATAATTATATATTAATAGTTGGTATATTTAATTACAAATTACAAATTTAATTAAAATAATTACAAAATACGCAGAATTCCAGCTTTTTTCATATTTGATGAATCATCGGTAGCCAATGATTGCCAATGAGAGATATTAATAAGCTACCTACATTAAGATTATCTAATTATTCATAGCTAAAGTATATAGGAATAAAAATCGCTATTGGAACGATATGGTCTTGAGAATGGAGAGGTCCGCTGGGTTAGGTGGTAATAGGAAACTATTTCGCCTTCTTCACAAAGCAGCTATATAATTATATAAGCAATTATAACTCGAGAAGAGATCAGTGAAATGATAGGGGATTTTTTTTTTAAGAATCCTCACCATTACTGGTTTCTCTGCTGGCTTACCGCGATGGGCAAATATGCTAGGGAGTCTCTTGGTGATAGCAAACGCGATGGAATTTGACGGCGTTCCAGAGAAAATCATTCGGTTCATAAAGGTATTTTACCAGCATACCCTGGCACAGATCTATGTATATGGGGAACTGGCTGACCGTTTCGAAATAAAAACTGGTTTCGTCAAGATTGCGTCCTTTCCCCTACAACATTCAATTATGCGATAAAATGGATAATGGGCATCGCTTGTCGGCACTCAAGAGGTATACAAATCAGTCCAGAGCATAGCATCACAGTCCTTGAATACGCTAATGATGTAGTCCTTTTTGCTGGCAATTTTTGTAAATTGTCGAGCAGATAAAATCGAACAAGATTATATCCACCTTCGCTCAAATACCATCTGCATTAATGATGTTATCACAGAGCGTCGCTTTCTCTGGTTAGGGCACGTTTTCCGTCGTCCGCTATGGGAGTTGACGCATATTTTGCTACTTGCCGAACCCTTCGATGATTGGTGTTATAAACGAGGAGAGCCAATAAAGACTTGGACAACTATAGATCGACGAGCGATATATGGAATTAAAAGATGGAAAAAAGAATGGTTTCTATTATTTCAGCGATGACGTCAAAACCGAAGAACTTGAAGACATTACCTTACCTTATAGCCAGCGGAGACTGCTTAACCAGTAATGATGAGAGCTGTTAGATGAAGAAGGTACATAAGGTATACGAACAAATAGAACTTAAATTGCATCAACCCTGGCTCGATACCATTTGTATTCATAATACTCCGTCAGCTAGACTAATTAGTCATGTTCTTCGCTGTTTATCAGAAGAACCAACGCGTACATCTGTACTTGTTTTCTTGTAATTAATGGCATCGAAGGCAAGTATTAACTAAGATCTGAACTGAGCAGAGTCAGGAGAAATTTTGAATAAATAGGCGGCCCAGCGATAAGTTTATAAACGACGAAAGAAGGAGTGCTTTGAAATGTAACACCGGATCGAGCAGCATGGAAAAATTTTCATCATCCTTGCAACTACCATTCTAACCAGCAATATTAGAAGAAGAATTGTCACTCATTTTAGAGATGAAAAATAGATAAAAAGTTTGTAAAAAAATTGGAGGAAAACAGTTATTACAATTTAAAGTAATTTATAATTCAAATAATTTAAATGCCAGAAATATTTAAAATAGTATTATTCAAAATAATAATGTTTAATTTAATGGCAAATTCATAAGCACAACTCATTAACCAGTTTTATAGGAACAAATTCAAGAAACATGCTTTTATTAGGTTCTCGATTCGTAACATTCGACATTTTTGTTTAAAATGATTATATAAAACATGTTTTTGAGCAAGTAAATCCATATATCATAATGCCATAATCCAGGAAAATGATATCGCTTAATTACTACAACTGACCCACATTGCTATAAAAAAAAGAAACGAAGATAAGAAAAAAAGAAGATATATGTAAGTATATTTCTTGCTTCATTTAGCATTTTAACATTTAATACAATATAATATAATGATAGTATAATATTTTCTCGAGTTTTAAACTATAAATTTTCGCTTTTTTATTTTCGAATCGATTCAAAAATTTTAAAAAATTCGAATTTTTGATTTTTTGTTTGAATATTTTTGCTAATTTTCAAAATTTTCTTAGTATCTAAAATTATTTAAATTTATTATTAAGAAGTACTGGCGATGGCTTTACTTATACACAATTTTGCAATGTACATTTGTGTACATAATGTCGATAAATAAAAATTGTTGATGTTAGCTCGAAAATAGCCAGTTTTGTTAGCTGAACCTTTCGAAATGCTACGGTCCTATCAGTACTATCAATTCATTCATCTCATCTATTTGCTTTCATACATAAAGCAATTTATTATATTACTTGTATTATTTGCTACTCATTGAATTTCTCCTATCTTCCACCAATTTTTCTTTATCGAATTCATTTTCTAATTTCCTAATTTAATTATTTAATCTGTCAATAATTTTTTTTAGCTTTTTACTTTCTGTTTTTTATAAAATTAAAATTGAATTTAAATAACACATTGGCCAGTTTTATTTAAAATTGCTTATTCGCCAATTTAATATTTTTATTCTTGAATTGTCCATATAATTTTCCACTTGCTTTTCATTATTACTGACAATAAATTGTTTTTTTGAATCAAAATGCCAACTATTCCATGTATTTATATGTTGCATTTGTTGATTACTGATATTATTACTTTAATATTACTTTAAACTTTTTAGAAAAAAATTTTCATTGTAATTTGCATTGCACTTTAACACATCCATCTTCAAATAACTTATGAGTGCTTTAGGAATCCCCCCTCTAAAAAACCCTTTCATCCTGGGTCTGTAAACTTTGTAATTTTAATATAGTGAAAATATTAAAAAATATTTAGTCTAAAGTCCATTAAATTCTAGACTAAAACTTCATATAATACAATAAATGCTTTGTCCGGTTGAATTTGTAAGATTTCAAATCATATTCAGAACTATATTTGTAAAAAGAGATTGAAACAGAACTCCATTTTAGTTGGATCACTACCGAAATGAATTTACTTTTCTTAATACAGTTTTCTTAAGAATTTCATGCATTATTTATTGAAAAATCTATTATTTTATGGTTTTATTATTTTATTTTTATTTTTAATTATTAAAGAATTTTTTTAACATAATTTTTATGAATTAAAAAGAAATAAAAACGGCATTTTATTCGCTTTTCTTGTCGCATTTATTCATTTATTGATAATTAATTCGTTAAATAAATATGTGTTTTATATATTTTAAATCAAAAGTTAACAGTTTTATTTTAAGCTATTTAAGCTATTTCTTAGTTTTCTGAAATATTCAATTTAAAATTTTGTTTTTTTAATAGAAAAAACTTCTTTTAAGTTTTTGAATTATTATCTTACATAATTTATTCTAAATTTATTCTAAATTGCGATATTTCCTACAAGAAAATTTCTTTAATGAAATAAAAGTTAAGAAAACTTACTATGTGCCGTTTTCGAAAGAGTTTCAGTTAAGGTGTTCGTGCCTCTCGGATTTGCATAGTTTCTATGATAATTTTCAAACTACATTGTAAGAGGTAAGCAAAAGATAAGCGGTCAGCGCTCATCATTTCGCTGTCCACTCGCTTATCCTACTCCTCGTATAGGACTACTACTACTCCTTGTGAATAAGCAGTTTATGACTAATATAACAAAAGAAATAAACTGAGATAATATTATTTATTAAAAATTACTTCAGTCGGATAATTTGTCAAAAAAAATTTCTAATTGTTTCAAATATTATTCACAAGATCTAATTTAAATAAAGAAGAAAGAAATTCGATATAGTTTCTTGCGAATTTGGTTGCAATTATTTGATTCTTACGAATCCCATTTCGTCGTCCTGAATTAATCAATTTTATGTCTATTGGATATGTATTTATATATAGAAATAAATTATTTAAACAAATTTCCGTATCTCTAAATTCATCTGATAAATGATAATTGATGAGATGAGCTCGTTAATTGTACCAACATGACAGTGATGATTGTATTATCATCAATTTTTTAATAAATTTTCATTGATTTTTATATTGTATTATAATTTGAAATAAGCAATCAATTTTTTATATGAAAACGTTATCAATTGTCATCAATTTTTTTTTATTTTCCAAGAGAACATATTGTTTTTATCATTATTAGTTAATTTAATTTAATATTGAATATTTATACCAATTTGTGAATTAATTAATAATGAGCCAACTTAAAAAATTACTCGAGTTACTAGAGTAATTTTGCACTCATAAATGCGATTGAATGAATGAATTCTTGCAACATACATAAAAATTACTTCTTTTGGCTTTGCGTAATTCTTTTTCAATTAAATGAATAATTTGTTGATAAATATTGATTAATTAATCGGTGATAATGCTGAGAACTTGTTTATGGTGATATATTATCGAATGTACACACTTTTAAGATTAATTTTGCATATATTGATTCAAAGAAGATTGAGGGAAAATCGTTCAAATTGCAAATAAATCTCTATCAGCTTTCCAATCGCTATTTTATCGCTATGCCTATGCTGAATTGCAGCATAATATATTATTTTCTTGATGTCCATCACATGGTACAGTCGAAAAAATAATCATTGGAGACATTTGTTCAAAACCTACAACTAATCAAAAAATTCTCTAGAAATAGCGAAACTGAAGTTTGCCATTTTATTGTAAAACTTCATTTCCTTCATTTGCCTTCGCATGCCTTTTATCAGTTAATTTCATTGTGTTGATTAATTTGTTTGAGACAATGATTGTCATTATCGTGCTGCGTTCTTATCGATGACATTCATAATCAGTCCTATTTTATTTAATAGCTTTTACCATTTTGCTTGAATAAATATTTGCATTTATGACCATTAAAACATTTTGAAACTCGCACGGTATCTGATATCTCGTCAAGCCATAACCCATCACATTTATATGTTCATATTTATATTGTAATGAAAATACTTAAATTCTTAAAATTTTTTTTAAGTGAATGAAAGCCTTGTACACCCTTACATTTCTTTTCGGTGACTTCTCTTAAAGAGATATTCTTAATTGAAAAATATCTCTTTAAGAGAACTTATAATAATTATTATAATAATTAAGATACTCTTAATTATTTTGTGCGAATGAGGAAATCATCAATCCATTTTCCTTCATGAATTCGAAAATTCGAATCTCATTCCAATTTTCGGATCTCAAAAAAACAGTTTCAAGTAAGCGATGTGAAAAAGGAAAATCTATTGTATGAAAATTTACAACAAAAAATTTATTTCTTTCCTCAATGACTAATGACCAAGTAAAATGCGCTTCGCATTTTTGCATATCGCGTATCTGATCGCGTAAATGCATAACATTGTTCAAAATGTTTGTGTTTGCAGATTTTTTTGGATAATTTTTCGTTATCTGATTTAATAAATATTTCTCATTTTGTGAGAATTTTCGTATCGATATATATCGATATATTAAAATATTTACTTTGATCGCCATGTTGTTTCAATTTTTTTTAGTATTCTTACTTTTCATTCAAACTATACCTAGGTTAATTTTTTTTTAATTTGTAATAATACGTGAAAAATTGTGATCAAATTTTTTAAAAATAATTAATTACGGCGATCGACCATTAAAATCAAATTTTTGTTATCAAATTATTATTGAAAAATTTTATTTTATAAAAGTTGGATGGTTTTTTGCATGATTTTCATTGGTTACATGAAAGAATTTGAGATATTCGATGATTTACTGACAATTATGGAATATTTAAAAGAAAATATGAACTCGACAGCCGTGAAATAAAATAGGTTTAATGGGCTGATGGAAAGGACCAGTATAAATAAACATATAATAAATACATAGCAAATATTTAATCCAACTATAATATGGAATCAGCGCCCTTTAGTTCTAAAACAAAATATTAAGTGAATCTGTTTTTAATGGCTTAACTCCGACTTAACTTTTTCGGATTATGAAAGAAATAATAATTCAGCGAAATCAGTGGAGCAAAAAAAACGGATGATGAAGTTCCATGTGCGATTATGCAATGTGAACGATCAGTTATAAAAGAATTGATTGAAAATACTGTATTTCTTAATTCATCAGCAAATCGATGTGAAGACTGTGATCATTGTAAAGAAAATGGATATAGGTAATCCTTAAATGATTTAAGAAAGTACCGTGATAAATAATTAATTGACCAATCAGTTTTATTAGTTAAGAAATTTTTATTTTTTTATTTCCTTGTTTTAAATTTTAAACTTAATCTTAAACTTAATCGGTTCTAAATTTTAACCTTTATTTCTGCAATGAACGTAATAAATAATTTCTCGAACCACCAAAGGAAAAACTTTTTTCGCTACTTTTTTTAGGTTTTTCTTGGATTAAACCTAGTTATTTAGTTATTTTTGAAGAAACTACGAATGCTTTGACAAAAAAAATTATTTCTTTAATTCTCTATATTTCTAAAAAAATCCACCCGAATTTCGCTATATTAGATTTTTTTTGCAGTGCAAAATTTTTTATACTCTATTATATATAATCCGTAGGTAATAAATAAAACTAGGAGAATCCGAATAAAAATAATATAATAGTAAGATGCGTTGTAAATTTAAAGGCCTATAAATATAGACCTGAAACAATGGAAAAATAAATAATTTTTGAATGCGACTAATTGCAAAAACAAACATTGATTAACTGGGGAACTAAATAATTTCATAATTTCTAGCATTTGTTTACGGGAAATTAAAGGGCCTTTTCGGCGAACGACGACGATAAATAATGAAGAATATTGTGCCTGTTCGCATAATATCCCCGAAATATGTAATATCGAAACGCCAAAACAACAACGAAACGATGGGAATTTACTTTACGGTTCTTACCGAGTTTGTCGCCACTCGTATGGTTAGCAAATGTTTATTTAGCAAATTTCGATAAATATCGCTGCCAATATTTGCACTATAGTGAAATTCTAATTCAAAGTTTAAATATTTGCCAATATTTGACGAAATAAAAAAGTGAATTCGTTTTAAAGAGGATGAAGCTTTTGGAAATTTTTTATTAAATAGTACGTGCAGACGAAAACGTAAAAAATATTTTAACGTTTCCCATCGCAACGCACCAAATTATTTGATGGTCAATCGCGATAAGAAGAGATAATTAATAATGCGAAATATTCTTAAATCTATTTTGGATGGAAACTAATTTAATGAAATCCACTCAGTATTTCAGTGAATAATAACGATTAGTTAATTGGATTTTAGTGTATTATAGAACGAATGTCAATTAATGGGAAATGCGCTTTAGAAAAGATATATTTTAAATATTTTTAAGTTTAAAAATATTTAAATAAGCAGTACTGTTATAAGCAGTACTAGCAGTACTGCTAAAAATAAGCAGTAAATGGACAATGCAAAGAATTGTTCGGAAAAATTTAGAATAAGCCAAATGAAGCCAAATAAGAAATTTTGATTAAAATCCACACTTCTGCAGCATTATTGCAACCACCACGATTAACTGCAATCGACCAACCAACTTCAGTCATTGTAACAGTTGAACCATTTTGGAGGGATAATTACTGGAAACACTTGAACCTTTCTAATCTCCTCGTTCAGTACGAATTTCCAGTTGAGGTAAATGAGATATCTCAGTAAGAATGACAATTTATTAGTTCCATGTTAGATAATTTGAGCATTGCAATTAAGGTAATATATCCCATCTCCTCTTAAGAATAATTCTCATTTTAAATATATAAATTACTCATCCTAAATTTTCTTTGAGTAACTACTGATAAACTTTCAGTCATCTGACCACTGCGATGGTGAAACACTAAGAGATGAAGATTCTAAGCAGAATTTATGTATTACCTCGTTAGCTATAGAAATGTTTGATACGAACACGGATTTCGGCCAAGGCGAAACAGAATTTGATCAAGAAGCAACTGAGGTTAAGCGTAATTATCCTGCTGTTTCTTTCAAGGAATTTTTCTGACTTCAGGTTTAACAAATTGAGCTGATTTTTCCTTTCAGGAATATTACGAAGATGATGGCTATTCTGAAATACAGTTCGATAAAGATGTGTTTACAGATGCCAAATCTGTACGATTCTGGTAAACTTTTATTGAAAGAAACTTTTATTTATTAACTTAATAACTTTATCTTTATTTTTTAACTTTTAACTCTTGTTAATTTACTATTTCAGGTATACCGTTGATGTAAAACAGCCACGGCAGTTAGACCGCTCTGGACGCATTGTAAATGTATTTTCAGTTGCTCGTTCGAGTGATTTAAATTTTCATCTCAGACCAATCATCGAAAAGGAAAAAGAACAAAGTGGTACTAAATCTTTCTATATTGATTGACTGAGGGGAAAATATGTTCATAAAATATATTTGATTTTGATACGCCACATTTCAACAGGAGAAAAACAATATTATAATTTTGTTAAGCAGATAAATAATTAGAATCATATTCTACAGTTCGTTCAAAGTGCATAATTTGTACCAATGCTTTATCCTAACCATTTCCCAATTTGGCTGATTCTGGCTATTCAGATGATTCACCAATTATTTCACGATAGAAAGGTGGTTTCCTAGATTTGCTTTTAATAATAAGTTTATTACCATAAACAGACGAAAATCAAACTCATTATCATAATCATTATCAATATTATAATATATTAATCATTATATAAGGAACAAAAGAAATATAATGATATCCATTGGATATCTAATGCGTATTCCTTATTCCACTTTTTTAAATTTCTGGTTGTGTTAACTTTACTTATCTTATCGGAGCAGACAGATTTTACCAGAGAATTGTATGTAATTTTTTTCTTTTACATAGCATTAACTTTAAGAATGAAAGTTTAGCTGAGAACGGTTAATATCATTCAACACTTGATATTAACCGTTTATTAATTCGCAAACAAACTGGAGCTATTATGGAAGTCTAAGTTTAAAGTATGCGCAAGTCTCTCCCTTAATTATTTCATTCATATTATCAGCAATATGCCTTTGCAATAACATACGATTTACCCAGCCGTTTATTATTGAAAAATCAAAATGTAATGATAAGCTGAGAATAGAACCTTATCAATACTCTATAAGCCGCTGAACCTCTATTTGCCTTTCGCCTCATTGCATTTCATTTAAAAAATATTTTAAATAATGCTAAAAATGAAAAAATTTCAGTAGCAGAAGAAAATTCGGCTGTTGCGAACATTTCGATAGTGAAAATAATTAATAAGAGCGGTGATAACGATTTTGATAATTTTAAAAAGAAAATGGATGGTAATGAATTTAATAAATACATTGATGGCAGCTGGCATCCAAAAAGCGATGAAAAATTTGATAATAAAACTGTGGATGATATGAAAGAGCATGAAACAAATGAATCGGCAAAAAATAAAAGAACTGTAAGTATATCGACCTCATTAAGGAATTAGAAAAGTAGGAAAAGAAAATTTAGAATGGAAATTTAATAGAAAGTTTAATAAATAATACCGCAGAATTATGTAGATAATGCCAAAACTAGTAAAGTTTCAGACAAAAGAAGCTTAGAAGTTCAGATTTTTTCTTGAATTAATAATTATATGTAATGTATTTCTTTTGCATAATATTAACTTTAAGAATGAAAGTTTGATCACCACCACTATCACTACGGTACTAACGAAAAGCAAAGAAACCGAACAAAAAGAAGTGAAAATTGAGAATGACGAAGTAAAATTTGAAAAAAGTGCGAAGAATGATAAACTGCGAAGCGACAATTGGCTCACTAGTAAAATTTTCAGCACACCAGGTTTGAAGCGTCTAAACGACTTTTTAAATAATAAAAATAAATAAAATCATGGAAAAGAAAAGCAAATGATATGACATTATTCATGACATTAGAGGGGCAAAAGCCAAATCATTGTGCTCAGATTATTATCCAAGTATCAAGATTCGGATCCTGCCTTCGAGAAGAATAAATTTGCTATTAAAAATCCACACCTATATTTCTATTTGCAAGCAACTAGCCAGTAAAAATTTCTGGCAAAACCCGACAATAAAAATTTCAGTAATGGTGAGCGCTAACCATTTACCTATTTATCATTTTCGATAAATATTATAAGAACTATATTTGTATTTTATCTTGTTTTTAGTGACAGTATTGGAAACCAAAATGGAATACTATACAACACTCACTCCAAGAGAAAAAATGATAAAACCAGATAATAAAGGCAATATTCATTATGCATTTCTCATTCATAAATTTAAATTTTCATTAATTGCTCCACATCTCCAGCTGACTTCATTTTGAAATAATACTCAATAAATATTAAGTTTATTTCAGCTGAAAATGATATCCTAATTGATATTTATTTTTTAGGCAGAGTCTTAAGTATTTGCAGAATTGTTTTGATTCCAATTTCAGCCTCAATTTTTGGTACAATTTTACAAATAAATCGAATTTCAGGAAATGATGAATTATTAACATATCTTAATGGATTGTTATTGGAAGAATATGGCTCCTTATCATTAGTACGCTGAATTTTTATTTGTATTAGTACGTTGAATTTTTAAAAAAATTAGATTAGCTAATAGTCTCTGACAAAAGAAAAATGAAGAAAACCAATAATAATAATAATAATTATTATTATTATTATTATATTAATAATAATTATTATTGTAATTTATTAATAATAATAATTATTTAATTAGCTAAATGAGTTTTTATTTTTCAGTCCAGAACAATTCTTTATTTTCCAATTTTATTTATGCTTATTGCAGATTATCGTTGTGGTTACCACTGTATTTTTGATAATTTTAACATTATGGTGCTGTTTTTATTGTTACAAAAGCAATTTTTCATCTCAAAATTACGGCAGAAAAAGTGCTGAAAACCAATCGGTTATTCCTGAAAAAGAAAAGTTATATTCATAAATGCAAGGAATCCATAAAATATTTCCCTTCCGCTGATTTTCGTGCAAAAGGTTATCCATTAAATAGGCTAAATGATACGACGATAAAGGCAGATATCTCATTAAATATTGCTTTTTTATTAAAATTAAAATCAGTCAAAGGGATATTTTTCAGTGGTTTTGTATCGTTGAATAAAGCATTAATCTACAACACTTTTACAATCCATGCGAGAAATATTATCTTTTCTTATTCGGGAACTTTTTTTTGTTAATCGTTTTTTAAATTTATTTGCTTATATTGTCATATAGCGAAGTAGTAAGTTCGTATGCACGGCGCATAGCACTCGCTTCGTAGGAGAAAGATGCGAGGTCAGCCTTCTCCAAGCTTTCTGTCCAAAGATTGATTCTCATTTACAATTGGGTCCAAACAACAAGCAATTTGACCAAGAATTGACCAAGAAAAAATAATTGTTTTTCCTTAAAATTCATATGAAAAATTTTGAAATTGATTCTCAGTTATGCTTCCTTAAAAGTGTTAAGACAATCGCCTAGAATAATTTAATTCTAAGTAGTTGTTTCTTATCAAAAATGAGAAAAAAAACAAAAATGGCCGAATTTAGAAAAGATCGAACTGTGCAGTCTTTTTCTGTGGAATTTTTCATATTTAAGTGATTTTAGTTTTGTAATTTATATGAAACGAATACCTGCGAAATCCCACATCACTTATATATTAAATATAAACTTAAACAATTTAAAAAAATTTTTCGCCAGCGCATTAAACAAACTATCAAATAATTACCCATCATAAATCATAGTTTAAATTCAAATATTTTGCCGCAATTTGATTTTTTTTTGATTACATAGAAAATAATTTGCTCAGTTATACAGGAAATGCCTCTTTAAAATTTGAGAATTTTGGTTAATTAAGGGATTAAATTTTTAAACTAATTTGGAAAATAAATGAAGAATGTAAATATAAATAAAGAATAATAATTGAATAATTCGATTTTGCAAAATCAGATTGGAAAATTATTATTAAATTGCAAATGCTACGCCATTTAATCAACTGAAATTTTTTTCATCAAATTATTTAAAACGGATAATCCCAGTGAAAACCAAATTACTTTAATTGAGTTTTGTATTTCAAATCTAAAAAAATAACATTTAGTTAGAAAGAAAGGAATTCGTCGTGGGGGAAGAGAAGACAATTATGAAGGAAAAAAGAGTAAAAGACAGACACAAGCAAACCCTTATGGAAACCACGGATTTAAAAGCATGGCAAGAACAGCATGTAAAGGTCGAACCTATGGACTCACAGTTCGCTCGCATGGTCTCGTAGTTTTTGCAAGTTTGATTAGACCATTAGTTCGATTAGTTTAACGAGTCATAATTGAAGATGTGTCAAGCGATTGTGTTTGAGCCCACAATTTCAAAATGTGGCAACTTTCTATTTTGGATATATAAAAACGCCGATAATTGGATTATAGATGATTGAAATATAGCCAACCGCCCGATACTGCAAGACTATTTTTCTAAGCCAGAAGTTGTAAACTGGATAACCAATCCCCGCCCGAAGAAGCTAGGAATCGAAAGGATGCTAATTTACAATTTGCAAAATGAATAGTTCTTTATGGAATGGAAATGAAATTTTGTGGAAAAAGGAAAAATGGCCCAGAAGTAAATTCAGGACTTTTCGAGAAATGACCATTTATGCATCTTCAAAACAAAAAACCAACTTACTGACATAGTAAAATTCGCAATAAAATTTAAATAATGGCAAACTCAAACAAGTAATGGGGAATAAATTTATGCAGTTGATACGTTGGCTAAGTACTATGAAAAATATGCATTACTGCTTCTCGAAAATGCTTTTAAAAAATTTGATAGAATTTGAAAACATTTCAAAATTTCCGGAAATATTAAAATTTTGGTAAATTTGCGATTCCATTTCCAGTCGATATAAATGCGTTATCTAAGAAAAAATTGTACAAAGTTTTAACCAGACATTTAATTTAAAGAAGAATTTGATCGTTTCATTAACAGACTTTTATAAGACCTACCTTCTCAGGAAAAAAATACTCTTCGCTTCCACCTTACTCATTTCACAACTTTTTAGAAACAAGCACATACTATGGACAACTATTTTCTAGAATGGAGCGCACGAAGAATGAAAATTGGAAAAACGATGTTTGACCTGACCTTAAGTACTCAATAAGAATTTCATCGAGTCAGATACCTACACAATTGCTTTACAAAAATAACGTCAAACTATAACTATAAAATAACGTCCCACTATTTCGTATAATATTATGCGACTAAATTTTCAGTCAACAAGTGAATTCGATTTTTTCTATCCTTTCTTGAATTTTATTATAAAAATATAAGAAAAAATAAACGAAATTATTTAATTTAATTTAATAAAGTTTATTTAATTTTTATTTCACTTTAATACTTGATTATTCTATATAAAGGAAGAAAAGCCAAAAGAAGGTTTAAAAATCAAACAAACCAAAAACAGTATAAACAGGAAAATTTATGCAAAATCTATGCTCGACTTTTTTAAACGAAATAAAAATGTTGAAAAAGTATTCAAAAGTATGAATCTGAAAAAAACGTGTCGAGTTAGTAAAATTGGTTATGATGGGTACTATATGGTACGAATGAAAAAATTAGTTTATTTAAATACAAAAAACTGATAAACTCTTGATAAATCAAGGATGAATGAAATTTGGGATGATTTAAGAATCATCCAAGTTCAACCAGGAACCGATAAACGATGGATTGTTTTCCGAACCATAACGCTCTAACAGTTGTTCTGCACAAGAACCTTTTTCTAGACGCCGCATAGCGAGTTCAGTGATACCATGAAAGTGAACAAATGCAGCAGCTACCACAAACATATGAAAAATTTGGTGCGATTGAAACTAAAAGAATTTCCGAAATTAATTAGAACATGAGGAAAATAGAAATTCTGAAAAAGATAAATTTAGAATATCTACATCAAAATAAAATGTCTTCTTTCTAAATCTTTCACATTATAAAACCTCGGCATTTCCCTTATAATATTGAGCAATTGCATGTAACTTTTTTTACTACAGTCCAATAACACACTCTTTAACCGTTTTATATCACATTAACTTTTATCCATTTGGTTGGTTAACTCACTCCTTGTTATACTTACTTGATTCGCCTCGTCGAATTCTCTTTTGCTGTAAGTGCAGTCAGAAACTGCAAAATCGCTTTAAGCAATATGATAAGGGGCTGAGCGTATGGAGGAAATGAGGAAGTATAATTTGTAATTTGTAAAATGATTAAGCTGATTATAGCTTATATCTTTCTCTTTTATAGTGATTATAAATGAAGGAAGATGCTAAAGTAACTACAGATAATGAGTCAACATAGGAAAGTGAGATACATTACGACTATTTGACGGATATAAAAACAATACAGTACGGTTCTGAGGAATGCCGAGGAATATAAAAAAGTTTTTAGGGCAATTAATAGACAATTAAGTAGGTTTGAAAACAACTTTGTCTGCTCATAAGATGTAATTCCAGTGGATTTAAATCTGGATGCTGGATTTAAAAAATCTATAATTTATAAAATCTGCAATATAACAGTTGAAGGCACCACATAAAAGAGTTTACCCAAATATCACACTTCCCAGGGAAAAAACGCTCTGGCGTACGAGTGGCATAAAGAGCTGCTCCAATCAAATACAGAACACCCATAAGTACCAGCCAGTGGAGCGAAAGTTCATTTAAAAGAAAGTGTGGACCATCAGTAATGAGATTATGGAAGACGGGAAAGATGCCTGAAAACATTCAGCGAAAAATTCTAAAAAAATGTCTACTTGCATTATCTTTTTTTTTATTATAAAGATTTTCGAAATTTTATGTATAATGTTGTCAAAATCATTGCTAAAAAATTGATCTATCGATTATATAAATGATCAAAATATGGATTAATAATTTTAAAAACTTACTGCTAAGCCCCATAGCAACAAAAACAATCGCACGGACTGGTCGGAAATGTGGTTTTGCAAAACGGTCCCAAAGTGATACAACCAAAGCTGCCACACCTAGCACGTTTATCATAGTTAAATAAATAATCATTGGCTGAGGTCGACAGTGAAAACCGTAATATATCCACGGAATAAATGAGCCAACGATCAATAAAGTGATTCCCGTATAATCAAGCCTATAAATAACCAACTCTCCTCTTCAAAGACCCAAAATAATCTATTTGTTTTCAAAATATCAAAATATTTCGTTTCAAAATCAATATACTATTCCATACACAAAAACCTACTTAATTTATTTCAGAAAATCCCTTTAATATTATTTATTCACCAACTTTTGGTAGAAATTTCAAAGTTAAAACTAACTAAACTCACAACCAATTTTAGATGCAGCCCAGTTTTGCAGTTGGAGAACCTCAAAAAACTTACTTGCTGAATAATCTTCCAACTTCCGCAGAGTGACACTGTAAGGTATGAAACGAAAATGACATCCCTAAACAAGCAATAGCACCCATGAAAAAGAACGAAAATACAAATTTTTCCTGCCACTGTATTAAATCTGATGGGCGAGTAAGGAACCAAGCAGCAACACCGATAAAGGCAGCACAACCTGAAATCGTATTAAGAATAAGAATTTACAGGGATATCTAGTTTTATCGAACTTCGGACTAAATTAAGCTTCGCAGGTATCAATTTAAAGGTTCCAAATAAAAAAGACCAATAGTTTGCTATAGATGATTGAATATTATTGCCGATATCCCTAAGCCCAAAATAATAACTGAAAATTCTATAATCGGTTGGGGCAAAAGAAACTGAATAGGAAAAAAATTTTAAATTGAGGACCTTGGTGGCGCAAAAGAAATAATATATATTGTTTTTCATAACATTGTATTTAATTTTATGCAGTTAGCATCTAAATATTTCTCGATTTTATCTAAATTTGAGGATATCTACTGATATATCTCACAAGAAAAAAAAAGAAAATAAAGTGAAAAATTAAAGTGAAGCGTGAAATATCGAGCTTGTAAATAATTTAGAGGAGCAAAATTGAGGAAAACAATTTTACAATGTCATTTAAATTTTCATATGAAAAGAAAAAATCTTTTATTAAATTTAAAGCTATAAGGCATGGTAAGTAAAGCACGAAGCACGTTGATAGCAGAGAGAGGACAAAACTCTTGCGTCAAAAGCGAATATAGAATAAAAATTCTTTCTTGAAAAATGAAAATAATAAAAGTACTGATAAATGAGAATTCAGTAAATATACGAATGATGAATGAAAAAGCGAAATAGCCTCATAAATGAAATGGAGAAAGTTTTAGTGGTCTGGATAAACGATAAAAACCACAACATTCCAAAGGCTAATCGACACCGAGGCTCTATTTCAATTTTTTGAAGGTCAGGAGAACTGAGGAATTAAAAGAAATATTTAAAATTTTAGCAAGAGATTGGTTTATGAAGTTTAAGGAAAGAAGCCATCTCCACAACATAATAGTGCAAATCCTATGAAACAACATCGCAAAAAAATATTTCGTGAAAAAATGGGTCAAACGATGCGGCCAAATTTCACTGCTGTCTGTCTTAATGCACAAAAAACTGTTACCTCATCCTCCAGCAAATACAATCATCGAGGCAAGACACTCGACCAGGAAAAAGATTACAATTCCTCGAAGGCTCAGACGATTTTATACTTAGTATTCTTCAGCAATAATAAAGTATTTTTAAATTAAGAAATTATGAAGTTAAATTATGAAGTTTTTTTTGGATATAAAACTATTTCATATTTTAAAGGATACTGGCGAAAAAAATAGTGAAATTCACTGCACTATCGCGGTGGTATACAGTGGTGTTTACTTTACTGCAGCGATCTGGAACCGAAATAAAACGGGATAGTTTAGCTGTTTTTTAAAACTGGCTAACTGGATGAAAATCATTAAAGAACTTACCATACATATGAGTCCAAATATTTCCCGTTTCAGTATGAAGAGAAAAAATACTCTTAACGCATGACCCGAAACTCGGTAATGGCGGTCGATGACCCGTACGTAAATATTCATTATCTTGTAACCAATCAGGCAAAAACTCAAAATTAGTTACTTTCCAACGCGCTTCCCAAAACTATGATAAACAGAACTATAAAACTTTAAATTATGAAATTAAAAAGATAACAAAGAAAAAACGAGAGACTGCATCATTATAAGTAAATGAAATAATCTACTCCTCTCAGAAATATTTAATTCATTTAACATGAAAAAAAAACCTTTTTAATAACTGTACGCTTAGCAGCCACAAATTCTAACTCTTGAGGAGAAATAATTTCTTCCTCGTTTATTTCGATCTGCAAAAGAGTTATTTTAAGAGCTAAGAGCTTTTTCATTATTTTATTCTATTTATTGTTATTTAGCACTAATTCTTATTATTATTCATTAGTAAATTTTTTCAAATTTTTGTTTTCAAGAATAGAATCCTAATTGTTCCTATTTAGATTTATTCTTTTAGCGTATTCTTCTTACTTCTAATTCATTATCATCATCAAGTGGCAGATGAGTAGGCAAGCCCAATATAACAGGATTCCTTTCACTATTACCTTCTCTGGTGGTCAATACATTTTGTGGATGTAACCGGTACCGCACAACATGACGTTTATGTAATCCATCAGCCTTAAATAATTATTTCAGAATTTTTAAATGCAGAACTTTATCAGCTTATCAGCTTATCCTAAGCAAGTGAGTAGCAACATATTTTGATGGAAATAAAATTATAAAATTTTTCAAATCGTTAATTTTTTAATTTTGATTTGATTTTGATTTTAAGGTCAATTAAAATGTCTTTTATAAAAAATAGATAGTTACCAAAAGCTGCTTCTCGTTGTCTATAATGGTTAAAGCTGATGAAATACCACCTTCATTCGGCATTGAAAAAGCACGACGATGACATTTTTTAAACCCTTGATTTCCAGAATATCCACAAAAATGGCTTCGGTTTCGATGCGTAATTTTTGTTGCAATGGCTATAAAGTTGAAAATTTATCCAGATAACCGCACGCACTCTGTGGCAATAGCTTACATTTTTTTAATAAATATGAATAAATGTTTATTACAGTTTTCTTTGGGCTGCGAGGTTTGTGAAACCACAGTATTGTGCCGTACAATGATCTCAATTGGAAATGTGTCGTGATGAGGTCTAAAACAAAAATAATAATGCGGATAAAGACAAATAGAATTTACTACAAAATACTCATAATTTCCCCCTTTACGCCCAAGAAATTCAGAAAAGGAATTTGTTAGCAAATAAAGGAAAAGAAAAATGAAAGAAATTTCACTTATATTGAATATCCACTTCATCAACGAGTACTTCGGATCCTTCATCTAATTTCAGACGTGCGGTTCCACGATCATGGACGATATTTTCAGCTTCGCGAAGTACTTCCTAAATAATCTTTCGAATTATCAATTATAAATCACTATCGTTTATAAAACAACCAGTAAGATCAACTGAGAACCAAATATTAGGAAATCAATGTTGATAAAATATTGAAATGACTACTGACAACAAAAACGAAAGAATTTCGAATGAAACATCTATTAGTTATTTACCCCAACGTGCATAGTGGACTTATCGATGTGGTCGCACGGAGAAACGTCACTGCAGTCCATTTTACTCATAAAGGAAGACTCATTATTTTCATGCCCATCGGTCGCTTTCTGCAAATCTTCGCCACATTCCTCAAAAAAGCCAATAAGTATTATTTTTAACAAAATAAATTTTGTCGAAGAAAACAATGAATCGATCGGCAATCAAATTATAAGTTATAAGAAAAATGCAATCGCGAAAGAAAGAAACGAGAAGTAAGGGAAATAAGAAAGGGAAATTCACCTGCTCGCTGCTCGATAACATTTGACATGTTTCAGATGAATTTCGTTGATTATTTGCGGCCGAACGTAACGAAATTGGCATTTTTTAACAAAAATTTATTAATTGAAGGCAAATATTTGCCAAATTTCAATTAATAATTGAGCGAACTGCAAAATTATCGAATCATTTAGAGTAATTTAAGTAACAAAAAAATATCGAAAAGAGAATTTAAAATATTTTCAAATCCCTTTAAAAATAGAAAATAAATAAACTTATAAAAATTAAGAAAATTAAATAAATAAAAAAGGTTAAATAATTAATTCTAATTTGAATTTTTTAAAACTGTCGAATAAATTCGATTGCAATGAAAAAATTTACTCAATTATTTTTATTATTTAATCGAAATTCAATTAAAATAAATCAATAAATAAAGAATTTTAGCTTTATTTCATTCTTCGAATTTTTTTCAAAACGAGCAATTTTTTTAACATAAAAAAAATTTAAGGAAACACAAACCGATTTTACCGATTTTGGACGTAATTTCATTACTAAATGTCGGCTGGTGCTTATGGATTCAATTTTTTTTCTTTTCTGAGTGTCCTCCATGGCGATTAGTTATTTTTGTAACGGTTTTACGAAGTGCTAAAAAATTACTGGAGAATCGTCGAGGATTCGGCTTAATAGATATCTCTGGGAAGGTTTTCGTGCCCCTTTTTGCTGGCCGTATCCGCGACTTTCTTTAAAAATAGGTTAAAGGTGAATTGTTGAAAATTTGGAAAGTTATGATTTCGAAGAAAAATTTTTATATGATAAAATAGGAACTATTTTAAATAAATAACTTATGAATGAAAAAATGAATGATTAGGCGAATATCTCAGGGAGAATCACACACTATTTTATTGCTGTTTGTATTCCTTAACTGAAGTTAGTGGTTGCAGTCATCATTTCTGGCTTGGCTTTCGGTAAAATGGGGAATAGTAAAGCAGGCGGGTTCTGCCAGGTGATTGACCTGTTCCTACGAGAGGCACACTGCATCGTCCTTCGCATTAACCCTCGCTTCAAAGGACTCTCCCGAGCCAAGCCTTAATATAGTAATCCAAGCAATGCAACTTTCCACTCTTTTGATTTTGTTCAATTAAAACAAACGTATGATTCTTCAGTTATTAAATAAAATGCAGGGAAAGGAAATTTTCTTTCGAATGTTCGAACGACTGAAAAGTGCTGAAATTAGCTTTTTTAGATAAATTTATGAACGCTTTTTGAAATGCAATATTAATTAAATTCAAAGATTTTAATTTATTGGAGATTATTCGTTATTAAATTAAAATAAATTAAAATGTTATTGTTTATAAATAATTTATAAATAATTAATTAAAAAGGAATTTTCCGTATTTTGCATTTTAATTTAAATTATTTAAAATATCAATTAATAAATAAGAGTGTTCTCTTTGCTTTTAACGGTTTTCTCGCGAAAATTCCCTTTTTTCGTTATGCAAGTTTTTCTTCCTTCACTTCTCCAGCTGTCCTCCCTTCTCTCATTTCATTTTCCACTTTGAATCAACTGAAGTTCCCTGAAGTTTCCAACTTTCGTTCTTTCTTTTTTATACTTTGTTTGTGCTTTGTTATTATAAAACATTCAATAACTATCACATTTTCGTCTACGCTAGAAAATTTTATTCTTTAAAGCGGAAATAGCAGTTACCGTAAGTGAAAATCATTAACTTTTCGAGGTTTCAGTTTCAGTTTTACACGCCTTTGGAAGTGAACGCCTCATTGGTTGTTTTAAAGGATGAACGAGGTGTTCAACGATGAAATTCGTTTTACTTCTTCGACTTTCGATTCTCGAATTTCTTAAGAAAATTTCTGTGCATATTGGTGTAACGGCCCCAACTTTTATTTTTAAGGCATTAAATCGGTAAATTGTCTTTTTGCTCTTTCTCATTCACACTGCTTAATGCTATTAATGCTGTAAAGAAGCATAGTGATGTCAGCAATTTCCCGATGGAATTTGTTATTGCCAAATCATGCATTTGTAATTTCGTGCAATTTTGTGCCTATATCGCCAGTGCCGATCGGAAAATGAGTTGGCAATTTAAAATTTTCTTCTGTTTCTATAAAAATCGTTTCATTTATTTATTTCGGTACTGAACCAGGCAGAACTATGGAAAATTTACGAGAAAAAATATGAAAAGTTATAAAAAAGTCGCGGGAATATTATTATGTTAAGGTTAATGATAAATTGCTTTTTTTTATCCAGTATCTGCGAATGCTTCCATTTAAATATATTTTATTGGTCCTTTAAACCGATCCACTCGTCATCAAAATAGAATAGAGGCATAGTGGTGATCGTTACTAGAGCGTCGCCTTCGCTGGTTAGAGCACGTTCTTCATCGTCCATCACAAGAGTTGACATAAATTTCGTTACTTGCTAAACCGTGTGATGGTTGGCGTCAAAAGCGAGGTGGGCCAATCAAGATCTGGATTGATACGCTCAGGAAAGATTTTGAATGTATAGATGGGCCAGCAATATATGGACTTAGACGATGGAAAATGGAATGGCTTCCATTACTGTCGACGATGACATCAGACCGCGCCGCTTGGAAGCGTCTTACCTTTGTAGCCGTTGGAGCCAGCCTAACCACTAATGGTGAGAGTTGTTAGAAGAAGAAAAAGGTGAATGTTACTTTTAGAAATTACAAAAAGTATTAAATATAATAGCTACATCGTAAAGTACTTTTTTCTGTAATTTGTTTTCAATTCTCAAGTTAGTTCTATAAATAAGCTGATAATTTCAGTCCATTTTAATCGATCTTGCGATTAAAAATTAGAATGTAAAATTTATTATAATTTAGGCCACTATGAACGTAGAAAATTTTATAGGCAATAAGCAGGCCATGTTTTATTTTTTTAAGTCATAATAAGCCTAATTGATTTTGTTATTTATATTCTCTAAATCTTTCATAGAACATGAGAAAAAATTTCGAAGTTTTTACAAAAAAATCGACTTTGCAGGATTTTTAACTGCTGGGACAAATTTGTTCGAGCAAAAGCGTGAAAGCAAAGCGTTAATATTAGAGGTGATTATCTTTATTTGTTTTTTTTATATTATATTACTTTCATATTATTTTTATATTTTTATTCTTATTTATTTGTCGTTTTCTCTCAAACTGATAAAAATCTATTAAAGGAAAATGTGACTAGTCGGTGTAATAATGTGTTTATTCTACTTTATAATAGTTTAATATGCAGGTTCACTGGGTGTTAAAATAAAAAAAAGCTAAATTGTCTCAGAATTTGACATATTTTCGTTGGACTTTTTTTTCGAATTTTTTTATGCCTGTTCATACAGTAAAAAAATTTTTGATTTTCTCTTAGCAATCAGTGCAGATGACTGCTTTTCTGCGTATTTTGAGAGCGACGACCAATGAAAGAACATGTTGTGGTTCAGTGGTGGAAGTATTTCGAATTACAAATTAAGTGTTGGAAAAATGTGGATGACGAGAGTAATTAAGAAATTACTATAAGGTCTCCATTACGATTGCAAGTTTTCCGTCTTTCAGGACTTTTTTTGTTCGTCTTATGCTAATATATATATATATATATATATTTGAGCATAGCGGTTGAGGGAGTGGTTCATGGAATGTAACAACATTGGATGAGTAAGAATGGCAGCTAAAGCCTTCACCTTTCGGTAATATTCTTGGGCAAGACTCTTTGGAAACCTGTCTGTCTTACCTCGATCTTTCAGGCATCTGGTGGAGGAGCCATAGTTGAGGGTAATGCACACCATCCACAATGGGAATTTGTTTGCAAATTTGCAAATTAGAAAAGGAATTTCTTTGCAAATTTTTTCCAATTATTAAATTTTAAAATTCTGTTTCGATGTAATCAATTTATTTTTATATTCTCCTTTCTAGCAAAAGTTCAGCACTTGTTCCTGAGGAAAATAAAAAAGATAAAAGCAAAAAATGTCCGAATGGTACTGGTGGTCTTTCCGTTCTATACTTCTGTTCTATACTTCTATCGCACTTTCTGAAATTTCTGATTGTCAGCTGGACAAGCCCAGTCAGAAATGGTGGGCATTAACCACTTATTTTATTGTAATATTTTTAAAATGTGCAAAATGAAATAATAAAAAAAAAAGATTTCAAGAAATAGGAGAGGAAAAAAGAAGTAAAAAAGATATAAAGAACAGAAAAAAATATGAAAATAAAAAAATAGAAACTAAAAGATGAAAAAAAGAGAAAAATCGGAGAAATAAAAAATGAGATAGTCAAGATGTGAAAAAATAAGAGAATAAAAAAATTAAAAAGAAAATGTTTGATAAAAGAAATATTTATTCTAATATATATATGTATATATATGTATTTATATATGTATTTAAAATACATATGTTCACTTATAATTTAATTGTACGCCCATCTTCATTTAAAGTTTAAAAAGCAAACTTCGAATTCGAATATTTCTCAAAAATTGTATATTGTTATATATTTTGTAGATATTGTTATATATTTTTACATTGCTTTCAACTTTTAAAATATTTTTAGTATATCGTTAAATTTTTTGGCTCCAAGAAAAATCTTTGGGAACTCCGCTTGAAATAAGGTATCGAAAATCTGCTATAGTCAAAATGTTTTTTGAAATAGTTGTATTGTTTTAGAAGTTTTGTAATGGAGATTGCATGTTGGGTAGGAAGGCGAAAAAATTTTGAAAAGTTTATTTGAGATATTTCATACTCAACGTAGATAAAAGTTATGGGGTATGAACTTTACAGTTCTACTGAGTAATGGTCGAGAGAAATATAATTTTTCTGGCTATTAGAGAATTTGATTGCTGAAACGGTGGAATGCTAAGAGCAGTTTCAAACAATTGAAGTCGAAGAAAAAAAATTCATTTAAAAGGTCAGTTTTTTTTTTCAGGGAATTTTAACCTTTTGTTTTTTGTATTATTATTTCGTTATTATTGTACTATTATTGCTATGGAGATTTTGCTTTCGATTTTTTTTTCTGCATAGCTGGTATTTAATTGCAGTTATAATTAATGGGCAATTAATAATAGTGGAAATCCATTTCGATTAGAAGCCAATGGTGTATGGCGCTATGATTGTTGGGCACTAAGATAACCTTGCCATGCTTGAAAAAACGTAAGGAGTGGTTGTAAAGCATATTAGATGGGGTAGAATGGCTCAGTGGCTTATTGATCATTTCTGGACGCCTATACTGAAGTTCTATTCCCAGGAAGTAAGTATGTTCAAAAATCTGGTTGATGCTGGCGACTCACCTGTATTTCTATCGCCGAGAGACTCTCTGACATATTTTTCTAGTGCTCCAGCGGAGCGAGTCTAATCAGTAATGGTGAGAGTTCTTTAAAAAAAAATTTTATTGCATACTATCTAATTTTTCTATAATTTAAAACAGAGAATCATACAGAGAGAGAATAAAATAATACGCTAAGTCCTATGAAAGCTGTGGTAAAGCTTGTTTCTATGGACTCCTTGAAACACATGAGGATTCTTAAGATGGGAAAATGGCGATATCTTTGATTCTTCTATATCATTTGGTCATCTTTTTGTTTTTTTTTGTACTCCATCGGCCTTTTTTGCTCTTTTTATGGGTATCATTTTCTTCTTTTATTCTATTTGAATCTTTTTTGCTGATCGCTGTTTTGGTATGCTACTAAACTACGTTGTACCATTTTGAACTCATATAAGTGCCTTTTTCCTCTTACCTTTGCATTGATTGGTTGCAATTAGTTTGTTGACCAGGTGAGTTAATTTAATGCTGGTTCGAATCTATTTTCTTTTTTTACGACCTCCTTAGTATAGCCTTCTGCCATTTCACTTTCACCGTATTGCGACAAAGTCAATTGACAAAAGGTCGGCTGGGTTGGAATCTATTGACTGATTGCCACTGAATTACCGTGAATTCATGAAAACTACTTTATTAATCTCTTCATTGATCCTTGATTGATCGTTAATTAATTTATTAAGAAAACTAATTGCTGGTTCGAATCCATTTTCCATTTTTACGACTCCATGATGACAGCCTTTTTGCTTTCGCAGTTTCGCGACACAGGGGTAGGAATCCAATTCTTTGTTTGAATGGTTACATTATTTTAATTCTGATTATTTTTGTGCAGTTTATAAATTTAACATCATTTATAAATGCAAAATTCTTGGATGGGAAAATGGTGGTAAAACTTAATAAATAATAAATGCTTCAAAATTTTAAAAATTTAAAAATTTTAAAATTTAGAAGTATTGAACTGTGCATCCATGGATTTTTCTAGCATCGTCTGAGATGCAGTGGATTAAGGGAGCACACTCCAAAGGTTCCTAAGGCAACTGAGAAGCAATAGGAAAAGCCTAATTTAATATTTTTTGAAATATTGTTTGGTGTCAAAAACTACTGATAACGATAATCTAAGGAATACTTCAATGCATACCGTTCTAGTGATATTACTGCATTTTATGGCCGGTATCCGTACGTGAGTCTGAGCATGTACGTTAACCTTAATTGGTGTAAAGGTATGGTTTAAGATACTCTTCACAAGTTAAATACTAAAGAGAAACTGGGTAAGTACAACAAAAACTCTAGATACATTTTGGAGAATATGGAAGAAAAAAGTCAACTAGTTTGAGAGAATATATCCAAGTAGAACAGAAATCTCCAAGAAGCGTAAAGACTAGAGATCTTATTCATAATAATAAACAAATCAAATGCTCCTCGCATGGAAATTAGCAAAATTCAATTCAACAAAGGGCACGATAATAAGGTAAGAAGTAGAGTTACCACGGGGGGTTATTGAATCGACTTAAATATGTTATACCCATACACCCATTGGAAATTCAACACAAAAAAAAACGAAGGATCAGAAGGTAACGTTGGACAATTCTATAAATTATTATCTTGATTTAACAAATTCCAGTCTCTTTTTTTATAGCTAAAAAACAAGCTTTCATACGAAATCCTTTATCCTATAACCAATCTTATTACAATTTATACTATAATCAGGTTTACAGTTTTACATTTTTGCAATTTTTTTGTGTATATATGTTAGAATATTTGTTATAAACCACTCCCACAAAATGTTTTTCTGTTAATCAAAATTAATATGTGAAATGAAAACTTAAGTGGAATAAAAAAAAAAATCCTCTTTGTTGCTCAGTTTGTCGAGACTCTTCTTTTCTTTTGTATTTTACGCTTGTATTCGAATCTGCCAGTTTATCCTCCCCAAATAAGTTTCGACATATCTACTTTTGAGTTCGACTTCGCCAATTCATTCTACCCAACGAGTTTCTCTATAGCAAAACAGCAAAGAATTCCAGCAGAAATACGATGCAAGTCAAATTTTATAATCAAAATTTTATTGCTAATAACGATGATTTCCATAAGTTAAAACAGGCAACAACGATAAAAAATTGCAAATGGATATCTGGTATACCATTTAACATTCCTGAGAAGTGGATTTGTGAAAAAATCCTAAATCAAACCTTTACACTAGTCAAGGTTAACGTATATACTTGGATTCACCTACGGATACCGGTCTTAAAATGCAGTAATATCACTCAAACGGTATGCACTGAAGTATTTCTTAGATTATGGTTATCAGTAGTTTTTGACCAAACAACTACTTCCGCAATAACTTCGCAATTTCGTAAAGCTTTAAATAATCAAAAGGGAATGAATGGAATAATATTAAATCAAATTTCTTTATACAAGTGGATAACAAATAATGAAATACAATATTCTTGTGGATGATATGCTCAAAAATGATCATAATCGATTGAAGGCCACAAAAGTGGAGTTGCGGCAGCAATTTTATGTCGATTCTTTTTTTGTGACACAATTTCTTCGATTTATAGTCATAGGTGAGTGATGGGGTGTGGGTAGCTTAGCATTTTAGTGTTAGTGTTTTGTTAATAAATTGTGTAATTTTTTTTTGTTTACATTATTTGGCAACATATTGTGATATATCGTTAATTAATTTTGTTGTTATATTGTGTTGTTATCTATATAAAGGTTTAATTACCCAAGTTTGAGGTATCGAGTGACTTCGAGACCTTTTTTAACGGAAAGAGGCATCGAACCGGGAACCATAAAGACAAAATTTTTTCTTTTTCGTTACAGATGGTTAGGAGTCAAATATCAATCAAACTTTGTATTAATTCAAGGAAAAAAATGTTCCTATATGATGGAAAAGGGTTCTCTGTTCTTGTTCTCTGATCTTGATAATGTAGAGAATTCTACAATTCACAAGGAAAAATGCATAATAAACTCTGATATAATCCTATGGAATGGAATATATGCAGTCAATCAGTGTTTACATTAGAAAATTGGAAGATTCAATGCTCAGAAATATGGAAACCACATTATAGGTGAACTACAAACTTCATTTATATTTGATGAGAAAAATGAAGCAATCACAACTAGAAATTGTGGATTTATTGATCCACATCGGATGAAAAGAGATATTATTGTCGACATTATTGAAGAGTATAGTATTACCGACAACGTAACTAAAAAACTGAAAATAAAACCGAGAAATTAATTACTTATGATGGAAATCAATCCAGAGGAAACAACCGATCTGGAAAATTTAAGATTTCGATATGTTTTTGACATTTTGCAACGAAGATTCCAACAACAATTTAACCTATATCAAAGGAATCTTATTATTAATGGAATGTCACATATCGAACCGAATCGAATGATAGCAGCCAAATTATTATTAAAAAATAATGAGTCAACAAGGAGAATTGGTAGAACAGTTGGAACATGAGGTTTGTAAAATTACAGAATTAATACTTACTATATTAACCAAACATTGAAATTAATTACTATTACTATTTTCATTGGATTGGATTATTGGAATTTACGATATGGTTTGGTCTTGAGCGGTTGTATTGTTATTCCGCTGTAATTATTTTTCGGAATATTTTTCTTGAATTTCCTATAAACTTCGAATTATGAGCTAGGTCCTTTTTTTTGTTTTTTTTCTTTTTCTCTTTTTCCTAAATTTAAAAAAACAAACAAAGAATTGAAATAAATAAATATATATAAATAAATAAATAAATATATATATATATATAAAATTTATAAAACAATTATGTCTGTTTTTGAAATAATCCATTATTCATAAGCTTAAGGCTAATAAGACTCCGAGAGAAGATGGTTTTCGGGCTGAGCTCTTCAAATGTTGTTAATCGTCCTTCTTAAGGCACCTTTAACAAATTTCTGGTATGGAAGAAAGAAATATTACCAGATTACTGCAGCAAAACAATTCTCCTCCCAATTCTCAAGAAAGATGATAGGATATATTGCGACAGTTATCTAGAAATTAGCCTACTAGTTCTCAAAAATTTTTGCTTCCCTGTTACTCAACAAACTTATGGAAGTACGGGATAGCAGGAAGCTGGATTCAAACTGGGGCACAGTTGTGCTGACCAGATATTCATATTAAGAAGAATGCTGGAATATTACTTCAGATATTTGCAACCCACTGTCGACTTTGCGGTTGCCTTTGATTCAATTGAGGCGCTTTGGAGAATGATGGAATGTGACGGTGTTCCAGAGATCTTTCGATTCATAAAGATATTTTATATGTCGGCGGAGGTCTATATATATGGGGAATTGACACACTCCTTCGAAATAAAAACTGTTGTCTATCAAGGATGCGTCCTTTCTCCCAGATTGCGATAGACTGGGTAATGGACACTGCTTGTCGGCACTCAAGGGGTGTTCAGTCCAGAGCATCATCACAGATCTAGAATACGCTGATGATGTAGTCCTTTTTGCTGATAGTTATGACGAAGTGCAAATGTAATGCTAAATAATGCTAAATAATATGTCAGAAACTGCAGCAACAGTCGGACTCAGGGTCAGTGTACGCAAAACGAAAATCTTTTCGTCTTTTGTGCAAGAAGCTGATAACATGCCTCTTTTTATAAATTCATTGCGGGTTGAGAAAGTTGTCGGAAAAAAAATGTACTCTTGCGACCTTGAAAAAGATAAATTTATATGATTTGAATATTAAGTAGCTGACTCATTATTGTGAAAAGTCCTTTGTTCAAAAAGTGTTTTTTTAATAATAAATTCTTAATAAATAATAAATTCTTTAATAAATTCTTTCGGTTTTTCCGATAGATGATCACAGGTCAAATAAATGTTGTATATGTTATTTAATAAATGTTCACCCTTAAAAATAACTTTAAGCTATTAATTTGCAATCTTCCTGTATGATGATTGTTATATGTTTGTTGCTTTTTTATGTTTGTATTTTATTTGTCAGGTGAGTCTCTTCCTACATTTTCTGCATTAATGATTATGCTACATTACTACATCAAATCACTTTTCCGGATAAATCTATATTATGGTTAAGCCTTTCCGAAACCTTAAATAGAAAAGTAAGTTCTACTTATAAGACTTTTTTTCGAGCGACTGAAATATATTTTTAATTTTTTTTCGATGCCTTTCCCTTTTTGGATTTGGTGTGGCTGTAGAAGTTTCAGAGGAATTATTTTATTCCATTATTGTCGCCAAATGACGAAGGAATGCACAACTTCTACATCTACATCTATGACATACCTCTTTCCTCGTGGCAAGAGAATTAAAAAAAGGTTATCGCTGAAATTATATAAGTAGAAATCTAAAGCATCTAATTAGAGATAAGTGCACAAGAGATATCGCATATCTTGAGAAAATGGAGGATAAAAATGAAAGAAAACTTTTCATCAATTTCTTCATGAACTCCTGACCTGCCATTATCGATCATTTTGGATCCATGGCGGGCAGAAGTGTGGGGAGAGCAAGAGAGTTTAATATTTTTATACATATCTGTGCATGTAGCACTGGTATGGTATGACGGTTAAAGGCAGGTGGTTATCAGGGAATGGGTTGGCAATATTTTTCAATCGTAGTCAAAGCCCTTTTCCAGTGGCATTATTGGGCAAGACCTATTTATTTGCCCTACTTCATATGAGTGTGTCGCATACTAGAGTCATGCAGGCTCTGACCTAGATTAACAAGGTCTATGTCAGATGAAGAGCCAAGATTGTGTGGAAAGTGGGCTGTTGGAATAGCGCCAGGTGTTATGGAGCCGTGGCAGCCTGGCGTTGAAAGAGCTACTGAGAAAAGGAAAGAGCTACCTTACGTGGACGAGGCAAGATAATCTGAAGCTGATAGAATGTTCTTATAATAATTATAGATCTAATCATAGGAGTTATTTGAAACTTATTAGGAATTATGAGTGGAGAAAACATCCACATTAACTAAGAAATAGCTAGTGGCTCAACGCTTCAACATAAGAAAAAGGAAGCTGTTATGTTAATTGTAGATGGGTTAACTCTGCATTACCCTGCAGACCCAGATTGTTCAGGGAAGAAGAGGAAAAAGAAATGGACAAACTGGGAAGCTTTTGCAAAAAGCGAATACACAAAAACATACAAATTAAATTCACCAAATAAATGCTATGAAATAGCATTCTAATCTAAAATTCCATTTCCTTTTTATACCAAAAAAAAGTAATTTATTATACGAAATCTCACTACTATCTAAACATAAACAAATAACTATAGTTTTTGTTATAAACATCTGTTAATTATGCACGCCATGCTATTCATACAAATATATATATATATATATATGCGTATGATATAGAGTATTTGGTATTTTGGTATTTGGGTATTATAGTATTTTGGTATTATATTATTTTTTGGTATTGAGTTTTTGAGTTTGGACCTTGTTTATATGTTTAGATATATACTCTAAGAAAGCTTCATGTATATATTTCTTAGTTACAGTCATAGGAGATTTGGTTTTCTCTTTTGCTTTTTTATCTTCATTTGTTTTTTAATTCTTCGCTTGAACTTATTGATCATAACTTTATATTATAATAAAGATAAGAAATTCATAGCCTGCTTGGGTACAAACGGTAAGCCATTAGACTATCAATTCTGAACTCCCTTCCGTTTCAAGTCATTTTCGCCTGTCCAATCTCATATGCTAAATCTGGCCAGTCCCTTCTCAATGGCCTCAGTTCTCCACAACAGAAGTTGTAAATTCCTTCTTCATTTCCAGAGCAAAGCAGAGGAGTTTATTTGAGGCAAAAGTCCTGAACAAAATAGCTGTAATTAACCATAGCGGTAGATTGTCGAGGCTCGGTGAACAGATGCACCACTAAATAATATATTTGAAGATCCTCGCAAACAGATCCTCGCAGCAATTCCTCGTGCTACTATAACGAAAATTAATGAATTGGTGTACAACACAGCCATCGTAATTCTGGAAATGCTGGGTCATAAAGAATCAAAAAGCATAATGCATATCGCCCCTCGAAAAAGAAAATAAGGTCAAAGCACAGAAGTTAGCCAATTGATGGAATCACAGAATGGTGTGAAAATTAAAAATAATCCGAATTCTAGGAAAATACTAGGAAAAAAAACTATTTTTTTGTACAATATGTAAAATATTATACTAATTACATAAAAAAACTATGAATTTTTCGCTATGAAATAATCTTGAAAGAAAAAAATAATTTCTATACAATTTTTTATGCAATTGTAATATTGTATGCATATGGGAAAAATATAAGCTCATAGAATCGATTCGAATGTGTTTCAAACGACGAACGGGAACTTCAAACTAACAATTTCTCTCTTCAAACCGGAATTCAAAGGTACATAAAACTTTATCTTTCGACTCATCATCACAATAACAACAACAAAACACTGCAGCACGTGTCGCGAATAGTAAATATCGCTAACCAAATTAATAAAATAAAATAAATCGTTCAAATTGTAAATATTATGAATCATGTAACCGATTTCACATTCCTTAAAGTCATTTTTTTATGCGTTTTTTTTGTTATTTTTGTCTAACTAAATTCATATCCTTTCTCTTTATGGTTATAAAATTCAACAGAAGTTAGCCAATTGATGGAATCACAGAATGGGAATGCAAATGCAAAATTTTTTAACTGATAACCAATCTTATTACAATATCCTTATACTGTAATTAGATCCCTTAAGTTTTTTCTCTTATTCAAATGAGCATCTATAGGAATATTTGTTGTAAATCACTCCCTATTGCGAATAGCGAAAAAAAATAAGAAATATAAAGCAAATCCCTCAAGTAAATGTTATGAATCAACTTTCTAATCTCACATTCCTACGATCATTTTTTTTTACTGTCTTGATTTAACGAATTCCATTTCCCTTTTTTGTGTAACTGAAACTAATAGCGTGCAAAATTTCTTATCTTATAACTTTTTTGTGTACACTTATTTAAATATTCCTTGTATGCCATTCCCACCAAATGTTTTAATGCAAATCAAAAAATCTATAAATAAATATGTCTAAATGAGGCTCATTTTTGAAGTTAAAACGACTCTGATTTTGTTTATTTAATTTTTCTTAATGATTTTTATTTTTCAAACCATTTTTATTTGACCATTTATCATTTATTGTCTTTGTTAATAGTAAAGTTAAAAAGCTTAGCCTGCTTGGGTTCGTCGACAGATCCTTGGGTTTCAAACTAATTACCCACATCGTCCCCGAGTCCATTTCTACCAGTCCTTCCTTTGTACTAAACTTCGCCACTCCATTCTTCTAATTTACTTCAGTAAATGTTTTTTTATGTTTAATCAAAATTATATATATATATATATATATTCATGTGTGAGCTCAAGATAAAATCTTTATTCTTCGACTTCGTCGACGACAATTACCCTTCTTATTATCGACTGCTAAATTCAAACCTACCAAATAATTTTTAAAAAAATTTCTCTATAACGCGAGGTGTCCTCTCAACTTCAGTGCAGCACCAAAGCCACCAGCAGCAGAAATTATATATTGAAAGAATATAATTAAAGATAAATATGGATTGGAAATATATTTGGCTGAAAAAAAAGATTCAAAACACCAGTGCAAAGTGGCTGCAACATTTGAGAACTAGTCTTAGCAACCTTGTAGAATAGGAATCAGTTACCTCACAACCGCCGATATCCGATAGCGACTCAAAAAAATAAAAAAAGTAGTATGATTCGAACACCTTCCATGATCCACACCTTTTAGCCAAAGAAGGTAACAACAGTGAGCGCCTATATCATGTGTTAACCAATTGCTTGTGGCCTTGTGGCAGACTCTTATCCATATTGGTTAACAAAAGGAAGAAAGGAGAATATTGGTCATGAAAAACTCTCATAAGGGAACATGACCATCTAACTACCGGCCAATAACCTTCTTCACCACAATGTGGGAAGTCCTGTCAGGCATCATAGCAAAGTTTCCATATAATGCCAATATATGAATGTAATTCAAAAACAGGACAACACCAGAGGCTGCAAACAAAAGCTGCTGCTCATGGATAAGGCAGTCGCTCTGGATTCAAAGTCTAGACAGACCAATTTATGTACAACTTGGATTAACTACAGAAATGATGAGTCAATGCTACATGGATTTGTAAATGTGATTTTATATAAAGTCAACAGGATCCAAAAGGTGTTTATTGAGGACTCAATGGGACTGTGAAAAATGACATTGTTACAACAATGACATCAAAAATGAGCAAGATCGGTTGAAGACCAATAAAAGCGTGGTCGCAATTTTATATCGATTCTTGTCGTTTTTGGGGCACGATTTATTGTTTCATTTGTAGTCGTAGGCAAGCGGCGGAGGGCTCGTAATTAAGGTATTTATTGCTCGATTTGTATTGGTTTGGTAGGTTCTTTTGTTGTTTTTGTTTGGGTCTTTGGTTATGTTATCATATATAT